CTCAAGTGGTAGAGCGCTAGCCTTGAGCTGAAGAGCTGAGGGACAGCGCCCAGGCCCAGAGTTCAGGCCCCACAACCGGACCAAAAAAAAAAAAAGAGTAATTTTTCTCATTTCCTTTTAGTAATAAATCTTAGTGATACGTAAGCTTTATTCACTTTGCTTCTCCATAGTGTAAAAAATACAAGACATTGCCATTTACCCCACTGAGTAATTATAGATTCACAGTGGGAAGGTGTTGAAACATGTTGGAGAAAGTGCACGTGAGTCTTGCTGTTAATGGAGCCGGTCACATTCTGCTAGAATACCCACTCAGCAGGCTGTGTCCCAGAGAATGGACTTCAGAAGGTAGAAGATTGGGAAGATGACAGTCTACTTGCCTTTCTGTGCCCAGACATATTGATAAGGAGAACACAGTGACTTACAAAAACAACTGATGGTAAAGAGAGTAGCAGGGTAAGAAGATGGTACAACACAGGAAAGGGTAGAGAAGGGAAAAGGGAAAGAACATGGAGGCAGGGAGAAGGAAAAGGAGGGTATCGATAGCACCCCTTCTCAAACGATGCTCAAAAAGCAGGCATCGACAGTGCAGAGCAGCTTGCTGGGGTTCCGCTTTAGCATGGAGGCCTGGTCTGCACCGATGATCAGTCCAATGGGATGGACAGGGAGGTGCAGAAGATAGGAGAGCCCATCATTACGCTGCCTGACCCACAGACATGTATCTTGCCAAGTAACCACTCACAGCTTACCCCTCCCCACCCACAGTGTGATGTACTGATGTCCAGGCTGACAGAATTGCAGGACAAGTTCAAGACCAGTCAGAAGGAGATGGGGCATCTGCAGATGGAGCAGTGTGAGCTCCTGGAGGATCAGAGGAGGCTGCAGGAGGAGCAGGGCCAGCTGCAGGAAGAGCTGCACAGGCTCACATTTCCACTACCCAAATGTGGCCTCTACCGTAAGGTACCCACTGCCAGGGCATGGCTGCTAATCATGGGGAGGCTGCTTTGAGAAACTTTCCTGGCATAGCTGACCCAGGGGAAGAGAGAAGGATGGGGGTGTAAATGTTTCCCTCCTTTCTCCATACCAGACAGCTCCCTAAGGTTGATTAAGGTTTCTATTTTCTTCATCAGGGCTTTGCATCTTAAAATATATTTTATTTTCTGGAATCTATGATGCATTTTATACCTAGATATTCAGTCTCCCTGCAGTGCCTCTGGAAGCACTTTGTAAACTACAAAAGGTACACATAAGAGATCATTGCTAGTCAATTAGCAGGTCTCAGTAGAAAGACCCCGTGTCTTCAGTTAGGCCATGTGAAGCCAACACAAAGACAGCCCATCAGGAATGAGACCCAGCAGAGGCTTTCCCTTTAACAATCCATTTTCCTTCCTCCCCCACCCCTCCCCACCTCAGAGTCAGGATCTGCTTAAAAAGTTACAAGACCTGTGTGAACTGCAGCTACTGTACCAAGGCATGCAGGATGAACAAAAAAAACTGATACAGAACCAAGAGTGTGTATTAAAAGAACAGCTAGAGCTGCACAAAGAGCTGCAAGATGTCAAAGACTCCAATGTCCAGGAACTGTTGGAGAACCATGAAGATGCCAAATATCCTAAGTCCTCAAATTGTGAGAATAAGGTAAACATAACAAGAAGGGAAACAGCTCTCCTGAGCACAGCAGCATTACAAAGAAAGAGCCCCATGCAAGAGTCCAAGTCAGGAAAGTTTGTTTAGCGAGGACTGTACACAGGGTGGCAAATAATGAGGCAAAAGCCCCCCTTTCCTAGCCAGGACTACCATGTGGCCATAGGTATTCTGAGGGCCTCACCCAGAAGGCATGCCAGCTGAAATGCTGTGACCATGTAGAATAAAGTTGACATGGCCACAAGTGTACATCTGACCATTAGACACAAATCCCATCAATGTATCATTTTCAAGATGTACATAATCAGTTCAATGTTTGGATTTCTTAGAATTAACCTTAACAGCTGTGTCCCAATGGCTCATGCTTGTAAGCCTAGCTGCTCAGGAGGCTGAGATCTAAGGATCGTGTTCAAAGACAGGCAAGAAAGCTTATGAGACTGTTACCTCCAGTTAACTACCAAAAAAAACATGCACAACACACACACACACACACACACACACACACACACACAAGAAACATAACCTTTTGGGACTTTGTACATGACAAATCCGGGCCCATCCTCTCCCAGATAAACAGCGTAATAAATAGGTTATTGGCACTGCCTGCACGTATGTAACATATTCAAGGCTCTGGGATGACTTTAGCATTAGGGGTGCATGGGTGAGACTGAGCCTAAAGGTCAGAAAAATGGACACACCTGACTGAGAAGAGGGTGGAGTAGGGAGCCAGGGTGATCTTGAGACCCACCTCACAGTGCTTCAGAGAGACAGCATGGTGTGCCAGAATGCAGAAGCCAGAAGAAAGGAAAGCCCCCAAATCATGGTGTATTTGTCTTGGGAAGATTTTCCCCAATGAGCCATATAGATGACATACTAGTCATCTATAGGCTAAATCCAAGACAAAGACCTGGTGAGACAGGCATAGGTTTGGTCGGGTCAGTGCTTAGACATCTGCCCTGGGCGAGGGGCAGCTAGGAGAACTAAAATGTCTCAGAGTAATGGTGCTGTCTCCTGCCCCCCACCCAGCAGCCCAAGTTGCTCATAGAACAACTGCAGGCTCTGCAGGTGCTGTATAACTCGAGTCACACAGAACAGGAGCTTTTGCAATTGGAACATGGGCGGCTCTCGGAGGAGCGGAAAAGGCTGCAGGCCGACTTGCAGCTCTGCCTAGAAGAAATGCAGCTGCTTCAAGTACAGTCCCCTGCCATTAGAAAGAGCCTTGAGGTCTACAGGAAGAGCTGTGCCAGCAATGACAACTTACAGAGGAGTTATGACAGCACCATCGATGAGAATGACAGCTATCAGAAGAGTTACGGTAGCACTCAAGTCAGCAATGAGAACTTCCTCAAGAGCTATGACAGTGGCACCAATTCCAATGAGGCCTACCAGAAGAGTTACAGCTCTAGCAGCTGTGTTTCCCTTAAGAAGAGTTACAGCAGCCCTAGTAGTTCTGAGACCTTTCAGAGGAGTTATACCAGCAGCAATCCTGATGAGGAGCCAGCTGATCCTGAAGACTTAGAGGTAATCAGCACCAGGTAACAGGTCAGACAGGGAGACCCAGGCTCCTTTCTAGGAAAATAGCACCAGGGGAATGAGATGGAAATAGGTTCAGAGCTGATCTAGGGATCTCCTGGAAGTAAATAAGGCTTCTGTCCTCAGCAGCCATGCATCCCATTCAGCCCCTCTCCTACAAAGGTTTCTTCATCTGGACAGAGACCAAGGTCTCAGTGCAGATGCTCTTCATGGGAAGAAATAACAGCTCCCCATTCCCCAAGCCATCTCCAGATCCTTGTAGCCACTGTTCTGTATTTAAGGAAAGGCCTGGCATACGGGGTGGAGGTCACATTCTTCTTGGGTGCCATCATTGCTCCCTGCCCTCCACAGCAATTTGAGGAATTGGTGGCCAAGGTGCTAACCAAGCTGCAGGCAGTACAGGCCCTGTACCAGGTGAGCCAGGAGGACCACTGCCAGCTGCAAAAGCAGATGAACAAGCAGCTATGCAAGCAGACAGAGCTGAAGGAAGAGCTGAACGAGTGTGAGAGGGAATTGAAGGCATGCATTGACACCTGTGAAAAACCTGCAGCTCCCCAGTGCGACAAGAATGAGGTAATTTTGTCAGGGTTTCTCCTAGGAGTCTCCAGAGACAAGAGGTAATAGCCCTTTTCCAGAAGCTACAAAGAGAAGGGTAGAGCAGGGAAATGGAATCCCAAGAGGCCAGGCAGCTATCTGATGGACATTATTCAGGCTGAAAGACACTTTATGGCCTTCCATGGTGTGATGTACTAGTTATCCAGACTCCTTTCTTGGAACTTTTCTCTACTTCCCTTTGCCCTTACTTATATTCTTTCTCTTGCCTTGTGTCCTAGAGTACTTCCTTAGAGCCAATTCCCATCATAATGAGACCAGTTTTCTTGTCTTTCCAGCTAGATTGTAAGCACGTCTGTTTCCAGAGGTGTGGGAGTCCAGAATACTGTCAAGCTTGTGAACAGAGTTCCTTAAGTAAACTTACCTGTTAGAGTAAAAGAGTTGGGTGAAGTTGAAGTTCCTGATAAAAGAATTATATAAGGAATTATATAAGAATCATATTTATTATATGATATAAATTATGTAATTATATTGATTATATAATATATAATTATATAAAATATATTTCCCATATAATATTTAATAAGTGTCTGAGGCTCAGCTTTATTCCCCAGGTAGGTCTTGGTTAAAAAAAACAACAATGTAAAACATTATTTTTTATCATGTTAGATAAAAATCTTTAGGCATCTCAAGTCAGGGAAAAGCTACTTCTAAAAGTATGTAGTCCATTTCCAGATGGGCTTTATCAGGGAGATTCCTGAGTCATGGATTGCCCAAGTAGGGCTTTTGCTGGCTGGGTGAGGCCAGCTCTGGGTAACTGACCTCCACTGCCAACAGATCAAAGAACTGCAGACCAAGCTTCGGGAGCTGCAGCTGCAGTACCAGGCTAGCATGGACGAGCAGGGGCGGCTTCTGGCAGTGCAGGAGCAGCTGGAGGGGCAACTGCAGTGCTGCCAGGAAGAGCTCCGTCAACTCAAAGAGAGAAAGCCCTCCTCTGGCAAAGATACCAGGGGAAAGAATGGCAATAAGAATATGAACAAGAATGCCAATGGGGTTAAAAAGAAAAAGGCAGTTAGCCAGTGCCCAGACAGTTCCGAGGACAGCTTTGATAAACAAAAGGTGAGTCACAGCTTTAGCAGCCAGTTGGGCAGAAGGGTGAAGGAGGCCCTGGGAAGAAGCATCATTTCCATTCTCATTTCTGCCACGTAAGGTATTTGTAGAAAGGCTCCTGGGATCCCTAAGTGTCCATGGGAGTTCCATTTTGGTCAGATGAAGAGGGCAACTATATGGGAAGAATGGAATTTGTTCAAAGTAATTCTATACTAGTAAGTGAAAGAGGATTGGGTATGATGGAATCAACCGAGTTAAGATGCAGAACCCAAGAATCTGAGCTATAGTAGTTGATTGGAATGACTTAATGAAAAAATAGATATGTTGGCCCCAAGAGGCTAGGTATGAATGACTCCCCTCCACATTATGCTGGGAAGACTAGTTTGCAGTTTCTGAATATAGTGCTGCACCCTGGCACTGTGACATGATGCAAGTGAAGTTTTCTGGAAATAGTACAGCATTGTCATGAATGTAAGATTCTTAACAGCAGCCCCATCCTACCCTACCTCCACCCCACAGAGTCTGGAGGTTTTACTGTACTACAAGGCCAGTCAGACGCAATTAGAACAGCTAGACTGTGAGAAAGAGAAAGAAGAGACGGGAGAAGAAAAAAGAAAACGAATGCACGCTATGAAGGAGGCATGTTACGACCTAGCTGCTGGGGAAATTAAGCCAACAGATGGTCAGGGTGAAGTTGAAGAGCACAAAGAACCAGGGGATAAGGAAGACGATGATGACGACGATGATGATGATGACGAAGATGAAGATGAAGATGATGATGATGACTCTTCTGAAACAGCTGACGATGGCAATCCCCTTAATATTTCTGAGAGCAAAAAGGTAACCATAGCCAAAAGGCTGAATCACGGGGAAATGAAACTTGGGTCCAGGTTCCCCAGTTTTCAGGGGTGGCCCTCCCAAGGGTAGACTTCTGTAGGAGAAGAGGACAGTGACTGCAAGGTCTGATGTCACATGGGGAAAGTGGGAATGGAGAGCAGAGTTGAGAGAGCAATATTTCCGAGGAAAATGGCAACCTTTGGCCAATTAGATATGGGACTGTCTCACAATGACCACCTTTTCTGGGAGCCAAGGTGGCGTCTTTGGAATCTTATGTCGCTTCATTTGCACAGTAGGCCTTGTTACCTTTCTATGTTGAGAGTGTTCCCTTACTCCTCTCCTTGGCACTGCAGAAAGACCTTGAAAAGATGAGGCCTTCAGGGCATTTCTGCCCGGGCAAGTCTGCCCATGGCACCCTGTTAGAGTCCATCTTTGTCTATGCAGTTAGGAGTGTGGGGAGGGGGATTAATCTCTCCTTTGTAGGTTTGGGTTCTACATAGTGCCAGATGTGAGGGCCGGGTCTGGTGGTGATCAAGAATGATTGTCAGGGCTGGGAAGGTGGCTCAGCGGAAGAATGCTTGCCTTGTATGCATTAGGCCCTGGGTTCGATTCCTCCACACCATATAAGCAGAAAAGGCCAGAAGTGGTGCTGTGGCTCAAGTGGTAGAGCGCTAGCCTTGAGCTGAAGAGCTGAGGGACAGCGCCCTGGCCCAGAGTTCAGGCCCCATGACTGACAAAAAGAAATAAAAAGAATGATTGTCAGAGCTTGGCTCCAGGGGCTCACGCCTGTAAGCCTAGCTACTTAGGGGGCTGAGGTCTGAGGATCACAGTTCAAAGCCAGTCCTGGCAGGAAAGTCCGTGAGACTCTTATCTCCATTTAACCACCAGAGAACAGGAAGTGGTGCTGTGGTCAAGTGGGAGAGAACTCGCCTTGAGCTGAAGAGCTCAGGGACAGCACCCAGGCCCGGAGTTCAAACCCCACAACCGACCAAAAAAAAAATAAAAAAGAATGATTGTCAATTTTAGTCTGTTCAGCAGGGGCATTGGCCATGGCCAGTCCATGCTAGCCACTGCCCAACCCTTTATTTAGCTGTTAGATTACTGAGAGATTGGAATGGAGATATGTAAGCATATATGCCAGGATGACAGAGGCAATTTGCCAATGACACAGATGTATTTTGTTCTTTTCATGAGTGGTGCATCTCTGTTGGTGTGCACCAGCTGAATTCCTGCTTTAGGGGCTCTTGAGTTATAAGAACATCCTGAATAAAGCCCTCAGTTTATATCACAGATCCTTTCTGTCCCTTTAAACACAGGAAAAGAAAGTTAGGTCTCTTGGGATAGGATTATTCTGTCAACTCTAAGGATATCTGGATTTTCCAGCAGTTCAGTCTGCTATACAAGCCAAGGATTCAATCTACAGTTCCCTGTTAACCTCATTGCAGGACTGTTGCTTGGGATGTAAGCCATAGGAGCAACTATAGCCTTTCCCTAGGGTTATATTTCTTTGAACTCATCTCATCATATCCCACCAGAAGCTGGCTCAGAGCCTCAAAGGTTTCTTGACCTTGGGGACATTTCTAATACCAGACCTGATCTTCGTCCTTTGGAGTAGAATCCATTGCTTGTTTCTACACGTGGTTTTGCCCTAGAGGGTCCTGCATCTTTGCAGGCAGTTCAACATCTTGCTAGAAAGCTGTTGCAGATAACTAGCTCTTCTCTACTGTTACCTTGTTTTAGTGCATTAAGCAGGAGACTCCTAGAGGACTGTAGGAACTGGAGTTCAAAATTCAAGAAACTTGATGGAAAGCAAGGCAGACAGGTAGCCTGGCTGAAGACTGGCTGTAGGAAAAGTGTCTACTCTGCTCCTCTAAGGATGTCCACTCTGTTATCCTTTGAAACATCACATTTTTAGAGTGTGTGACCCTCAAGACTAGGTACAACTAACTAGTACTTGACAAGATAGAAGTACATGACAAGACAAAACTGGCCTTGCTGCCTCATTTGGACCTAGCTAGCTGCTTAACCCAGTTTTCCAACTTCTGCAGGCTGCTGGTGGGAAGTACTCCTCTGCTCTCCTCAAGGCCCAGGGAGCAGAGAAGAAATGCTACTGCTTACATGGGTTTTAACCTCTTGATTCTTCTCTCTTTTCCCTTTGTTCTCATCTTCATTACCTGTTGGATTGTGTTTGTTTCTTCATACCACGTCACATCTCCTGGTCTCTTGTGCTTCTCTCTCATTTGATGTGTTGTAGCCATCCACTGTCCCCAATCCCCCCATCTTCTCCTTGCCTCTCGTAGGCCTGGTGGTCATATCAGCTCTGCTCTGGTGCTGGTGGGCTGAGACATCATCCTAACACAGGTACTGGTATTGCTTTTTCTCTTCTTCCCTACCCAGCTGCTTGCTTCTTGCTTTGGCCATTGTACAATAGGTGATGCTATGGTCTAAGTTTCAGCTCTGGCTTTTTCTTGGTCTGCTGCAAAAGCCTATAACTTCTTAAAGATGTCTTTGACATACATAAAACACAGGAAACTAGAATGTTTACCACAGGCATGATTTGAATTTCTTTTCTTGACTTGGAGAAACTTGGATAAACTATCTGTTGCTACTGTCAACTACTGTGTGTGTGTGTGTATGTGTGTGTGTGTGTGTGTGTGTGTGTGTGTGTATTAGTTGTTTTAAAGATAAGATCTGCTTTATACCTGAACTGGCCTGGGGTATGGTCCTCCTGCTGGTATTCTTCTATGTTTCTGGGGTGACAGGAGTATATTATTATGCCCCACCAGTGTGCTTTCCTCACCATAGCTGGTCATGCTCCACTGTACCCAGCCATTGGTTAAGATGGAATTTCATGAACTTTTATGCCTAGGTTGACCTTGAGCCATGATCCTCTGATCTCCAACTCCCAAGTAGTTAGGATTACAAGCTTAAGCCACCATTAAGCTTTTACTTCTACCCAGGATGGTAAAATGGCAAAATAAGAAATCACTCCATGTCTTGGTGGTTAAGAGAGGATGTCTGAAAGTTCATGATCCTTCTGGTCCTCCCAAGAATGTGTGTGTGTGTGTGTGTGTGTGTGTGTGTGTGCCTGCGCACATATGTGCATGTGTGTAAGTAATGGAGCTTGAACTCAGGGCCTCATGTTGTTACTTTTTTTCCCCACTCATGGCTAGTGCTCTATCTCTTGAGCCACACCACCAGTGAAGCTTCTTTTTTTTGCTGGTTATTTGGAGATAGAGTGTTGTGGACTTTTTGCTCAGGCTGACTGAATACTACAGTCTTCAGACCTGGGCTTCCTGAGTAATGAGGCTTAGAGGTGTATAGGCCAACAGTGCTTGGCTCCCAGAAACAATTGAATGAGATAAAAGTGGAGCTGAATCCGTGACATATAATGTAGTTTCTGAACCTAAAAAGTTCTCTGATATGGGACTTCTGGTCCCCAGAAAACACAGACCAAATTATGTATAGTTCTCAGTTTATCCCTTTTGGGGGCCAGATTCCAGTTTTCTGGAAAGAATATGATATTGGTAAAAATAAAATCTCTACTAGCTAGAAATCAAGTCTGCTGTGTTCTAGACACCTCTCCTTCAAACCAGTTCTTATGAAACTGGTCTGTTCACAGGATGCCCAATTCAGGAGGCAGACTGTCTCGTGGCTTAAGATAGATGCTAAGTTGCACTTGCCTCTTAGAACCCATAAGCTGTTCTCTGTTATTTTGATCTCCCTGCCCTCTCCTCTCATGCTTTTATAAATCAAGCATGGTTAGCTTAGTGCAGAGGTTCAGACTGGCCGCTGAAATAATTGTTGGTGGCATCTCACCATTTTCTACCCATTTTTGTCTCTTCCTCACTTCTGCTTCCTTCCGTCTTCTTTTAGGCATTCCAGTTATTACTTCATTGATAGTCAGCTCCTTTAGTGACAGAGGCCTCTCCTAATACCTGTGCTTTCCCTGTATGCTTCCAGAATTCTTGAGTCCCTATTGGATAAGATACAAAGCACTTAGTCAAAGCCTTTTGCCAGGTCCAACCAGAGTATAAAGAACTGCTAAGGGTCCTCTTAGGGGACCCGCTATTCCCAGAGCTCTGTCCAAGAACATAGTGAAGTGAAAGTATACCTGACAAAGTGATTTGGTTGTCTGTCTCCTCTTATGGGCTTTGCTCCCTCTCAAGGAGCAAAATGTAAACAAAGAATAGTTAAGGTCTGCCTTCCTTATAGTTCTCTGTAAGGATCAGATGACTTAACATACGGAAAACACTTTAGAATATAAAATATTACAAAATAATAAAAAGGCCATATACTTCCATAAGGCATACTATGTACCTGGCATTGCTGTAATCACTTTACATATGTTAACTAATCTTTATAGCAACCTTATGAGGAAGTACTTACTGTTGTCATTTTATATATGATAAAACTAAGGCTGAGAGAGATGAATACAGCCAAGAAATTATGAATCAAGATTAGGACTTAATATTGACAGCAGGTAAAATTTGAATCCTGGCCAAGTATGCACAGTTGTAATCCTAGCTCTCAGGAGGGAAGGGGCAGGAGGATCAGGAGTTCTAGGCCAAGGTGGGTAGGTGGCTCACACCTGTAATCCTAGCTACTCAGGAAGCTGAGATCTAAGGATCATGGTTCAAAGCCAGCCCGGACAGGAAAGTCCATGAGACTCTTACCCTCAGTTAACCAATAGAAAACCGGATATGACACTGTGGCTCAAGTGGTAGAATGCTCACCTTGAGCTGAAGAGCTCAGGGGCAGCATCAGACCCAGAGTTCAAGACCCACGACCAACAACAACAAAAAAAAAAGAGTCTGAGTTACATAGGAGAACCTTGCTGAAGGAAGGAAGGAACAGAGAGAGAGAGGGGAAGGGAAAAGGAAAGGGATGGGGAGAAATTGTTCCTTGTATTATCTTTCTTCATTCCAAGAACATTTCCTTGGTTGGCCCACAGTAATCAGAAAGACACCATACTTTTGTTTGTGAAACTTCATATCTCATTAGTTTACCTCTTTGTGTCACTAATATCATTAATGTCCTTTATGTCTTATTTATGAAAACCCCTTTTGAACATTGCAGATGTTAAGCACATCTTCCCTGTTTTCTGTTAGCATTGCATTGTTTGGGGTTGAAAGGCTGAACTTGTCAATGTTCCTATTAGATTGATAGTCCACAGTTCTAACCTGTGAAGTTTATTGTTGTTTTGAATGTTCACCAGCCACTCACTTTCGTTCCTGTCATCCTCCAGGGCGACAAGATCACCTCCCATGCTTTCATCCAAGTTACAAGTGAGGATCCAGCCCAAAGAGTGTCACCTTGCAGGGCTCTTCTTTCAGCTCACTGGCCACCTAACTAATGGTTCTATAGCAGACTGTTCTGTCAGCCTGCTCTTACTTCCCAATGTTATCTGCAAGAATTTCCAGGAAGATCTTTTCAAACACCTTGGTTAAGTCCCCAGTGTAGTTTGTCAATTTGGTAATACAGTCCCAAAACCTGTGATTTCTAGAAGCCCTTGGGGACCAAACTATACCTTTATATATCCAGTCCAGAATCTTGCTTCCACCCAATGTAATTTACCAGTTCACAGTTACGGAATTCAGTTCTTCCTTTAAAAACAGACTGAGTTTTTAGCAGTGCTCATCAGGAAACAAATTTCTGAGCATGTAAAAATTTTTCTAGGTCTTTTCTCGGTTTTTTAGTTGGTGGTGGTACTGGCATTTGAACTCAGGGCTTTGCACTTGCTAGATAGGTGTTCTACCACCTGGACCACACTTCTAGCCCTTTTGCTTTAGTTGTTTTTTTGAGATATAATCTTGCTTTTTACCTGAGCCAGCCTGGAATATGATCCCCCTATTTATACTTCCCACTGTAGCTGGGATGACAGGTACTTACCACCATACCCAGCTATTGGTTGAGATGGGGGTCTTGAACACTTTTTGTCCAGACTGGCTTTGAGCTTTAATCCTCCTGATCTCAGCCTCCTAAGTGGTGAAGACTATAGGGATGAGCCACCAAACCTGGCTTATTTTTTATTTGCCCCTTTATTTATTTGGCAGTCTTGTTTTGGTCTTGTCCTAACAGCCCTTCTACCTCTTCCTCCCAGGTGCTAGGACTGCAGATAGGTACCACCTTGCCCTGCTTAGTTGATTTACATGGATTTTTCTGTATACCCATTTCCAACATTATTTTGCTTTCCTTTTCCTATCTTCTGTTCTTCTTAGTAACTGTTTCTACAACCTTAGGAGATTTTTTTTGCCCTTTAATAGTTGGCTTAAAATCATCAATAATTCTCTGAGCAAATACCTTTTTAGCTTTAAGAGGCTCTATCCACTTTTACCTAAAGCTGTCCTTCTTATACCCGATACCAAAACTCATGACTCAAAAATCTGAGTTCCATCTTTCAAGTACTACAGTACAAAGAATAGCAAAAATAGGAACTGTTTCCCATATATATATTTTCTTATCTAAGATTTCCAAATGGGCCCTTTTTGGATAACTTCTGAGATGTTATTTCTGACCATGTATCAGCAGGGTTTGCCAGGGGCCAGCAGTGTCTAGAGGCCTCTGCACACTAAAACACATCAGTAAGTCAGTCTTTGAGCCAGGAGATGTGGAGAGAGTGTATAATGACTCTGACATTTATTTGCCTCCCAGCGCTAGTAACAGACTGCCTTGAATTTCCTTGAAGTAACATCATTTTGTGCAGAGGGCTGGCTGCCCAGGCACCTTCTGTTCACCTGCGCTTTGCAATGTTCTTTCTTCCCTTCACTCTCAGTCTCCTTTTCCTTCTTCTTGATTCTCAGTCAATTCCCTCCCACTCCCCACAGAGCTCACCAGGTGCTGCTGCTTTCCCCAAAAGCCCCAGATTATCTCACCTTTCTTTTGCATTGCGTGGAAAATCAATGAAGGCTGTCTGTTATATATATTCTCATTCTGTTGGAAGAAATGGGGACATAAATTCAGGGATCACCTAAGGTGATGTGTCCAGCATCTAGTGGTGCCTGGATCAAGGGGCCATATGGTCTCCACTGGTTACCCAGGAGGAGAGAGATGCTCAGCCATGCTGTCCTGAGCTGTCTTTGTGCAGTACCAGCAGGCAGATGATATCTGGCTTAGGGAAGGGTTGAGAAAGCAAGGCACTCACTATTTTTCTTTGGTCCCCACAGAACATGTTTGGGATGTGGAAGCCTATGGTATTCTTGGCTATCGCAGCTGTGGCTCTTTACGTTTTACCCAACATGCGACCGCAGGAGACAGAGTTCTGCCTCCTGGAGTGATGCAGACCTGGGCCAGCCCTGAGGGCATATCCCCAGCAGCCGCTACCCTCACCTTTGGGCAGGACACACTGTGCCAGAGCTCCCACCCCACCCACGTGTCCCGTGTGTCTCCACCTCCTTGCCTCAGTCACTTAGGCTCGAAAGGCCAAGAGGAGTTGCTGCTGGCTCCCACTTTCTGCCTTGTATAAGAACCTGGGTTCCTTGTAATTAAATTGTCAACCTAACTCCCTGAGATGTTGTGGCTTTTTATTTACTAAATGCTTTCACATGACCAGAACAGAGCAGTTTCCCTTCATCCAAGTCTCTCATATAAGAGCCTATGAGCCGGGCACCAGTGGCTCATGCTTGTAATCCTAGCTACTCAGGAGGCTGAGATCTGAGGATCAAAGTTCAAAGCCAGCCCAGGCAGGAAAAGTCCATGAGACTCTTATTTCCAATTAACCACTCGAAAACTGGAAGTCAAGTTGTGTCTCAGAGTGGTAGAGCACTAGCTTTGAGCAAAAAGCTCAGGGACAATGCCCCTGCCCTGAGTTCAAGCCCCATAATGAACAAAAAAAAAAGTCTATGATTTCTTTCACCCTACACATGACCTCAGGTATGAGACTGGTCCCTGCACTGCCAGTGCAATTGCAGAGATTGATCTGGACTTGTTAGCCCTACCTGGGTTCTAAAGGGTGCGGGTGGGGGCACAAAATGACCAACTCCATCTATGGGAGGATGCCCTAGAGAAGATCTGTGTGGAAACCTTGTGGCTTAGTCCCTGTGACTCAAGAGGCTCACAGAGCCTGGTGCCAATGGCTCAAGCCTTGTAATTCTAGCTACTCAGGAGGCTGAGATCTGAGGAGCAGTTTAAAGCCAGCCTGGACAGGAAAGTCTGTGAGATTCTTATCTCCAATGAACTACTCAGAAAAAAAAATGGCACTGTGGCTCAAGTGGTAGAGCACTAGTCTTGAACACAAAGAGGCTCAGGGATTGTGCCCAGGCCCTGAGTTCAAGCCACAGGACCAACAAAAACAAAAAACAAACAAAAACCCTCAGGGATTAGGCCCTGTTTTTGAGTGGTTAATTGGAGATAAGAGTCTCACAGGACTTTTCTGCCCAGGCTGGCTTTGAACTGCGATCCTCAGATCTCAGCCCCCTGAATAGCTAGGGTTATAGGTGTGAGCCACCAGTGCCTGGCTCACAAAGATGACTCAGTCAAGATCCTGGTAGTAAATGATACTTGAAGCTTTAACAGTAGAAAATTTAACAAAGGGACTATATACAGAAGGTAGCTTTAGAACTAATAAGAAATTTGAATCTAGGTGCCTCACAACTATAATCCTAGCTATCCAGCAGGCTGAGATTGCAATTCAAAGCCAGCCTAGGCAGAAAAGCCCATGAGACTCTTCTATCCAATTTGCTAGTAAAAAGCTGAAAGTAGAGCTGTAGTAGAGTGCTAGCCTTGAATGAAAAAGCCAAGCAAGAGTGCAAGGCCCTGAGTTCCAGCCTCAGTACTGGCACCAAAATAAGTAAGTAAATAAAATTGTGGAAAACACAAGCCCTAGCAACAATGGGAAATTGTGACATGCTTCCCCTAGGTTGGAGGGAAGTGAGATGGGGAAGAGAGAGAAGAAATCTGCAACAGTGCCATGAGGAAGTAGAAGGCTCTTCAGTCCCCTACTTTCTGCCCACCTGCCAATTTCCCAGTGGGGTCTCACTGGCAGAACCCAGCAGGGCACTAGAGAGTAAAGGTGCTCAGGTGAGGTAATCTCTCAAGGTCAGCCTCCCGGAGCTTAGATGAAGACAGAGGATTGAGAAGGGATCTAAGAGGGGACAACACTACCAGGATAATTTGTGCAAAATTGATTTTTACCTTCATTCCTGCCAAGGCCTTTATGAGTGGTTATTCTCATCTAGATTTTTTTAAATCAGCCACAGGGCTTGAACTCAGGGCCTGGGTGTGTCCCTGAGCTCTCTAGCTCAAGGCTAGCACTCAACTACTTTTAGCATAGCCCTCCCCTCCACCTGATAGCCAAGGCCTTGATGGAGTTCACCCTATCATCTGAAGCAAGGAGTGCACGCAGTGGATGAACCCAGCCTCTCCCTCTTCAGTTTGAACTCCTGGGCTTGATTCTGTGTTGCCAAAGCATGCAAAAGAGATCTTTTTTTGCTGTGTTCAGTTCACTTGAGCTAGCTTTAAAAGGCCAGGGACTAGACACTGAATTTTAAGTCTTCATGGGAAGGCATGTGCCTCAGAGTGGAAAAAGCAAAAAACAAGGACCTCAAACACCTTCAGGAGCCTCCACCTCTTTTTTCCTGGTACTCCTAGAGTTTGAATTCAGGGCTTCAAACTTGCTAGACAAGTACTCTACCACTAAGCTGCAGAGCAACCCTTTTTGGTAGTGGTTTTTTGAGATAAGATCTCACTTCCTGTCCAAACAAGCACCTGGACTGTGATCTACCTTTTTTAGGCTTTCTGTTACTGCTAGGATGATTGGTATGTGCCACTGTCCCAAGCTATTTGTTTAAGAGGGTCTCATGAACTTTTCTGCCTGGCTGGCTTTGAACCACAGTTCTCCTGATAGCCTCCCAAGCAGCTAGAATTACAAGCATGAGCAACAGGTGCCTGGCTTCAACCAGTTTCCTACTGCCTGCTTTCTACCCTCTCCCTATAGGTTGGGCCTCTCTGCTATTCCTGCCTAGCCCACCACCTGCCAATCCTGGTAAGAACCAGATGCTACTGGGAGCATCTAAAAATCACTGAACTGTTGCTTCTGATACTGGCAGGCTGAGTGTTAGGAAGCTGGGAACAGGCAGGGAAATAGCATGGAGCTCCAAGCTGTGGACACAGATCTGAGGCCCCATTCCTTAGTATTTCCTTGGTCTCACAGATCCCAGCAAAGGAAGCTAACTAAATTTTCAAATCCTCTATTAGATGCTAGGCACCATGCTAGTCTTTCATGTTATTTCCTCTTCACATACTTTTTTAAAATCCCTTTGGCCAGGTAAGATGGCTCAAGCCTCTAATCCTATCTACTTGAGTACAGATTGGAAAAATTATAGTTTGAGGCCAGCCCAGCAAAAAGTTGGAGAGACTTCATCTCAACCAATGACTGAGTATGGTGGCATACACATGTCTTCCCAGTTACACAGAAAGCACAAATAGGAGGATTGAAGTCCAGCCTAGCCTGGGCAGAAAATGAGACTCTACTTCAAATATAACATCTCCAAAAGCCTGGCCAGTGGCTGAAGTAGTTAGGTGCCTGCCTAGCAGGCACAAGGCCCTAAGTTCCATAAAGGCCAGTACTTAAAAAGAATCCCAAGAAATGGAAACATGGGTTTTTGTTGGTGGTAGTGTTTTTACTTTTTTGTTTTGTTCTTTTTTCTATCTTGAGGGAGGCAAGTGTGGCACAGAAGTGGAAGGAGGAAGGATGAACAAATGTAGGTATGGTACTCAGTAAACACTATGTGAAGAATGAACTATGCAACTTGTAGGCAGGGACAGGAGGGTGAAAGTAGAAAGTGAAGGAAGACGTAACTGTCCAAATGTACTCACTACCTGACTTATGAAATGGTAACCCCTCTGCACAGCACCGTAACAATAAAATAGTGTTTAAAATCCCTTTGAGGATATTACTCCATTTTACAGATGAGAAAATGGAGGCTCAAAAGAGTCAACAAGTCAAAAGTGAAGAGAAATGCAACCCTTCTATCACCTTTCTTGGTATCCAGGTCAGAAGAACAGTCAGTGTGCCTGCTACAAACCTGAGTAATCTTCAATCATAACAGGTGACTGTGGGAATGTTCCAGGCCAAGCACCAGTAGAATACACCTGTAATCCTAGCCACTCAAGAGGCTGAGATCAGAGGGTCACAGTTCAAAGCCAGCCCAGGCAATATAGTCCATTAGACTCATCTCCAATAAACTACCAAAAAGAAGTGGAGCTGTGACTCAAGTGATAGAGCCCTAACCCTGAGCACAAAATCACAGAGACAGCATCCCAGTCCTGAGTTTAAGTCCCAGAACCAGTACCAAAAAAAAAGCAAAAACAAAAAACACCTCACACATGGTTCCCTGGGTCTGCTCAAATAGATTTGGCTCTTCCCAAGTTATGTATGGCCCATGGAGGTGACTGACAAACATTCCCTCTTTTTTTTTTGGGTGGGGGGGGTGATTCCAGTCGTGGAGCCTGAACTCTGGGCCTGGGCACTGTCCCTCAGCTCTTCAGCTCAAGGCTAGCGCTCTACCACTTGAACCACAGCGCCACTTCCGGCTTTTTTTTTCTTTTTTTTTGTGGTGCTGAGGAATCGAACCCAGGGCCTCAGGCATGCAAGGCAAGCACTCTACCACTGAGTCACCTTCCCAGCCCCGAACATTCCCTCTTGATGGGACAGGCAGGCCAGGTGAAGATCTAGGCAACCTGGTCTCCTGAGATAGGTCGACAGGTGGTGAGTCATGAGGCTAAAAATGGCTTGGGGCTGCAGCCAGCACTGCCACACATACTCAGCTGACAAAACCCCTTGCAAGCCCCTTGGTGCCCCTTCCTCCCTTTAGGAGGAACACGTTGGCTCTCCTCAGGGAAGGGGCCCCATTTGGCAGCCTCCAGGACAGCATTGCGCACGGTCTGTTCTGCCCGCATGGCCAGGCCTAGGACCTGGGCTCATGGGCTATATTGAGGGCTGAGTCACCAGCCTGTGCCTGGGTAGGCTGACTGTGACTGGCTCCTGGGGCCTGAGTCAGGCCCCGATTTATCCTGGAGAGCAACAGGCTCAAGTTTCGGAGGAGGGTGACAAGAACCATCCCTTGGCATTCTGCACCCTGTTCTGCCGACTGACCATTCAGTCCCCCAGGGACTGCACACTGGTCTCTCCTGTAGTGAGAAAATGAATTGAGGAGGGACAGCAAGGGAGGCTGTCCTTGCAAGCTTTTTCTCTACTTGCCCACTTTCCCCCCAGTGCTCCCACCTTAACAGGCCCTTGGCTGATTAAAGGCCTCTGACAATGCCCACTAGACAGGACTATGAACTACTAGAGTTTACTAAGGGGTTTTCAGCTTCTGCCTTCTTTCTGCTTGCCCCAGCAATTAAGAGGTATCCATCATTTTTCAGATTTGTGTCTCATTTCTTCATCAGAACTTCAGAGACAACACTGAAGCCCTGAGCTACTACCGTCTGGTTGGCTCACAAGTCTGCCTTTACACACACACACACACACACACACACACAGAGTGTTCCCTTGTGAGATCCAAGCTGGGCATCCAACACTGGTGCCTGCTGGGTGGTTTTGGCCATAAGATAAAGGTGGCTTGGGGAGAATGACAATTCTGGAGACAGGGAAAGAGGGTTGCCAATAGGAGAGTGGAATTCCTGAGCGCAGAACATGAGCTGCAAGGCCCAAGCTATTTATACCTTGCCTGTCACTATCAGGGCCCCCAGACAACCCCTCCCCCCACCAGCCATGCACAGCAGGTCCATTTTCTATTCTTCTCCCTCCTTATCTAAAGACCAGGCAATCTCATTAAGTGTGAAGAGAAAGAAATGATTTTTTTCTTTTTTGGGGGGGTCAGTTGTGGGGCCTGAAGTCTGGGCCTGGGCACTGTCCCTCAGCTCTTCAGCTCAAGGTTAGCGCCCTCCCACTTGAGCCACAGCGCCACTTCTGGCTTTTTTCTGCTTATGTGGTGCTGAGGAATCGAACCCAGGGCCTCATGCATACGAGGTAAGCTGGCAAGCCAGCTTCTCAGCCTGAAAGAAATGATTTTGTGGATCCCTGTCATCAAAAGCTTTACTCCCCCCACCCCGCCCCAGGAACCCCTCAGTGCAAAATGGGCACTTCCCTAATTTTACCTTTCTGGAGAGAGCCCTCAAAGATGCCTACTACTTCCTGCCTTTTCACCAGGCCTTGAAGGAGGAAAGAAGTAAGGCAGAATGAATCACCTATAAAGTCCCAAACACCAGTAATCACATATCTTGGGTCAGGAACTACCTGGCTGGAGAATTTTCTCAGGCTCCAGCATGACTTATTGAGTCTAGAAGCAGGGAAATCAGGGGAAGCATGGTCCAAAGGGGGGTGGGGGGTGGGGCAGGAATGGGATACACATATGCTACCAATTACCAAATATCCCAGGCCAGCTCCTCCGCGTGCCTCAGCTTCTCTGCTGCCACCATTCTCCAACCCTCTACCAATTCTGGGCCTGCCCTGAAGCCCAATCCTGCCTAGGCATCCTGCCTGGTTCCCTCAGGCTTCCCTGCCCACTGCCCCTAGCCCTGCCCACCTGCTCCAGTCACAGTTTTCCTTGGCTGCTCCACCAGGGCTCTCCCTGGTGTTTGCCTTGCTCGCCTTTCCCTAGGAGAACCTGCTCTAGGGCCCAGTTGGGCATACTGCCCAGGGGGCTCCCTGGCATCCAGGGGCAATCTCTCTCCTTCCCCTCAACACCTCGGTTGAGTCAGACTGGGGGAAGTGCACATAAAGTGTGACTCACTGGGTACCCTTTTCCTGAGCTCAGCTTCATTCTGAGACAATGAGGCCAAATAGGCTGGTGACAGGGACACTGATTCAGGGGCAAGAGCCGCGGTCTTTCCCCCTGTGACCTTGAGTTTAGGCTCCAAATGAAGATTTTTCTATCAGAAAATGGATCGATAAGGGGAGCCCTTCCCCCCAACCTTTTCCCTAATTAGCCTCCCTAATTCTCAGCTTCCTCTCAGGCCATCTCAACACAAGCACACACGCGCGCACACACACCACACACACACACACACACACATACACAACTTTGCGCGCACACACACCACACACACACACACACACATACACAACTTCCCCTCTCTGTCCACAGGTGGACAATACGCTGGGCTAGGAGCCAGGAGGACTCCCAGGCCCTGTCAACAGCCTGGCCAACTTGTCTAGAAAATTCTGTCAACACCAGCTCCCTGTGTTTGGCCCTCATCACTGGCCTCAGTTTCCCCATTTGTCTCTTCAACCCCAGTTAACTGTGGAAGGAGCCTATTTCATCCCTGACGGGTGGGACTTGGTTTTAGGATGTTCGGGGTGTGGGGGCGCACCCCCCCCGCCCTGGGCCGAGGGGGGGCAGAAACCCCCTAATCGGCTGCTGGGCTGGCGCGGGCCGCGTGGGGGAGGGGCGGGCGGAGCGGGGGCCCCCACCCGCAGGCCGGGCGGCATTCCTGGGAGGCCGGCGCTCTGACGTGGACCCCAGGGCCGCGGGCGCGGCGCGGGGGGGCAGCGGCCCAGGGGCTTCTTAAACCCCCCGCCCGGGCCCGGGCCGCACTTCCCGAGCACCGCTCCGCCCCCGGAGGGAGAGAGAAAGAGAGTGAGCTAGCGAGCAAACCGACCGCGGCCGAGAAGCCCAGGCCAGAGCCCCGCCAGCCAAGGCGCGACACAAGTTTGGAGAGAGCGCAGCGCAGCGCAGCGCAGCGAGTCCCGCGGTCCCGCCCCGACAGCGCCCCGAAAGCACCCGCAGTCCGAGCCCCCCACCCCACCCCAGGCCTCACCGTCCCCGTCCCCCTCCCGCCAACATGATGAACAACAGTGGCTACTCGGATGCCGCCGGCCTCGGCCTGGGCGACGAGGCGGACGAGATGCCGTCCACCGAGAAGGACCTGGCCGAGGACGCGCCGTGGAAGAAGATCCAGCAGAACACGTTCACGCGCTGGTGCAACGAGCACCTCAAGTGCGTGGGCAAGCGCCTGACCGACCTGCAGCGCGACCTGAGCGACGGGCTGCGCCTCATCGCGCTCCTCGAGGTGCTCAGCCAGAAGCGCATGTACCGCAAGTTCCACCCGCGCCCCAACTTCCGCCAGATGAAGCTGGAGAACGTGTCCGTGGCCCTCGAGTTCCTGGAGCGCGAGCACATCAAGCTCGTGTCCATCGGTCAGTGCGGGCCACAAGGGCAGGGCCACGGCGGGGGAGGGGGTGACCCGGGGGGGGGTCGCGAAGGGGACACAGGTGCCGGCCGGACGGTCCGGCCGGGGAGAGCTGAGAGGAGCGCCGTGTGCATACAGGACAGTGGCCTGGTCTCTCCCCTGACTGGCCAGGCTCCCGGGACAGTGCCTTGACACTCCTCTTCTGAACCGAGCGCTTTGGTTAGCCCTTGAATCCAGACCTTCCCGTTTAGGAGCCCTGAAGCTCCCCCACCCAACCCATGCGCCCGCACTGGTTCTCTTCCATCCGCCAGACCTTGTGCGTGCTTGACAGGACAAGGCCGGTGTCCATTGCTGATTGTTGGGGAGTGTCTCTTCCATCCAACAAATGGCTTCCCAGTCTCTCCACAGGGAGGAGCAGACTAAAGGCGGGTCTCATCCACCTCCCACCGCTCAGGGCTCTAAGGCCAAGGGGAGCTAGCTGGTGGCCCCGCTGCTCCACCGGGGCCCTCTAGCAGGCATGTGCCCCGCAGCTGGGTTCGGGCCTGGCCAGAAAGCAGATCCCAGTCTCAGAAACCTAAAAAGGCGCTAAGCAATGGCAGGGAGCCTTAACCCCTGCTTGCCCTTCCCCTGCTTCACTTGCCGGGTGTGTGTGGGGAGGGTGGGGGGGTGGGGGCTCTCGCTTGACCATGCCCTGCCCAGCCCACCCCCTATGCCTGGGATTGGCTACAGCTAACTGCCCTGCCGGGAGGGAGGGGAAGGCCTGGTGAAGGCCGGCCTGCCGAGGGGAGGAAGTCATTGAGTGTAACCAGATTTGGAAGGTGTGTCCGTGCTGGGTGGGGGTGGGGAGGCACTCCAGCCTGGAGAGACCAGAAGCCCAGAGTGGGCTGTGAGTGACAACGACGCTTCCCTGCCCCTCACCAGGGCTGCCCCCACTGTCACCACCCAGCCCTCGGTGAGCTCCTAAGAGCAAGGCCCTGCTGTGATATACAGGAAAGACCCCTTCTCCCCCCAGTGCATCTTAGGGCCCCAGGAGGTGTGTTCGACATGGTCCCAGGCAGTCCCTTACCCACACCCACGCAGAGGGTACCCCAGAGACTTCTCAACAGAATCCGATGTCTGTCCACTCTCCCACTGTCCCCCCAGGGCCATCTCCATACCTCCTGAATTAGCAGCTGAGGTCAGTCAGGGGCCCTTTGCCCTGTCCAGTCCCCTCCCTAGGCCTTACCTCCTCTTGCCCCACTACTGCCCCCCCCTCCACACCCTGCTCGGCCTGGAAATAGCCCTGTCTCCGTGACACAGCAGTTGTCTCTGAGCTTTCCAGAAGGACAAGCCTGAGGGCAAGGGGTGGGGGAGGGGGCCCTGGTGTAGTGGGCTGAGGGCTTGGAGAATGGGAGAGGGGGGTGGAAAGGATGGGAGGGGCCAGCTCTGGGGCTGCCACCCCCCTCCTTCATCCCTTTCCACTCTGGAATTTGAAAGGCTGGACCGACGGTCCCAGGTGGGGTCTCCAGGGGAAAGCCTGAAGCCTCTGCAAGACGTGATAGGAAATGGCTCAGCCTCCCCTCGTGGCGGGGGCGGGGGCCGGGCCCCTCTCCAGGCGTCACCCTTCCCCGGTGCACCTCTCCCCTCCCCCACGGCGCTGCCTGGCTCCAGCCCCCTTGGCTCAGCTGGGGAGGGGCCTGCTTCGAGTAGAGGGGGAGGGAAGCAGTCGATGCTGGGGGTGGGGAGCTCCCTGGGTTCCCTCTGAGAGGCTGGGGGAGCTGGCTCTGTTTGGGCTGAGCGTCTCCTCGGGCTGACGAGATAAGCTGTCAGCAGTTCAGCAGCAGGGCTGGGCTTGGGCTGGGGTACAGGATGATGTAAAGGGGCTGCCCTCTAGGAGCGGGCGTCATGCTTTCTCCCGTCCCCCTGGTTCCATTTAGTAGTGGCAAGGAGCCATCCAGGGGGGTTCCTGCAAGGCATTGTGTCAGCACTGAAACTGAGCAGCTGGGCACCTGGGGGAGGGGGATGGATATCTCAAGGACTCCCTGCTTGCCCTTCTAGAAGGGAAGGCAGAGCCTGGGCTGAGTGTGCTCCTGGAGGAAGGGTCTTCATCCACGTGGACAGAGCTGTGTGCCCCCACAACCCACATGGGCCCCACCCCCACCCCCTCAGCTCCTCCAAACAAAGAGGCCCGGAGGCAGCTCTGTCCTGCAGCTGTTCCCCAGTTGCTATTCCTTCTCCTGGAGCCAACAGTTGAGGGAGGGGCTGGAGGGGCCTGCAGCTGTCCCAGCACCTCCCTTGGCCCATCCCGCTCTCATTCCCCTCCACGGGATGGAGGGGGGATGCAGGGAGGGGTGTAGGGACTAGCTGTCTGTCTCCTCCTACCTATTTTGAGGTGTCCCTAGGCTTGGTGGGTGCTGCAAGGGAAGAAACTTCGGTTGAGCCCCCCTCCACCCCTGCCTGGCCTGCAAGGAGTAGAAGGTCATTGCTCCAAGGGTGGGACTCTGGGCCTGCCTCCTCCCTCCTCCCCAAGCCGGGGACCACTTGCTGTCTGGCCCAGGGCCAGTTGCTAGGGAGAAACCTCTCTTTCCAGCAAACATGAATGACCCTCACCGCTCCTACCCCCTCCTAGCTCCGCAGCTTCAAGGGCTCCCTCCTAGGGCTCAGGGCTGCAGTTCACAAGAAGCACTTCTGAGTGTGAGCCTCAGCTTTGGCGGCACTGACAGTGTGGAGGCTGGGGCACTGGGGCATCCAGACTGTGTGAAAGTGTTGTGGGCCTGTGTTTGAGAGAGTGCAAAAGCACCAGGAGGCTGGGAGTGAGTGTGTCATGGAATCCAAGGGCTGCCAAACCATTGTGCTGCAGTGAAGCCAGGGGAAAGGGGCGGGCTGGGGAGCTGCTGGGGAAGGAAGGATGAATCAGTGGCAGGGTGGGGAGCCAGGGCCAGAGACCGAGCCCCAGGAACCAGAGGGACAGAGATTCCCTCTCTCAAGACAGGTAGGGATAGTATAGAAGATGCCAGGGGCTCTCTAGGCCCTTGTCCCCTACCCCTCTTTCCCCCCTCCAAGATCTGGGGAAAGGGAGCAAGAAAAAAATGTGTAGGGAGTAATCCTCCATCCCTAGCCTCTCCCACTACTTCAGCAACATCAGTAAACAAGATTGAGGCTTCTGACCTCCCCCCCAATCTATACTCTGTCTCCTAGATATAAAAAGAGAACTGGGCCTTTAAAATCTCCAGGAACCAAGTACTCCAAATCTTGAGTCTCAGTAGGCTGTGGGTACTCTCTCCCCTGCCTCTTGTGAGATCCCACCAACCCCATTTGCTCACCTGACTTCCAAACTTCTGGCAAGCATGCCTTGCCTGGCCTTTCTTCTCCCCTCCCAGAATACCCAGAAGCCCTTCTGGCCTTCAGGGTAGAATAGGACCGAGCTGGCCCTATTCCTTCAGCTTTCAAAATATTCTTTCACTTAACAACTTTTATTGAAACACGTGCTAAATTCTAGGTCCCAGTGCAGAAAGATAAAACTTAAGGAGCTAGGATGTAGCTCAGTAGCAAAATGCTTTCCTAGCAAGTGTAATGTCCTGGATCGATCCTCAGTACAAAACAAGAAAAGACATACACACACCCAAAAATACAGTTAAATAAAAACCTCAGGGTCTACAGTGAAAGAAGCCACACTGAAACACAAATAAATAAAAATAAAATATACCATATGATCCTATTTACAGAAAAGCCTAAAGAATACAAAACATAAGCACAGAGAGTAGTAGATATAGTGGTATACACTTGTAATCCAGTTATGTGAGAGGTGGAGATCAAGAGAGCGGCAGTTTGAGGATAGCCCAAGCCAGAAGCTAATAAGGCATCATCTTAACGAACAAACGGATAGTTTCATGCCTATAATTCTGCAAGTTTCAGCTACACAGGTGGCATGTGTAGCTGGTTTTTGGTCCACATTGAACCTAGGCAAAACAAACAGGAGATTCTAGCCAAAAGATAACAAAAGCAAGAAAGGGTTAGGTTCAAATCATAGAGTGCCTATCTAGCAAGCAGAAGGTTATGAATTCAAACTCAGGAAAGAAAGGAAGGAAGGAAACAAAGAAAAGAAAGAAAGAAAGGAAGGAAGGAAGGAAGGAAGGAAGAAAGGAAGGAAGAGGAAGGAAGGAAGGAAGGAAACAGATCAGTTGTTATCTGGGACAGTGAGACAAGGACAGTCAGGAGGGGGAAATCAGGAGAGTATGTACAAGGAAATTTGGGCAGTGATGACTATGTCATTCTTCAATTGTGGTGATGGCTTTGTGAATATTTGCCTGTTATCAAAACTTATCCCATTTCAGCTTGTTTTATGTCAGTAAAACAGTTAAGAAAACAAGACAAAATAGTGTCTGCCCTAAGAGGCCTGCAGCCCAGTGGGGCCAAAGACTGAATCTTAGATAGATGGAAAACTTAAGTGCTGCAGTATAAGAACAGGTGTGTGTGCAGGAACATAGAGAGAAGCAGCCTGGTTCTAAGGGGGAAAACAGACAAGACTTGACATCTGAACCAAGGAGGGAGAGAATTTGGGAGGCAGAGAAGTGATTGGACTCTATAGAAGTAGGGGTCTGACCCAGGTGATCTGACCAAGGCACCTGCTTAGCCTCAGGAGCTGGGCAGATGAAGATAGGCCCAAGGACACCCTCCTAATCTGGTTTGTTCCTTCCACTCTGCAGACAGCAAGGCCATCGTGGATGGGAACCTGAAGCTAATCTTGGGCCTGATCTGGACATTGATTCTGCACTACTCCATCTCTATGCCCATGTGGGAGGATGAGGATGATGAAGATGCCCGCAAACAGACACCCAAACAGCGTCTGCTTGGCTGGATCCAGAACAAGGTGCCCCAGCTACCCATCACCAACTTCAACCGTGACTGGCAGGATGGCAAGGCTCTGGGTGCGCTGGTAGACAACTGTGCCCCTGGTGAGTAAGCCATCAGACACAGCATGGAGACCTTAGCCAAGAAGGACTGTGGAGATGATCTGAAGATACTAAGGCTCGTGATTATTCCCAGGGCCTGGGCATTAGGATTATCTGTGGGGTTTGTTTGTCTTCCAGACAAGATTTCTTACTAGAGTCAGGCCTACATGATAGATGGGACAATGTCCCCAGGAAAATCCTCATTTTATAGGGAAGGACAGAGAAGTCCAGATCATACAGCCTGTATGGCAGGAGCCTTGACTCTCTGTTCCTTTGTTGTTGTGAGGCTTGAAGTCAGGGCTTGGGCACTGTCCCTGAGCTTTTTTTCTCAAGGCTAGCATTTTACCACTTTGAGCCACAGTGCCACTTCTGACTCCCTGTTCCTTTGCCACACAGATACCATTAAGGCAAGAGAAAGGAGATGCAGTGGGAATTGTAGCAAGAAGGCCTGGTGTTAGACCCAGAGAAGACTCTGAGACCCTGGGGCAGCCTAGAGAAAGGGTTGAGGCCTAGATGATGTAGGTTGAGGCAGTGTGGTACTGTCCAATGACAGGTGACATAGCCTCACCCTTTCTGGGTATAGGCCCTAACCTGGTTAGACTTGGAACCAGATCAGGACCCCAGGAAAAGTGAGCAGCATAGTCCAAAGCTCCAATCCATGTACAGATTTCTACCTCATTTCTTTTTTTTGGGGGGGGGTCCGGTTGTGGGGCCTGAACTCTGGGCATGGGCGCTATCCCTCAGCTCTTCAGCTCAAGGCTAGTGCTCTACCACTTGAGCCACAGCGCCACTTCCGGCTTTTTTTTCTTTTTGCTTATGTGGTGCTGAGGAATCGAACCCAGGGCCTCAGGCATGCAAGGCACGCGCTCTACCACTGAGCCATCTTCCCAGCCCTCTACCTCATTTCTTGAGATGTTTTCTGTTCAGAGCTGGTCAGCCCTGCCTAGGAGCTGTGGCCCTTAAAGGATCCTCCCCCGCCCTGGGGTCAGCTGGGGAGCAGGGGTGGGAGGTGGGAGCATGAAGCCTGGGAAGCATTCCCAGCTGCTGAGCCATTGCCCACAGCTGGTGTGGCTGCCAGCAGTGAGCTCAGCTGTTCCAGCCAGTCATGGATTCTAGCCTATGAGCCCCCCCCACCAATAACGCATCTCCCCCAAACAGCTCTGGCCTGGACCAATCACCCTTGGAGCCTGAAACTCTTTCCCAGGTGATCTGGGGCTGCCTCAGCATCCTTCCTGCTAGGAGGCTGGGATCTTGATAGCTAAATAAGAGGACCCATCCACTTTGAACTGGTTCTCTAAAGCCTCAGTTTCCCCAAGGGGGCAGCTAAGAAGAGAGAGCAAGTCTTGTGCCCTAAGGTTGATGTAGCTGTGCTTAGATTGCTGGGACTTCAAGCAGCTGTGGGGAGGGGGGAGGTCAGAAGTGTCTGTGGACCAGGGGCTCTGACCTCCTCTTCCCTCCACTGAATCAGCTGGTCTGATGCAAAAGGGTCTTGGAAGGGATTTCTCATAGGGGCTTGATGTCAAGGGTCTCTGCTGGGTCCTGTGCAGGCAGGAGGCTGGCTGGCAGGGCTGGTACCAGGCTGTGTCAGCTGAGACAGAAAGGCCTTATTGTTGGTGCTAGCGAGGGCTGCTGTGTCTCAACATAGGGGTGATTGGTTGCAATGTCAGGGGACAGAGGGAACCTGGCTGGGTAAGGGCCTAGAGCTTGCTGGAAAGGGTGTGAACCTGCAGCTTCGAGGGCTTTGGATGAGCCACTCTTCTGTGCTCTGGCTGGCTGCATGTCCTCACTGTTGTATCTAACTTTCTATTGTCTCTCAAGGTCTCTGCCCTGACTGGGAGGCCTGGGACCCAAACCAGCCTGTGCAGAACGCCCGGGAGGCCATGCAACAAGCAGATGACTGGCTCGGGGTGCCCCAGGTACACTGCATGAGGCACAGGACAGGAAGGGCAGGTTGGAAGGGGGTCTCTTAATGAGCCTGGCCAAGCTGCCAGTGGGACTGGGGCTGCTGAGGAGAGGGCACCCTGTGAGTATCATTTCTCTCTGTGACAGGTGATTGCCCCTGAGGAGATCGTGGATCCCAATGTGGATGAGCATTCGGTGATGACCTACCTGTCCCAGTTCCCCAAAGCCAAGCTCAAACCTGGTGCCCCTGTTCGCTCCAAGCAGCTGAATCCCAAGAAAGCCATCGCCTATGGGCCTGGTATGTGTGGTGCCCTGACGTCTTCTTGGGGTAGTGTGGCAGGTGTGGGATCCTGTGAGTAATCTAGGCTCTGCTTCTGCCCCTAGGCATCGAACCCCAGGGTAACACCGTGCTTCAGCCTGCCCACTTCACTGTGCAAACAGTGGATGCTGGGGTGGGTGAGGTGCTGGTCTACATTGAGGACCCTGAGGGCCACACCGAGGAGGTATGGAGAGGTCCCTGAGGATAAAAGGATCTGTGTAGAAGTGGCCCTGCCAGAGGGCCTGGCGGGTCCAGGGCTTTGTTCTACAGTCACTGTGGCTTCCAATCTTTTTCTTTCCCAATAGGCAAAGGTGGTCCCTAACAATGACAAGGACCGCACATATGCCGTCTCCTATGTGCCCAAGGTTGCTGGGTTACACAAGGTATCTCCCTATAGCCCCTCCTGTTCTCCCTGCCCAGCCCACACCTCGCCCCTGCCAACCATCCACCTCTCACCTTCCCTGGCTCAGAACTGCTTTCCCTTAGAAGCTAACCTTTGACCCCTACCCCCAGGTGACCGTGCTCTTCGCTGGACAGAATATTGAGCGTAGCCCCTTTGAAGTGAATGTGGGCATGGCCCTGGGAGATGCCAACAAGGTATCAGCTCGTGGGCCTGGCTTGGAACCAGTGGGAAATGTGGCCAATAAACCCACCTACTTTGATATCTACACTGCAGGTAAGGTGGGCCCCAGGGCGTGTGAGGGAGGCAGCCCCCCACAGTGAGGGGAGGGGAGGGTGGGCGTGGAGGTATGGAGAGGGTTGTGGCAGAGGTCCCAGGTAGAGGCTGGGTTATCTCAGGATGAGGGAATTCCATTGTGTGTCCAGAGTGGGTACTGCACAGCCTTTGTCCATTGCAGGGGCTGGCACTGGTGATGTTGCTGTGGTGATTGTGGACCCGCAGGGCCGGCAGGACACAGTGGAGGTAGCCCTGGAGGACAAGGGCGACAGCACATTCCGCTGCACATACAGGCCTGTGATGGAGGGACCACACACGGTTCATGTGGCCTTTGCTGGTGCCCCCATCACCCGCAGTCCTTTCCCTGTCCATGTGGCTGAAGGTAAGGGCCATTCACCTTACCAATGCCAAACAGACACTTGCCACCAAATTCTACATCTGAAGGTTGATGGGAAACATAGCAGTCCACAGCTAGGGGCGACCTGCGAAGGGCTTGAGATAGGTGAAAGTTGGGCAGATTCAAGGGTCCCACCACACACACGCTGGAGGAGGCTGGAGTGGTTAAGAGGAGGGTCAGGCAATCAGAAGGGGAACCACATGGAATGGTTGAGAGGGAAATGGTAGTGTCACACTGGTGAGGAGAGCCCAGCCTGCTTGTCAGGCCCTCAGTTGGTGACCTCCTCCCCCACTGGTTCTCTTCCTGCTCTCAGTGCCCCTGCCACCACCCACTCCCTCCGTGCCCATCATCCACCAAGCCAAGAGAGTGGCGCCACGTTAGTACTCACCGGTGGAGGTGGGGCCAGGCATGGCCAGAGCTGACTGGCCTCACCTGTTCTGTGTAGCATGGCCCATGCGGTATGGGTGTGCTCCGCTCCATGCCACTCTGTGACAGGCCAGCGTCGTATGCTATTGCCTGTATTCTCTGGCAGCTCTGGTCTCCTTGCTGCTTGCCTGGTGATTTCTATGATACCATTTAGGTTCTATGTTACTGCCCGTGTTCCATGGCAGGCCTAGATAAACGTCATTGCCTGTTTCGTGGTGCCTTGTGGGTTTCATGCGATTTTACGTGTCCTATAGCAGACTGAGACGCCCACTCTGCCTGCAACCCATGGCAGAATGGTTTCTGTGCATTGCCTGTGCTCAGTGTCAGGCTTCATGTGACGTGGAACAGCTGTTCCATGGGGTTGCTGGATGTCCTGTGGCATGACTGAGTTTCTGGAGTTGTTTTGGTGGCTCTGAGAAGGCCCAGTTGAATGTAGGTGGATGGCCTTAGGTAAAAGGTCCTCGCCTGTCTGTCTTAGTCCACTCAGCCCAGGCTCTGCCAGGCCTTCATCCCAAGTAGTGTCGGCAGGAAGAGTTTCCTGTAACCTCCTGACCTGGGGTCTTCAGCCAGCGACTTGTTCAGTTTGGTCCCCCAGCACAGGAGGGGACACAAGGAGCACAGAGGATTGCATGAGGCCCGGGCCTGGGCCTGTGAGAGGTCAGGACTGCACAGTGAGGAGAATGTGGATGAGGAGTGGAGACTTTAGGTTCCTTCAGCATCCCTAACTTCCTCTCTCTTCTTCCCAGCCTGTAACCCCAATGCCTGCCGTGCCTCTGGGCGAGGCCTGCAGCCTAAAGGTGTACGGGTGAAAGAGGTGGCTGACTTTAAGGTGTTCACCAAGGGTGCCGGCAGTGGGGACCTCAAGGTCACAGTCAAGGGGCCAAGTGAGTGCCAGCGCCCAGGGCTGGGGGGACTGCGCAGTGGTTCTGACAACCTGAGGGCAAAGAAAAACAGCATCCTCTCCTCAGAGCTCCAAAGAGATGCAGTGACCAGAGGCATCATGGATCTCAGACCATCTCTCTGCCTCAGTGTTCCAGGCTATACACTAAGACTTGCTGTCTCTGCCCCGTGTCCTGCATTGGCATGCTGTGTGGTCCCCACCCCAAGCTTCAGCTCTGCCCACTAGTAGCACTGCCCTCAGGTTGGTCTGGGTCCTAGAGGGTCCTCCAGGGGATGTTGATCTGTACCCCTCAATCTCCTCAGAGGGCACAGAGGAGCCGGTGAAGGTCCGGGAAGCTGGAGATGGTGTGTTTGAGTGTGAATATTACCCTGTGGTGCCTGGGAAATATGTGGTAACCATCATGTGGGGTGGCTATGCCATCCCCCGAAGGTAAGCACCATGCCCCCCTTCCCCCCCCTGCATGATCTTTCTGTCTGAGCCATGTCTGGGTGAGCGGAAGGGAGGTGGCTGCATGGGGTTGGAGGAAGAGAGGAAGGTATCTATGGAAGGGGCGCTTTCTGACTCTGATGCCACCTTTCTCTTTGCTTCAGCCCCTTTGAAGTCCAGGTGAGCCCAGAGGCAGGAGCCCAGAAAGTACGGGCCTGGGGCCCTGGTTTAGAGACTGGCCAGGTGGGCAAGTCAGCTGACTTTGTGGTGGAGGCCATTGGCACAGAAGTGGGGACTCTGGGTAAGTGGCTCTGACATGATGGAGGGATCCTGGAAAGTAGCTGGGGGCAGAGGATGCCAGTGCTAAGGGACATGTGGATGAGCAGGGAGAGTGACTATGTGGGGTGGGAGCTGGGGAAAAGATGAGGCCCTGCCTGAGAATCCAAGCTGCCTCTGCGCCCCCTGAGCCTCTTCTCCCCACTGCCTCAGGCTTCTCCATTGAGGGGCCATCACAGGCCAAGATTGAGTGTGATGACAAGGGTGATGGCTCCTGTGATGTGCGATACTGGCCCACGGAGCCTGGGGAATACGCTGTGCATGTCATCTGTGACGACGAGGACATCCGTGACTCACCCTTCATCGCTCACATTCAGCCTGCCCCGCCAGATTGCTTCCCAGACAAGGTATGGTCCCAGTTTGTGCATATTGGCTGGGCTGGGTGGGGTGGGGTCTGCTGGGCCTCTTTCTGGCTCCCAGCTTAGCCCTCTTCTCTGGACCTGTACAGGTGAAGGCCTTTGGGCCTGGGTTGGAACCCACTGGCTGCATTGTGGAAAGGCCTGCTGAGTTCACCATTGATGCCCGGGCTGCAGGCAAGGGAGACCTGAAACTCTATGCCCAGGTGAGGTGCTGCCAGTCTCCCCTGCCCCTCTGTTCCCCAGGCAGAGGCCTCCAGAAGGGAGATGATAATATCACAGAAAGAAAAGAGGACTGTTGGCTTACTAACAATAACCAAAACCTATTTTTGTACTAATAATTTGAAGTTGAAAGGTGATTTTGCCAAAGAGGACATTCATTTCCAGTCAGTTTCTAGGGATCCATGGACTCCCTAGATATTAATGACCATATCATTATTCAACTTTAGGAACATTGGCTTAGCCCAGCTTCTCCCTGACCAGGCACATGACACTAGGCTAAAGGGTCCTGATGTCAGCATGTGGCGGGGGGGGGGCCGGGGGAACGCCAAAGGAGTTGCGGGGGATCTGGTGGGAAAGGAATGGTGCCCGCTGCCAGAGGCCAGCAGAGGGCGCCGTGAGATACTCTGAGGCCACTGCAGCCCTCTAAACTGTTCTGGTGATGCCACAGGATGCGGATGGCTGCCCCATCGACATCAAGGTGATCCCCAATGGCGATGGCACTTTCCGCTGCTCCTACGTGCCCACCAAACCCATTAAGCACACCATCATCATCTCCTGGGGAGGTGTCAACGTACCCAAGAGCCCCTTCAGGGTGAGTCTTCCACACTTGACCTGTGCCCACTGCCAGGAGTCTCGGGGAGGCAGGACCCCAGGTAGCAGGTGTTGGCCATCCCTGGGCCCATTGCCACCCTTGCCCACCTTCCCGAGAGGCTGAGGCTGGGCTGAGTGGTATAGGGAGGGGAATGGGACTTGAGGGAAGCCTGCCATACTGAGCATCAACCCCTGCCCCCCAGGTGAATGTGGGAGAAGGTAGTCACCCGGAGCGGGTGAAGGTATATGGTCCTGGTGTGGAGAAGACAGGTCTCAAGGCCAATGAGCCCACCTATTTCACAGTTGACTGCAGCGAGGCAGGGCAAGGTATGTATCTGTCCACGGGGTAGATTCTGGCGGGAGGGCTTGGACTCCACTCAAGGCTGTTTCTTGGGACATGGCTCAGAACTGTCGGGGGCGGGGGGAGGGGGCAGGGTACCACTCAGAGCCTCTGTCTGCCTTCTATCAGGTGATGTGAGCATTGGCATCAAGTGTGCCCCAGGCGTGGTGGGCCCTGCAGAGGCTGACATTGACTTCGACATTATCAAGAATGACAACGACACCTTCACAGTCAAGTACACACCTCCAGGGGCCGGCCACTATACTATCATGGTGCTCTTTGCTAATCAGGTATCCCAGCCCTCCGCTATTGGTACTCATGGGCCTATACAGGAGGTATTAGTGGCTTCAGGAACAAGATGGATACTGATGGACCCCTTCCTATGCATGGGTGCTGTTCCACAGATGACGCAAAAGGGACTCTCTCAGAGGATTCCCCTTGTCCATACTGGGACCTTGGGCATCCCAACTAGCATGTAGCCCAGCACACAGGTGTGGCCCCCTAGGTAATGCCATGACCAATCCTTTTCTACATCAGGAGATCCCTGCCAGCCCCTTCCACATCAAGGTAGACCCGTCTCATGATGCCAGCAAGGTGAAGGCTGAGGGCCCTGGGCTGAACCGTACAGGTAGGGTTCTGAGAACCAGCATGATATGGGGGTTGGGCTTAGGTGGCCTCCAAGCCCTCACCACCATCTCTGGGTGGCCTCCTAGGTGTGGAAGTCGGGAAGCCCACTCATTTCACCGTGCTGACCAAGGGGGCTGGCAAGGCCAAGTTGGATGTGCACTTTGCCGGGGCAGCCAAAGGTGAGGCTGTGCGAGACTTTGAAATCATCGACAACCATGACTACTCCTACACTGTCAAGTACACTGCTGTCCAACAGGTGTGTCCTACTCTTGTATGCCCTCTTGTATTCTGCTGACCCCTGAGCTAAGCATCCCTCATCCAGTCTCAAAGGTCCAGCTTTTGATCCTTGCCTTTTTCCTGCCTTATTTTTCTTGCCATGGATTGAGAGTGGGTAGGGTGGGGAAAGAGCACATGCAAACCAGTCCTAGGGCTTGAATTCAGGGCCTGGGCACTTGTTCCTGAACTATTTTGCTTAAAGCTAGTGTTCTACCATTTGAGCCACATCTCCACTTAAGAGTCTCATAGACTTTCTTGCCCTGACTGTCTTTGGACCTCGATCGTCTGATCTCAGCCTCCTGAGTAGCTAGGATTATAGGTGTAAGCCACCAGCACCAAGCTTGTTGTGGATTTCTAAGCCTCAAGAGTCCATATTAGGGCTGGGAATGTGGGTAGAGTGCTTGCCTAGCATACATGAAGCCCTGGGTTCGATTCCTCAGCACCACATACCCAGAAAAAGCAAGAAGTGGTGCTGTGGCTCAAGTGGTAGAGTGCTAGCCTTGAGGAAGAAATTGACAGGGACTGTGCTCAGGCCCTGAGTGCATGCCCCGGGACTGGAAAAAAAAAAAAAGAGTCCACATTAGATACAATGCCAGAATGTATCTAAACCATCCTGCTCTGGCTTTCTGTTGTACCCTATAGGGTAACATGGCAGTGACAGTGACTTACGGTGGAGACCCTGTTCCCAAAAGCCCCTTTGTGGTAAATGTGGCACCCCCACTGGACCTCAGCAAAGTCAAAGTCCAAGGCCTCAACAGCAGTAAGTAGGGTGAAAGCCAGTCCTAGAGGGTGAGGTGTGCGGGGTGGGAGGCTAGAGCGTCTGCCCATCCTGTCCCTTGCCCTCCACACAGAGGTGGCTGTGGGGCAGGAACAGGCATTCTCCGTGAACACACGAGGGGCTGGTGGCCAGGGACAGCTGGATGTACGAATGACCTCACCTTCTCGACGGCCAATCCCCTGCAAGCTGGAGCCAGGGGGTGGAGCTGAAGCCCAGGCTGTGCGCTACATGCCCCCTGAGGAGGGGCCCTACAAGGTGGATATCACCTATGATGGCCATCCAGTACCTGGCAGCCCCTTTGCTGTGGAAGGTGTTTTGCCTCCTGACCCCTCTAAGGTGAGCAGAAAAGGACTGGTGAGAGCCAGGAGTCAGGGGCTGGTGTGGAAGATGGATAAATCATGGACAGAGGACAGAAGATTTAGGTGTATGGAGTGGTCACAGCCAAGGACCTAGGTCAAGGACCATCCCCCACCTTAGGATCTGCCTTGGACATAATCAGTTGTCTCCAAGTCTGGCTTAGATATCAGTCCTGAGCTTACATCCCAGGTCCACTCACTAGGACAGATTATTCCCTCTGTCCATCTCAGTGTCTTCAACTAAAGTTGTCAATTCTTATTTGTTTATTTATGTAGGACTAGGGTTTGGACTCAGGACCTTGTGCTTGCTAGGCAGGCACGTGAGCCACACCTCCAGCTAGAATTTATAATTCTACTCTCCTGCTCAAGGCTATCGTTCTACCACTTTGAACCACAGCTCCACTTCTGGCTTTGGTAGTTGATTGGAGATTAGAGTCTCATGGACTTTCCTGCCCAGGCTGGCTTTGTACCACAATCCTCAGATCTCAGCTTCCTGAGTAGCTAGGATTACAGGCGTGAGCCACCAGTACCTGGCTTAGAATTGTAAATTCTTAAGTCTCAGTAGTTGCTACAGCTGGATGCTTAGCTAGTTGAGAAGCCATAGAAGTGGGCAGTTGGGAGACCAGGTACAGGGAATTCACACTCTTGTCTCTCCCCCGCTAGGTCTGTGCTTATGGCCCTGGTCTCAAGGGAGGACTTGTAGGCACCCCAGCACCCTTTTCCATCGACACCAAAGGGGCTGGCACAGGAGGCCTGGGGTTAACCGTGGAGGGCCCCTGCGAGGCCAAAATCGAGTGCCAGGACAATGGCGATGGCTCCTGTGCTGTCAGCTACCTGCCCACAGAGCCGGGCGAGTACACCATCAACATCCTGTTTGCGGAAGCCCACATCCCTGGCTCACCCTTCAAGGCTACCATCAAGCCTGTGTTCGACCCAAGCAAGGTGCGGGCCAGTGGGCCAGGCCTAGAACGGGGCAAGGCTGGGGAGGCAGCCACGTTCACTGTGGACTGCTCCGAAGCGGGTGAGGCAGAGCTGACCATTGAGATCCTATCCGACGCCGGTGTCAAGGCCGAGGTGCTGATCCACAACAACGCCGATGGCACCTACCACATCACCTATAGCCCCGCCTTCCCCGGCACCTACACCATCACCATCAAATATGGCGGCCACCCCATACCCAAATTCCCCACCCGTGTTCATGTGCAGCCAGCTGTCGATACCAGTGGGGTCAAGGTCTCAGGACCTGGTGTGGAGCCACATGGTAAGAGGGGAGGAGGAAGAGGAGGAAGTGGTCATGATGTAGGTCAAGGAGCCATAGCCGGGGGGGGGGGGGGAAGGGAAGCAAGGATGGGGGTTGAGTGAAGGGTTGGTTTGGGGGAGAGTAATCTGGAGATAAGAATCTCATGGACCTTTCCACCCAGCCTGGCTTTGAATGGCAGTCCTCAAATCTGATGATTGCAGGCCTGAGCCACTGGTACTGGGCCAGTCCTGAGTCTTTAGTGGCCGAGACATCCCCCAAGATAGAGCAAAGGGGTCTAATAGCATCTGCAGATTGACCTCCGTTCTTGTGACAATATGGCATCTTGGGCATTTTCCCAATGAGATCCTTTCACTCATCTGCTTAAGAGTTCCCTGACTCAAGAAAGCTACTAGGGAGCAGAGGGGAAGCTTTAGGGTAGAGAGCGACTAGAGTCCAGAGATAGAGTGGCATTTGGCATTTGTGAGCTCCCTGCAGAGAGGCCAGTCTCTGGACGGGGGATGGAGCTGCCCCTGAGGGCCCATAGCCTTGATGAAAGGACAGACTGACGTGGGCAGAGGATTTCACCAGAAGGGGAGGGGAGCCAACAAGAGGCTGTGGGAACAGGCAAAAGCTCACCAGGTAGCAGCAAGGTAGCTGCAACAGCTGTGGTGTGGGGGGAAGGCGTGGTGAAGGCTGACACCCTGCTGAACACTCCTCCCAAATCCAGGTGTCCTGCGGGAGGTGACCACTGAGTTCACCGTGGACGCAAGGTCCCTCACAGCCACCGGTGGCAACCACGTGACAGCTCGTGTGCTCAACCCCTCGGGAGCTAAGACAGACACGTATGTGACAGACAACGGGGATGGCACCTACCGCGTGCAGTACACAGCCTATGAAGAGGGTGAGGTCACACAGGTCACACAAGTGTACGTGGACGGGGGTAGTGAGGCTGATACGTTCCTTGACTGATGGCAGCCTTCTTCTAGGTGTGCATTTGGTGGAGGTGCTGTATGATGAGGTAGCTGTGCCCAAGAGCCCCTTCCGAGTGGGCGTGACTGAGGGCTGTGATCCCAGCCGAGTCCGGGCCTTTGGGCCAGGCCTGGAGGGCGGCTTGGTCAACAAGGCCAACCGCTTCACTGTGGAAACCAGGTAGCCTAGGCCTTGCCTAACCTTGACCTGGGGCTGTGGCCATTTTGACCTCCCCTCCTTGCCCTTTCTATTAGTCCTGTTTGTGCCTCACCTACTCTATTCTTTCCCAGAGACCAGACCTCTCTCAGTATCCCCAGATCCTCACTCCTCCTCAGATGCCCGCATCCCCCCCGCCCCTGGCAGCCTGCCCTCTATTTCCTTCCTATCCCCCAACTTCCTCCATCACCATTCACTGATCCTCGCTGGACTGACAGGAGTGTTGTCTTACAGGGGAGCTGGCACTGGGGGCTTAGGCCTGGCCATTGAGGGCCCCTCGGAAGCCAAGATGTCCTGCAAGGACAACAAGGATGGCAGTTGCACTGTGGAGTACATCCCTTTCACCCCTGGCGACTATGACGTCAACATTACCTTTGGAGGGCGCCCCATCCCAGGTGCGCAGGGGAGGTGGGGCTCAAGGAAGGCAAGGGAGCTTTGTAGGATGCAGGTTCCGTGGGGGCCACTGAGGGTGTGGAGATTCACAGAGCAGACATGGAGAGCAAGTGGGAGCAGGAGCCCAGACAGCAGAAAGAGGTCTAGCGGCTGATTCCTGGCCCAAAGGCAGGACTGTGGGTCTTGTGGATGTGACAGGATTTCAAAGACCCTTGTCTAGAGTACCAGACCTTGGTCATGCAGAGCTGCTGACTAGGTTCTGTCACTCAAGATAATCTAGGCTGCCACTGCCGCTGGCCCGCTGGCTGCTCTCAGCTTGTGCCCATTCTGCAGCGTTCTCCTGCACCTATGCTCAAGCCACTGGGTACATCAAGTCTACGGTTCTAGAAGTTGGGTCCGGTGAAACTGGACATTTTCCCCTTCTCTAATTTGATGCCTTTTCCTTCTTTCATTCTTCCTTCCTTCCTTCCTTCCTTTTCTTTCCTTTCTTTCTTTCTCTCTCTTCCTTTCTTCCTTTTATTTTTTTTTGGGGGGTCTGGTCTTGGGCCTAAACTCTGGGCCTGGGCGCTGTCCCTCAGCTCTTCAGCTCAAGGCTAGCGCTCTACCACTTGAGCCACAGCGCCACTTCTGGCTTTTTTCTTTTTGCTTATGTGGTGCTGAGGAATCGAACCCAGGGCCTCATGCATGCGAGGCAAGCGCTCTACCGCTGGCCACCTTCCCAGCCCTCTCTTACTTTTTTAAATTCTTATTTTTTTATGTTGGGCTTGAACTCAGGGCTTCAAACTCTCCCTGAGCTATTTTGCTCAAGGCTGTCACTCTACCAGTTGAGCCACACCTTCACTTCCCAGGTCATGTCTTTTAAAGCATGGCTAAATATTTCTTGCCTACTCTGGAGAAGAGTGTTTGTTCCATTTATCCAAAGATGCCTTCCTCCTCCTTAGGAGGCCTTTCCTCAAGTACTCTTGAGCACTACACATATGTTGTATGTGGTGTGTGTGTGTGAGACTGCATGTCCACTGCACCTGTGATCTTGGCTGTGAAGGGGCTTCCTGGGATATGCTTGTCATCGAAGCGAACGATGATGCTGTAGTCTCCAGGTGCTGTGGGCAGGTAGGACACGGTGCAGGTACCATCTTTGTTGTCCTTGCAGGGTGGAGAGGAGAATCATCAGACAAAGCACTCCGGGGGCCTCCCTCTCCTGAGGCATCCATGCGGCACACCCTCACCAATGTGCCGGTTAGGCAGACGCTTCAGCAGACAGGGCTCCTCATTGCCCGAAGGGGCACGGATGCTGGCAGTCAGCTGGCTCAGGTCACTTTCGGTGATCTTCAGTGACACATCAGTGGAAGTGCCAACATTCAGCTGGGATGTTCTCATGGAGTCATCACCTGTGGGGAAGCTGGGCATCAGATGGCTGTGGTGTCAGATGGTGAGTTTAGACCCTGCTGGTCTTGAGACCAGAGGCCACCCCCAAGCAGAGGCTGAGGCCTGGGAGAGCAGAGCTACATTTTGCATCAGCTGTCAGCACCCTCTGGTAGACCTAACAACCTAATTTCTGAGGTTGCCTCCATCCTGTGTGGGCAGAGAACTTTGTCTATTCCATCCTGTGTGGCAGGAACTTTATCTATTCCTGAGTGTGAGAGAAATGAGACAAAAGACCAGACCATGCACTCCTTGTGCACTTCGTGGCTCTGTTCAAAGTGCTTAGCCTCTCTGGGATGGGCTTCTTCAGATATATTTTTTTTCTTTTTTTTGGGGTGGGGGCGGGGGTCCGGTTGTGGGACTTGAACTCTGGGCCTGGGCGCTGTCCCTCAGCTCTTCAGCTCAAGGCTAGCACTCTATCACTTGAGGCACAGCACCACTTCCCGCTTTTTTTTCCCGCTTATGTGGTGCTGAGGAATCAAACCCAGGGCCTCAGGCATGCAAGGCAAGCGCTCTACCACTGAGCCACCTTCCCAGCCCCAAAGTCAGTCACATCTTTTCTATAACTATCAACTGCGATGTTAAAAACACATTTTTGCCAGGCACTGTAGCAAATTCCTGAGCATAGTGTTGTGTTGGTCAGGTTTCCCTGTGGGCATCGTGTGGCAGGGAGGCTGCCTTCTCCTTCTCAGCTTTAGGGAGACCTTCCCAGGCAGGTGGGTAGAGGCTGACATTCTCATCCTCACAGGGAGTCCATTCCGGGTGCCAGTGAAGGATGTGGTGGATCCTGGGAAAGTAAAGTGTTCCGGACCAGGGCTGGGGGCTGGCGTCAGAGCACGGGTACCCCAGACCTTCACAGTGGACTGCAGTCAAGCTGGCCGGGCCCCCTTGCAGGTGGCGGTGCTGGGCCCCACAGGTATGGGATGTCTGGGGAGGGGAGGTGGGATAGGGTGCCAGAAGAGTCTGCTGACCCTGCTTCCCTTGCCCAGGTGTGCCTGAGCCTGTGGAGGTGCGTGATAATGGGGATGGCACCCACACTGTCAACTACACCCCTGCCACTGATGGACCCTACACAGTAGGTGTCAAGTACGCTGACCAGGAGGTGCCACGCAGGTGAGGACCAGCATGGACTCCCAGGCTGAACTTTGGAGTACTTCTCCTGGGGCCATACCTGCAGGGCCACTTGAGGGATTAGGGAGAGCCCCTCCCACTATATATGAGTCTCATCCTGTCTGGCTGCCCAATCTTGATCCTCCTGGAGGTGGCACAGGCCCAGAGGGATTGATTGACCTCAAAATTACCACCTAGGCCTTGTGGGCAGGGATGGGAGGGGGAAGCGGAGGAAAGCAAAGAAAGTAATGTACTTATTACCTGACTTACGAAACAGTAGCACCTCTGTACAACGCCTGAGTAATAACAATAAAATCATACTTTGTAAAGTATAACTGGAAATCAGATGAAGACTTAAAAAAAAATTAGCACCTAAGCAAAGTGCAGGAGGCATGAGAGCCTGCTGGACTTCTCAGGAAATACACATTCTCCCTGGGAATAGAGAACGAATGTTCAGACTAGGTCAGAAGGGTCCCTAGGGGACGTTACTCAAGACTGAGGATAGCCCAGCTCCTGGCCTTCCTCCCAGCCTCTCACAGTCATCTCTCCTACCCAACTTCCCAACCCCAAACCCCAACCAACGTCCCCTCCTTTCTGTCTCTCAAGCCCTTTCAAGATCAAAGTGCTTCCAGCCCATGATGCCAGCAAGGTACGGGCTAGTGGCCCTGGCCTCAATGCCTCTGGCATCCCTGCCAGCCTACCTGTGGAATTTACCATTGATGCTCGGGATGCTGGAGAAGGGCTTCTCACTGTCCAGATCCTGGTGAGTCCAGGGTCAACCCACCTCCAGGTCTGGCTCTGGACCCAGACAGGTCTTGACCTCTTTCCCCCTTCTAGGACCCTGAGGGTAAACCCAAGAAAGCCAATATCCGAGACAATGGGGATGGCACATACACTGTGTCCTACCTGCCAGACATGAGTGGCCGATACACCATCACGATCAAGTATGGCGGCGATGAGATCCCCTACTCACCCTTCCGCATCCACGCCCTGCCCACTGGGGATGCCAGCAAGTGCCTTGTTACAGGTGAGCACCCACTTGCATCCCTAGCCTTCTCACCATCCGATCCCTTCAAAGTGCATCTAGTTCCCTAGTCCAGTCCCCAAAGGACTGCTGGCTAGAGAGCCTGTTCCCATCTCCGCTACCCATCCATGCCCATCCTGAGCCACACATGGTCTAACCCTCTTCTCTACTTCCAGTGTCCATTGGAGGCCATGGCCTGGGTGAGTGTCATCTTCTCTTCTGCTGTGGGGCTAGGGGACTAAAGGGGTAATGGGGGGGACTGCACAGGGCTGGACAATCCTCCATAGCCCCTGACCTGCCTTTCCCATGTGCCAGGTGCCTGCCTGGGCCCCCGAATCCAAATCGGAGAGGAGACCGTGATAACGGTGGATGCCAAGGCAGCAGGGAAGGGGAAGGTGACCTGCACAGTGTCTACACCGGATGGGGCAGAGCTGGATGTGGACGTGGTTGAGAACCACGATGGCACCTTTGACATCTACTACACAGCACCTGAGCCGGGGAAATACGTCATCACCATCCGCTTTGGGGGCGAGCACATCCCCAACAGTCCCTTCCACGTGCTGGTAAGCTCCTGGCCGTGGGGGCGGGGAGGGGGTGGCAGATGGGTGGAGGTGAGCTCCATTCCTTGTAGTAGAAGCTAGGGTCCCCAGCTGTCCCCATGGAATCACCAATCAAGTCCCCATATCTGAGAGGTAGACTGTTCTGGAATCGAACCTTTGCTGGCCTTGCAGCCTCCTTAAATGGGAAATGAGCACAGCCCCACATATGACCTCAGCCCTCCCTAGAGGAACTTGCTGTGGTCCTCCCAGACGTCTGGCTACCCTCTTGGGCTCCTTCTCAGCAGACATGGCCCTGCAGAACAAGGGTAGATACCTGAGACATTCACCCCAGAGTTCAGGTCACTGGAACGCTCTCTGCTCTGAGTTCGGTCTGGTCCCCTGGACACACCATATCCTGTGCCCCATACCTTGCCTCCCCAGGCGTGTGACCCCCTGCCCCGTGTGGAGGAGCCTGCTGAAGTACTACAGCTGCGCCAGCCCTACGCCCCTCCCCGGCCTGGCACCTGCCCCCCACACTGGGTACTACCATCTCCAAAACGGGCTTCCTCTTCCTCCCTACCCTTGCATTTCTCCCTTCTATTCTGTTGCAGCCAAGGTTGGGTCATGGTTTGGGAGCTTCTTGGGGAGCAAGTGGGCCTTAGGCTGGGCAGAGAGCCATGAGCTGGGCACAGCACTCCTTCTCTTGAAGTTCACGCCCCTTTCTTACCTTTCAGGTTCTACTATTAACCATCTATTTCTTTTCTCACTCTCTCCAGCATCAGTCAGGAGGCAGGCTACACTTTTGGGCCTTGCCCAGCCAATGACTTTTCTCTCTCACCTGCCACAGGCCACTGAGGAACCCGTGGTTCCCTTGGAGCCTTTGGAGTCCATGCTGAGGCCCTTCAACCTGGTCATCCCCTTCACTGTACAGAAAGGGGAACTCACAGGTATTTCCCAGGCCCCTTGGCAGAAGGGCTCAGAGGGCAGGCCCACATCCTTATCTTAGAGATAGAAGCTAGAGTCCAGAGAGGGGAAGCAAAACTATCCCAGGTCACACAGCAAGTTGGGCAGAGCTAGAACTCAGCCTCAAGCTATCTGTTTTCTAATTCTTGGTTGGTCCTGCTGCTCCAGTCTGTGTCTTAGTGTCTAGCCTTTGGGGTGAAAGCAAAGTCACATACGGGGCCATCCCAGGGGCAACAAGAGCTGTGGTAGAAAAAAAATATCTAGGGTTCTGGTAACCATGTGTGCCCTGCAGGGGAGGTACGGATGCCCTCCGGGAAGACTGCCCGACCCAACATTACTGACAACAAGGATGGCACCATCACGGTGAGATATGCACCCACTGAGAAGGGCCTGCACCAGATGGGCATCAAGTATGACGGCAACCACATCCCTGGTGAGTTGGGGTCTGGCAGGGCTAGGGAGAGAGGACCAGCCACATGGGTCCCGCCTCCTTCTTTGAGCACCTGACGTGTTCTCATACATGGCAAATCTAATGTCCAGACCTCCACAAGCCAAGCGCCTATGGCAGAGATGCAGGACTCAGCAAAGAGGCTTCTGGAAGATGCTGGGGTCCAGGGCATTCCCAAGTAGCTCCTGTTCCGATGCTAACCCGGCTCCCGATCTTTCTCCCTGCAGGGAGCCCTCTGCAGTTCTATGTGGATGCCATCAATAGCCGTCACGTCAGTGCCTATGGGCCAGGCCTGAGCCATGGCATGGTCAATAAGCCAGCTACCTTTACCATCGTCACCAAGGATGCTGGGGAAGGTGAGGAGAGCTTCAGGCAGGGGGCAGGGTGGGTGCCTGGCTGGGAGGGCAGGACTTCTGATCTCAGACCTACCTCTACCTAAAGGGGGTCTGTCACTGGCTGTGGAGGGCCCATCCAAAGCAGAGATCACCTGCAAGGACAACAAAGATGGTACCTGCACCGTGTCCTACCTGCCCACAGCACCTGGAGACTACAGCATCATCGTTCGCTTCGATGACAAGCATATCCCAGGAAGCCCCTTCACAGCCAAGATCACAGGTGCAGTGGACATGCAGTCTCACACACACACACCACATACAACATATGTGTAGTGCTCAAGAGTACTTGAGGAAAGGCCTCCTAAGGAGGAGGAAGGCATCTTTGGATAAATGGAACAAACACTCTTCTCCAGAGTAGGCAAGAAATATTTAGCCATGCTTTAAAAGACATGACCTGGGAAGTGAAGGTGTGGCTCAACTGGTAGAGTACCAGCTACAAAAAAGCCAAGCAAGAGCATGAGGTCTTGACTTCAAGCCCCAGTACTGGAGCACACATGTGGGCGAGACTACACACACACACACACACACACACACACACACACACACACACACACACACACACACACACACACACACACACACACACACACACACACACACACACACACACACACACACACACACACACACACCTGATCTCATTTCACTTAGGAAGTTACTCTTGAGGGGCTGGGAAGGTGGCTCAGTGGTAGAGCACTTGCCTTGCACGCATGAGGCCCTGGGTTCGATTCCTCAGCACCACAAAAGCGGGAAAAAAAAGCGGGAAGTGGTGCTGTGCCTCAAGTGATAGAGTGCTAGCCTTGAGCTGAAGAGCTGAGGGACAGCGCCCAGGCCCAGAGTTCAAGTCCCACAACCGGACCCCCGCCCCCACCCCAAAAAAAAGAAAAAAAATATATCTGAAGAAGCCCATCCCAGAGAGGCTAAGCACTTTGAACAGAGCCACGAAGTGCACAAGGAGTGCATGGTCTGGTCTTTTGTCTCATTTCTCTCACACTCAGGAATAGATAAAGTTCCTGCCACACAGGATGGAATAGACAAAGTTCTCTGCCCACACAGGATGGAGGCAACCTCAGAAATTAGGTTGTTAGGTCTACCAGAGGGTGCTGACAGCTGATGCAAAATGTAGCTCTGCTCTCCCAGGCCTCAGCCTCTGCTTGGGGGTGGCCTCTGGTCTCAAGACCAGCAGGGTCTAAACTCACCATCTGACACCACAGCCATCTGATGCCCAGCTTCCCCACAGGTGATGACTCCATGAGAACATCCCAGCTGAATGTTGGCACTTCCACTGATGTGTCACTGAAGATCACCGAAAGTGACCTGAGCCAGCTGACTGCCAGCATCCGTGCCCCTTCGGGCAATGAGGAGCCCTGTCTGCTGAAGCGTCTGCCTAACCGGCACATTGGTGAGGGTGTGCCGCATGGATGCCTCAGGAGAGGGAGGCCCCCGGAGTGCTTTGTCTGATGATTCTCCTCTCCACAGGGATCTCCTTCACCCCCAAGGAGGTTGGGGAGCACGTGGTAAGCGTGCGCAAAAGTGGCAAGCACGTCACCAACAGCCCCTTCAAGATCTTGGTGGGGCCATCGGAGATCGGCGATGCCAGCAAGGTTCGAGTCTGGGGCAAAGGCCTTTCTGAAGGCCACACCTTCCAGGTGGCAGAGTTCATTGTGGACACTCGTAATGCAGGTACTTTAGAGATGCCCCGCTCCAGTTGTGACTCTGGGTATTCAGTCTGTCTTTCCTACCTAGCTCCCCTTCAGCCATACCTTTCTCCCTGGGCTTTCTGACCCCTGTTGAGATGAACAGTCTGGAGTCTACCTGGGGAAAAGTGAATAGCCCATTGGATCTCTTATTTTTTTTTTTTTTGGTCGGTCGTGGGGCTTGAACTCTGGACCTGGGCGCTGTCCCTCAGCTCTTCAGCTCAAAGCTAGCGTTCTACCACTTGAGCCACAGTGTCACTTCTGGCTTTTTCTGTTTATGTGGTGCTGAGGAATTGAACCCAGGGCCTCATGCATGCGAGGCAAGCGCTCTACCGCTGGCCACCTTCCCAGCCCTCTCTTACTTTTTTAAATTCTTATTTTTTTATGTTGGGCTTGAACTCAGGGCTTCAAACTCTCCCTGAGCTATTTTGCTCAAGGCTGTCACTCTCCCAGTTGAGCCATACCTCCGCTTCCAGCTTTTTGCTTGTTAATTGGAAATAAAAGTCTAACAGAATTTTTCTGCCCAAGCTGGCTTCAAACCACAATTCTTAGGTCTCAGCCTCCTGAGTAGGTAGGATTACACGTGTGAGCCATCATTGCCTGGCTTCTCTTACTTTTAAAAGAAACCTCAGCCATTCTGACGTTTTTTCTTCTCTTCACTCACTGCAACCCAAGAGGACCACCTTATTCTAGATCACCTCTCTGGTGGGCCTTGGGAACAATGCTTGGCCTACCCTCCACCTCCCACTGTAACCCTTCTCCTTCTGGGTGAAAACTGTAGTTTGGGGGCTTGGGGGCGGGGCAGATCAGTGACATGATTGTCACTAGGCTGAGGGAAATCTAACCCTTTCAGGTTATGGAGGCCTAGGGTTGAGTATTGAAGGCCCTAGCAAAGTGGACATCAACTGTGAGGACATGGAGGACGGCACATGCAAAGTCACCTACTGCCCCACTGAGCCGGGCACCTACATCATTAACATCAAGTTTGCTGACAAGCATGTGCCTGGTAAGGCTCTGGGCTGAGAATGGGTGCAGGGACAGGGCAGGGGCTAGGAGGCTTGATCTTCTGACCCAAACTTCCCTTTAATCCCTGCCCCCCAGGAAGCCCCTTCACCGTGAAGGTGACAGGTGAGGGCCGCATGAAGGAAAGCATCACCCGGCGTAGACAGGCACCTTCCATCGCCACCATCGGTAGCACCTGTGACCTCAACCTCAAGATCCCAGGTAGAGCCAGGAAGGGTGGGAAGAGCTAGATGATAGAGCGGGACTATGGGGATGCAGGCCCTGTGCTCTCAGGGCCTTTGTCCTGCTTGCTCACCCCCTCAATGTCTCCGCCCCTGTCTGCTGGCACCCACAGGAAACTGGTTCCAGATGGTGTCTGCCCAGGAGAGGCTGACACGCACCTTCACACGCAGCAGCCACACATACACCCGCACAGAGAGGACGGAGATCAGCAAGACTCGGGGTGGGGAGACCAAGCGTGAGGTGCGGGTGGAGGAGTCCACCCAGGTTGGTGGAGACCCCTTCCCTGCTGTTTTTGGGGACTTCCTGGGCCGGGAGCGCCTGGGTTCCTTCGGCAGCATCACTCGGCAGCAGGAAGGTAAGTAGAGAACACCGGGCTGGGCCTGTGTCCTCACAGGGGGGCTGGGGCCTCCAGTTTTGAGTCAGAAAAAGAGGCTGAAGTCAGCAGGCCCAAACCCTGGCAGACTCAGTCCAAGGAGAAGGATTCACTAAGGAGGGAGACGGGGGACAAGGATGGCCTGTTGTCCTGACAGCACCCCCCCCTCTACAGGTGAGGCCAGCTCTCAGGACATGACCGCACAGGTGACCAGCCCATCGGGCAAGACGGAAGCTGCAGAGATTGTGGAAGGAGAGGACAGCGCATACAGTGTGCGCTTTGTGCCCCAGGAGATGGGGCCCCACACGGTTGCTGTCAAGTACCGTGGCCAGCACGTACCTGGCAGTCCCTTCCAATTCACCGTGGGGCCTCTGGGTGAAGGTGGTGCCCACAAGGTGAGAGCTGGAGGCACAGGTCTGGAGCGAGGTGTGGCTGGCATGCCAGGTAAGAAGGAAGGAAGCCAGGAGAGAGGTGGGGGCAGGGCAGCCTGGGTGAGGGGCGATAGTGCTCACATGCCACCGTGCTTCTTGAATCTAGCTGAGTTCAGCATCTGGACCCGAGAAGCAGGTGCTGGGGGTCTGTCCATTGCTGTGGAGGGGCCCAGCAAGGCAGAGATTGCATTTGAGGACCGCAAAGATGGCTCCTGTGGTGTCTCCTATATTGTCCAGGAGCCAGGTAGGTGCCCTTACAAGAAGTGGGACTGAGCCAACCCAACCTTCCAGACTGGGTTTCTGCTTACCAATTAGGCAGAAGACCCCTAGTCACCCCTCACCAGCCCCACCTGCTTGTCTGGTCCACCTCCCTCCCAACCATCCTGGAATCTACGTCTATCCTCAGAGCTATTTCTGGGAAAGACCTGGGTGGGGGTGGCTTAGCCCCACCACTCCTCCTCCTGGGAAATATGCTGACTAGCCTCGCTCCGCAGGTGACTATGAAGTGTCCATCAAGTTCAATGATGAGCACATCCCTGACAGCCCATTTGTGGTCCCGGTGGCCTCCCTCTCAGATGATGCTCGCCGGCTCACAGTCACCAGTCTCCAGGTATGTGCTGGTTTGTCTCCCTGTGCTGCTGTCTACACTTCCTACTACTGAGTTCGTTCCACTTCCTCCCAAAAGGTCTAATGACTTAGGAGAATAGAAGTAATTACATTAATATAGAATATAGAGTAAGCTGGCTTGTACAGAGGGCCCTGGCACACATAGGCACACATAGCCACCAGGCCTGGGCTGTGCCTCCCACAACAGTGCATTCTCCTCCTGTGACTTCTTGAAAGAGAATGACTTCCAGCTATCATTTGGGAACGTGTGTCACATGGGCTTCAGCAAGCCATGTGTTCAGCCATATGTTGTTAAATAAAGGGCAGGGAGGAAACCTTACCTCTGTCCCCTTCTAGGTGCCTTGAGTACAGTTCTGTCAGTCTACAAGGGTCCCTAAGGTGAACCCCATTATAGAAAGGGGCTGTACTTTCTTCCCACACCCACTTCCTCTCCCAGACTCCTTCCTGCCTGTGCTCACTTCAGCCCTACCATCTTCTGTAAGAGCTCCCAGGCTAGTCCGATATACTTGGGTTTCCACACCTGAGCTCCAGGGAGCTCAGTCCACAAGCACTGCCAAACTCCTGCATCTGTCATGAAGCTTGGTTTTCATAATATCTGGCCTCAGGACAAGAGTTCATCAACCCTCATCCCCTGCAGTACCAACATGGCTGGGACAATACCTACATCTTGGCAGGTGGATGCAGAAGGTCACAGGCCAGCCTCTGCATCCTCCTCCTCCTCCCTGAAAGCTGCTAGGGACAGCTCCTGGGGACAGTAAGATTGGGCTGAAGAGATGAGCACTCAGTCCCAGCCTCCTAGGACTCTTGACATTTGCTGTGGCCTTTGCAGGAGACCGGGCTCAAGGTGAACCAGCCAGCATCCTTTGCAGTGCAGCTGAACGGGGCTCGGGGCGTGATAGATGCCAGGGTGCACACACCCTCAGGAGCCGTGGAGGAGTGCTATGTCTCTGAGCTGGACAGTGGTGAGCTGGCCCTGCCCCCGCCATCCCCTGCCAGGCAAGAACCTACTGGAGAGGGCTGGAGGATAGTGGCTAACCATATTACTACCTTCCCACCCACAGACAAGCACACCATTCGATTCATCCCCCATGAGAACGGCGTCCACTCCATTGATGTCAAGTTCAACGGTGCCCACATCCCCGGAAGCCCTTTCAAGATACGTGTTGGGGAACAGAGCCAGGCTGGGGACCCAGGCTTGGTGTCAGCTTATGGTCCAGGGCTCGAGGGAGGCACCACTGGTAAGAGCCTGGAATTAAGGAGCAGGGATGGATTTGGGGTGTTCAGGCAGAGGCAGAGACAAAGCTCTCTGAAGCCCAAGGTCTTTGCAGAACTGCTTGGGGGGGGAGGGGGGAGGAGGCAGGGCGGGGGGAGCCAACCCTATCCTGGGCGGCATCTCTTTCTGCCTACATCCTTGCTCCCTCCCTCCCCAGGTGTGTCATCAGAGTTCATCGTGAACACCTTGAATGCCGGCTCAGGAGCCTTGTCCGTCACCATTGATGGTCCCTCCAAGGTGCAGCTGGACTGTCGGGAGTGTCCTGAGGGTCATGTGGTCACTTACACTCCCATGGCCCCTGGCAACTACCTCATAGCCATCAAATATGGTGGCCCCCAGCACATTGTAGGCAGTCCTTTCAAGGCCAAGGTTACAGGTGAGTGCCCTAGATTGGATGGCTCCAACCAACTGGCCATTCACATCTGGTCTTATTCTGCCCCCAAACATCATGGTCAAATTACCAGAGGTGGGCCTGGCTTTATGCAGAATTCCATTCTGTGAACTCATGCATAATCATTTTCAGAATCCAACTTGTCCTCTTTATCCCTTTCTGATTAATCTTTTTTTTTTGAGGGGGGGGGTCTGGTCGTGGGGCCTGAACTCTGGGCCCTCAGCTCTTCAGCTCAAGGCTAGCGCTCTACCACTTGAGCCACAGTGCCACTTCTGGCTTTTTTCTTTTTGCTTATGTGGTGCTGAGGAATTGAACCTAGGGCCTCATGCGTGCAAGGCAAGCGCTCTACCACTGAGCCACCTTCCCAGCCTCCCCTTTTTTTCTTGTGCTAGTACTGTGCTAATACTCATTGTGTTGCACTCACATCTACTACTTTATTACTTGAGCTATAGCTCCATGTCTGGCTTGGTACTAGTTAATCAGAACAAGATTCTCATAGACTTTCCTTCCTGGCCTGGCTTTGAACCACAATCCTCAGGGCTCTGCCTCCTGAGTAGCCAGGATTATAGGTGTCAGCCACCAGCATGGTTGTGTGTTTCTTTTTCAAATAAAACTCTTGCTCTGTGAGTTAACTTCAGTTCCAGCAGAGGCCACGGCCTAGGGATAAGCAGGAGCTGGAGCTGGAAGTGTAGGTATCTGCCGGGAAAGGATTGTGCTCCTCAAAGGCCACAGCTAAGGACAGGAAGGGAGAGTCCTATAATGCAGGCATTGTGGCCCCAAAAGGTTGTCAGTGTGCCTTGAGGCCCACAACCTAGGGAAGGACAGGAATGCCCTCTGACTGGGATCATGACCACCCATTCCGCCCCTCAGGTCCCAGACTGTCTGGAGGCCACAGCCTTCACGAAACATCCACGGTTCTGGTGGAGACTGTGACCAAGTCCTCCTCGAGCCGGGGCTCCAGCTACAGCTCCATCCCCAAGTTCTCCTCAGATGCCAGCAAGGTGGTGACAAGAGGTCCCGGGCTATCCCAGGCCTTTGTGGGTCAGAAGAACTCCTTCACAGTGGACTGCAGCAAGGCAGGCAGGTTCAAGGGGAGAGAAGGCAGCCTCTGGGACAGTGGGGGGACGCAGGAAGTGGGGGATAAGGTGTGGCCTGGGGAACACATGGGAGCCCACCCTCTCTGCCTCCCTCTCCAGGCACCAACATGATGATGGTGGGTGTGCACGGGCCCAAGACCCCCTGTGAGGAGGTATATGTGAAGCACATGGGGAACCGCGTGTACAACGTCACCTACACTGTCAAGGAGAAAGGGGACTATATCCTCATTGTCAAGTGGGGTGATGAAAGTGTCCCCGGAAGCCCCTTCAAAGTCAATGTGCCCTGAATCCCAGAAGTGCCTCCCCCAGCCTCCGCCCCCACCTCGGCCAAACACACATCCACCCCCATCCACCCCCACAAATGTGCCACACCCAGACACACACTTGCAGAACCGGACGCTACAAACACCTGCCTTGGGTGTGATGTGAAGGGCGCAGCCCCCCACCTCACTGTGTCCCTGCAGTCGAGAGCCTCTGTCTCAGAGCAGGGCTTCTCTCTTAAGAGTTGTGCAAGGACAGACCGCTGGAGCCAGACCTGGCAGAGACACAATGGGCTGGATGAGGGCTTGGGGGCCTAGAGAAGCCCAAAGTTCCCTGATGGGGCTGAGGCCAGTGTGGTAGCTTTGTGTTGGGGAGATCTATTTGTGAGAGAGGTTGCCTGCAAACCCCCTGAGGACTGTCACTGGCCCCTTTGGTGGCCACAGCCCAGAGAGTTAAAGACTTGGATGGGGGAAGTACAACGGAGAAGAAAACAGACCAGATCAAGCGGCACGTGGACCGGCCCGAGCAACACGTATTCCACCCAAGCCAGGCTTTCTGAGGGACTGATTTCTCTCTCCTTCTGTCTTTCAAACTCTCTCTTTTTATATTTACTGTTGCACAGCTCTGCCCCTTGGGGGCCTTTTTTACACACTGCGAGGCCCAGCTTTCTGGGGGGACTTTTGCACATGTTATGCGGCTGACTTTAGAGCCGCCCAAGTGGAAAACTCCAAATAAAGTACGGCTGTCGCGGAGGCTTGGCTGTTCTGTGTGGGTGTGTTCTCTTGCCCTGGGAGGGACAGAGGAAGGGTAGCTCTTCCCTGGAGGCCTGACCCAGACTGAAGGGTAGGGCCTAGGAAAGAAATGAGGGCTAGGATGTTGGCAGGAAGCTTGAAAAATGAGGGTGAGGTGGAGTTCAGCCCTCAGCGAGTTGGAAGGTTAGTGGGTGGTAGCAGAGTAGATTGTTCTGGAAGGCTGCACTAGAACTACTGGAAGGCCAATTTCAGCTCAGCCAGAAGGAGGATACACTTCAAATTAGGACCAGGGAGCACCAATTCAAACAGAAATGTTCCATACTCAGAGAGCAGGTAGGATCATTTGTACCCCAAAACTTCACTCTAGGGCCTGCGCGCCTTCCCTACCTCTCGGCCTCACTTGCATAAATCTCCTCCCTGGACTCCAACCCAATTGCTGCAGCTCAAGGGAGTCGCACAAAGGAGTCCCTGGGAGGTCTAATGTAGACCTGATTTAACATGGGAATGAGCAATTGAGTTGCAGAACAGGGCAAGACATTTTCTCAATGGGATCAATAACAATCCACCAGTCCCCCGACACTTGGTGACAGTGCTACCAGACAAGACCCAAATCTCAAGGAGTTCCAGCTCCTAACCCTGCTTCTCTTCCCCGCTAGGCTCCATGGCCTGCCTCTTCCCTCACTCCTCACCTAGAAAGAGGCACTGCCCCCTCCCCCCCACATTTCTCTGGGTCTACCCCTCCAGAGCTTCTCTTTATCACATCTTCACCTCTCCCCTGAGATTTCTTCCCCTCTAGTCCTGCAGGAAGCTCTTAAAGACAGGATCCTATTTTATCAGGCTTACATCCTCAGTCTCTGATTGTGGCCACATTTGATAAGTGATGATTGAAGCAAAGAGCAGTAACAAAAGTGGTGCTGTCCCAACTCCTTACTCTAGCTGACAAAGCCATTAAAAGTGAATTCATTCTGTTGTGTACTCAACCATCTGTGACTGCTGAGGATCTGTGTGTGCCAGATGCTCGACTAAGTGCTCCTACACCCCTTCATTCTCTCCCTCTGGTCAGTACAAGGGTACCTGTTAGTGGAAAGGGACAGAGTGGCCCTGTCCTCTCTCACCTGATCAGGAAATGCTGCTCCTGTGCATCTAGCTACACAGGCCAGATGCCTAGAAGTTCTCTGGTGTCTCCTCTCTCCCCTGACACATATAATCAAAAAGTCACTTTTATGCAGTCTGGCTCTAAGTATGACTCAACTCCATGACTCCATCTGGTCCACATCCTCATTATCACTACCTGAGTCCCAGCTACCATCATCTCCCACCACAATGGCCCCCCGGTTTGGTTTCTCCATCTTTACTCTTGCCCTCTGCACACTGCACTGTTGCAGTAATGGTTCTAAAGTGTAAATCTGTCAATATCACCCCTTTTACTAGTAAACTTCTGTGGCTTCAGGAGGCTTTGTCTAATCAAGCCTTCCTGTATGCTACTCTTCTTGTCTAACACACTTTTTTGTTCCCTTTTTCATCCCTTCCCCTTGCTGGTCCTTCAGGTCTCAACTGTGTAATCTTCAGGGGGAAATGTTCTTTTGACAGTTCCTTTTCTCCGCTTTTGTGCCTTCTCTCAGCTTTATGCAGTTACCTTTTAGTCCTCCTCACATTTTAGTGGCTTGTGTTATTATATTTATTTTTTGCATGTCCTGGGGCTTAAATTCCAGGCCTGGGCACTGACTCTGAGCCTCTCTGTGCTCAAGGCTAGCACTCTACTACTTGAGCCGCAGCACCACTTCCAGCTTTTTCTGTTTATGTGGTACTTGGTACTGAGGAATCAAACCCAGGGTTTCATGCATGCTAAGCAAGCACTAGTGTTCTTTTAACTGTTCCCTTGACCTTCTGCCTTACCTAAAAAGTACTGCTGTGAATTTGTTCATTCCATTAGTAATTAAACACATGTTGTTGTCAACTGTGGTTGTAATTACACACATGCCCACACACCATTCAATCCCAGACCTTCTCCTTAAGAACAGGAAGTGTCTTTTTTCGCCCCTTTCCTTTCCTTGTCTTTTCAATGGCTGTGCATAATGGTATATATCAATGATCAGTTTGGAGCCAGCCTGGGGATACACAGAGGAATCTTATCTCAACAAAACAAACAAACAATGACTACGGTGGGGGGGGGGAAGAAAGTCCCAGAAAGTATCTTTTCTTCTCTGGAAGAACGTAATAGCTCTTGTTTCAAAATATGTATTGACAGGTGTGGTGCATGCCTGTAATCACAGCATTTGGGAAGCGGAAGCGAGGAATTGCAAATTGGAGGCCGACCTGAGTTGCATAGCAAAGCTCTGTTCCCCAAAAAACACAAAAAGCTTGTCCAACAAATGAGCCAACTAAGGAATAAATGAACGGCAGACCACCAGTGAGAGGCTGATGCCGCGCAGCCTTCTGGGAATCGTAGTTCTGTTGTTCTGCCTCTCTTTATGGCGCAGGCGTACTCCGGTTGAGGCTCATTGCTGCTAATGCGCATGTCGAAAAGATAGTCGCGATAGCGCGCATGTCTGAAGGGAGGGGCGTCGGCGTTGCGCTGACTGGGCGGGGTTTCGGCGATTTCAGGTGCTGGGGTTGAGCGCTACCTGGCTGGGGAATGGCGGGGAGGGGTAAACTAATCGCGGTGATCGGGGACGAGGACACGGTGACTGGCTTCCTGCTGGGCGGCATTGGGGAGCTGAACAAGAACCGCCACCCTAATTTCCTGGTGGTGGAGAAGGATACCACCATCAATGAGATCGAAGACACCTTCCGGTACGGTGGCCTGCGAGGCCTGACTGGGCCCTTCTGCCTGGTGCTAGGAAGGGCAGGGGGTGGAGGTGTCTTGGGAACCGAGGTGTCAGACCCCTACGGGGATAAGGGGTTGGAAGTCTGTCCGCCCGGCCGGAGCGGAGGCGCCAGTTCCCTTTTGGGGTTCGGTGGGATCCGGGCTGTGTCAGGTCCTCACATGATTCTGTGTCAGGCAAGAAGGGGAAGAGAGCTCGTGACCTGCGGTGTCGGGACGTCTGGAGCGGGACCGTGGAGGTACCCCGCCTCGGCGCCTCTTCCGGGCTCCGCGACAGTCACCCGCAGAGCAGTCTAGGGGCCTTGCAACCCCCGGGGTTCCTTTGCATCCTAAAGGAACCTTTATCTTTATCCCCCAAAGGCCCACAATCATCCCGTAAAGTAGGGGTTAATCCCACTTACAAGAGAGAAGACCGAAGCTCAGAGAGGCCAAATCGCATGCCCAAAGGTACAGCAATGCGAAGAGACAGCTGGGATTTGAACCTAGTGGCAACCCTTTATGCCTCTTCTAAGCTGGTACCCACCCGGCTTGTGTGGTGATCGGCCTGCTTTAAAATTTTCTGTTGTCCTGAACACAAGGGCCACCACATCTAGATTTTCTGGTTTTCTACTAAGATCTTGTACTTTAAACCCCACTAGCTGCCTGGGGTCAGGGATGATAGCTTCAAAGTGTGGGTGCAGGCATACCCTTTAATCCAGAAGGTGTCTAGAATAAGATGAATGCCTCCTGTTGTTTACCTCTCTCCCCTTCTGGGGCTCCTATGCCAAATCTCAGAAATAAACTGCTCTCACCTGTTTTCTCTAAAAAGCCCAGCCCAGAGCTGCTGGCTGAGACTGGTTCTCTCTGCCTGGAGTAGGCCCTGACCTGGGCAGCTGCTATGTGTTGATCTCTAAGCAGTCTGGTAAAGTGACCCAAGTTGTCTTTGGAGAAGGACAAATTTTACTTCAAGAATTTTCCAAGCCAGGCACTGGTGGCCCATGCCTGTAATTCCAGCTACTCAGGAGGCTGAGATCTGAGGAATATGATCTGAAGCCAACCTGCTCAGGAAAGTCCATGAAACCCTATCTCCAGTTAATCATCAAAGAGCTGGAAGTGGAGGTGTGACTTAAGTGGTAAAGTGCCAGCCTTGAGTGAAAAAGCTAAGGGTCAGTAACCAAGTCCTGAGTTCAAGCTCCACTATGGGCACAAAAAAAGAAAAAAGAATTTTCCATGTTTCCAACCAAAGTGGATCTTCTCCTAGTGCCTGGTACAGAGTATATGTTCAGTAGTTTTTAATGAGGAAGTAAATTAATGAATTGGGGGTGGTCACAGTGGCAGGTTCTGTCTGTGGAAAGTATGATTCTATACTCAGCATTACTGAGTTTCCTTTTCTCATCTTGTGCCTTTGCTTCATCTTTCCACCTCTACTCATCAGTCTAGACCTTGAAACCTTCAGTGGTTTCACTGGCCTTATTTTTATTTATTTTTTCATGCCAGTCCTGGGGCTTGAACTTGGGCCTACGTGCTGTTCCTGAGCCACAGTTCCACTTCTGGCTTTTGGGCAGTTAATTAGAGAAGAGGGGCTGGCTTTGAACTGTAATCCTCAGATCTCAGCCTCCAGAGTAGCTAAAATGATAGGTGTGAGCCACTGACATCCAACAACCTTATTTTAAAACATCGAATAATATTCAAAAAGTATGCATTGAGAAGTCTCACCTCTTGTGGGTCTTTATACTTCAATATCTCCCTCCTCTACCTCTGTCAGTAATGGAAGGAAGATTATCTTTCTGTAATCTCTTTATATAGATACAAAAGGACAACCATATATACCCCTTCCCCCCTTTTTTTGTCCTGGTCCTGAGGCTTGAACTCAAGGCCTGGATTCCATCCCTCAGTTTTTGTGCCCAAAGCTAGCACTCTACCATTTGGGCAACAGCTCCACTTCTGGCTTTTTTTTTTTTGGTGGTGGTGGTGAATTGAAGATGAGTCTCACAAACTTGCCTGCCTGGGCTGGCTTTGAACCATGATCCTCAGAGCTCAGCTTTCTAAGTCACTAGGGTTACAGGCCCAGATTCATTCAAGGAAAATTAAAGCTTGAGAAAGAGTTTAGAACAGTAGCTTTTCCCTTTGTCCTTCCTGCTTTCTGGGTCACTCATTCCCCTCTGCAGCCCAGCTCCACAATCAGGAGGGGGCTGCTGGAGCCGGGGAGGCAGCAGACCCTAGGCTGTCCTGGACTTGTGTGTGGTCTTCCCCAACAGGCAGTTTCTAAACCGGGACGACATCGGCATCATCCTCATCAACCAGTACATTGCAGAAATGGTACGGCATGCCCTTGACGCCCACCAGCGCTCCATTCCAGCGGTGCTGGAGATTCCATCCAAGGAGCACCCCTATGACGCAGCCAAAGACTCCATCCTACGCAGGGCCAAAGGCATGTTCACTGCTGAAGACCTGCGCTAGGGACCCCCTCGGTCCCTCATCCCTCACCAGTTCTCTCCTGGCTTGCCATTGAAGTTTCAAGTCTCTGGTTTCCAATTCCCACCCCTTCCTGCTCCGTTGAGAAGGCTGGGTGAGGTGCTTCTAGATGGCTGGGGTTTTACCATAAAAATCCAGTTTGGTTAGGGGACAGGAAACCCAACCATCTTCTCTCTCCACTCCCTCTGTCCCATGCTGTTACACAGTGTCACTGTTGCTATTAAAGTAATGCCCTTGCTTCTGTCCAAATGGGCTGAGTGTTTGAAAAAGCCACCTAGGGCCAGGCTGTTGGGGAATATTAGATGGGAATGGATGGAAACGTTTCTGCCAAAGAGCCAGGCAGAGGGTAGAGTTAGACTAGGAGGTCATAACTCAAGGACTGATCATCTAACTAGTCCCTGGCTTCCCCTACCTCAGTCTACATGGGATGGGAAGTGGTATAACCCCCAGGGACCAAAGCAGAAAGCACCAGAAAGCTAGAAACCTGTCATTCTAGGTGGAATCTAGGTCCTGCTGGAGGCTTGAGAGTGAAGGCATTTGGGTAGTGGGCCCCGACCCCAGGCTGCCTCAGGAGGGTGAAGTGTGCTAAGGGCCTGGCAGGTAGAACTCTGGCCCTGTGTGAGGTGAAGTATGGTTGCCAGGTGACTGTCCAGGGTGGCCACAATCTGCTTGCTGTGCTCATCCCTCAGCTGTACCACCCTGGTTCTGTTCCTTGCCTTGCCACCATGGCACGACATCTCAATATGGACACCACGCGGCAAAACTTCTGGAAGGAGGAATATCTAAGGGAGATGATGTTGCGCTGTGAATGGCACCGCAAGTATGGGTCATTGCTGAAGGCCAAGCAGAAGGCTAAAGCTGCAGCTCGCCTGCCCCTCAAACTGCCTACCCTGCAACCGGAGACCCCACTCCCAGCCCCGCCTGGCCCCAAAGCTAGCCCTGCCAAGGCTCCCAGCCTTGTCCCAGAGGCTCTTCCTCAGTCAGAAATGTACCCTGTAGAGCCTGCCATCCGGGCCCTGCTGTTCGAAGGCATCTCCCATGATTTCCAAGGGCGCTACCGCTATCTCAACACCCGGAAACTGGACATTCCAGAGAAACGCTACTTCTTCCCCATCACCACCAGCTTCACGTATGGCTGGCAACTGGGTGAGCCCCAACCTCCCACAAATTAGTCACCTTACAAACATAAGCATGGGGGAAGGGCAAGTCCCGCGGACTAGGGAGTGCCGATGGGAGGTGAAGCAAGGGGCTGTGTGTCAGAACAAGTCTTTCTGAGCCCCTCGGGGCTGAGCTGAAGGGCAGAGGGAGGAGTCTAGATTTTATTCTAGTTCAAGGGGAAACCAGTGGAGGGTTTTAAGCAAGTGACCCTGATTTACCTTTGTGTGTGCCTCTGCATGCCAGTACTGGTACTTGAACTCAGAGCCTGGGCATTGTCCCTTAGACCATTTGAGCCACAGCTCTATTCCTGGCTTTTTGCCAGCAATTGTAGAATCTTGCAGGTAAATTAAGCATCTTGGCAAAACGGAGGATTATTCCAACTAGAAGAATTAGCAGTGGAGCTGAGTCAGTTGGAATGCTTTGAAGGAAGACTTCACGGAACTTACTGAATGTGGGCAAGAGAGAAACCAATGGTAACATCCAGATATTGGGCTTAGCCGGACAGAGTAGATTGCGGAAGGATGGGGCTAGTGGGAATGGGAAGAGACTTGCCATGCCATGGTAGACTAAAGTTGTTAAAGTCTGGACCTCCAGAGTGAGGTCAGAGTTCAGAACACAAATTCAGGAATCACCTGAGTATTGGTGCTATTGAAAACAGAGATTGAGCTGGGCGCCGGTGGCTCACACCTGTAATCCTAGCTACTCAGGATTCTGAGATCTGAGGATCATGGTTCAAAGCCAACCTGGGCAGTAAAATCCATGAGACTCATCTCCAGTTAACCATCAGAAAACTGGAAGTGGCACTGTGGCTCAAGTGGTAGAGTGCTTGCCTTGAACTGAAGAGCTAAGGGACAGTGCCCAGGCTCAGAGTTCAAGCCCCATGACTTGACAAAAAGAAGATGAGGTAGAGAAGCAGTCTGTCCTTGAGCCTAGTAGGGTTGCAATCCCCCCTCCATCCTACCAGAAACATATGGTGACAATGGAAGTCGGTGGGGGTCATGCTGCCACCACTGCTTGCCCAGGTGTCCAAGCCTGAATTTTCCTGTAGCCCCAAGTCTTCAGAATCCCTTTTTATTTCTTCACACAAAGTAGGTATACCAGCAAAATCCCAGGGCTAAGTGGACCAGCACTCTGCCCTGAGTCCCCCTCAGAAACCCATTCCTGGCCTCTGATATCTTTTCCCAGGCCCTGCAGCCAAGCAAGCAAAGATCTCCTGCAAGATGTGCGAGATCGATTCATTCTTCCGCAAGAACGGGGCCTTTGCACTGCTCGACCCCCGGGACCTGGCCTTGTGAAGTGGGCCAAACATGGGCTCAGGAGGGAAGGAAATAACTGGCCTCCTGGTGGAGGCGGCGAGTCTGTCTGTCTGTGTGTTTGCTCTCCGGCCCTGAGGCTGCATTCTGGCTTTTCTGAAACTACCTGGGACCTGGAGGTTGCCCTCTTGGCATTTTCATTAACTCCTTTCTCCTTAGATATCTCTAGGGAGCCAGACGGGGCTGGAAAGGTGGGCGCTCTTCTCTGGAGGCAGGCTTCTCCGCACCAGGGGACAGTACTTCCCGAAAGTTCCGGGTATTCCTGAGAAAAGAATGACCTGTCATCCCAATGCCAGGGAAAGGGGACCCCTCCCACCCCGCCCCAGCCTTCCTGCCTGAACACCCCCACCCCCCCGCCATGCCTGGCCCCCAGGGCGCGCACCATCAGGTTCTCTCTGGTGCACAGGGTGCAGCTGCTCCCGCGGGGCGTGCCGCCTCCCGGGCGGGCAGGGCAGGCAGAGCGCGGGGCAAGGGGCCCGGGAAGGGGCGACCGTGCGCTCGAACCCCCGCCACCCGCTCCGCCCAGGGCAGCGCCCGGGCAGCCCCAGCTCTTACCTGTGGCGGGAACTGAGCCACGCTTGGAAACCCCGGGGGGTGAACCCCACGATGGCGGCTCCCAGCGATGCGGAGCCGGTCCAGGACCTGGGGAGGAGGCAGGCAGCCCGGCTCGGCTTCGGCTCGCCACCAGCTCGCCCCGTTACCCACCAATCACTCGCCGATTCCCCCGCCCCCGCCGCCGGCCCCGGCTGGCCCCGCGCACCCGGAGTCCGTGCCGCTCGTGCTCCCGCGGCGCCGCCGCCTGGCTGCGCCCTGCAGCTCCAGCTGCTCCTGCTGCTGCGCCGTCCGAGCCTCCTCCGAGCCCGCCGGCCAAGCGGCCTTTCAGGCCTTAGGGTCCCCAGGGCCGCCCTTCTGCCTCCCGATTGAGCTCAGGAGCCTCGCCTCAAGCACCTCCTGTTCCGTAGGGCTGACACCTCCTCCGAGGAGAGCCGCAAGGACCCCCGGTTTCCCGGAGCGCCTGGGCCTGAGGGCGGGGAGCATGGGGACTCCAGAGCCGGGGGAGGGGGAGAGGTGCCCACGCCCCGCTCCGGGTGGCCCCACAGCCGCCCTCTCCCTCGGCCTCTCTATTGACCTGAGTCCGCGGGGTGTGCCTTTCCTGGGGACCCTCGCACTCCCCTTCCCCTCCCTGAGAGGTCTCTCCTCCTGGGGACCTGCAGGTGGCCCTCGGGTGCCCCCCCCCCAGCACGCTCGTTCTCGGGCTTCTCCCTGAGCCCACTTCCCAGGTTGGCGCGATCTTGTCTTCTCCAGACAGGGCTTTTCGTTTCCTGCGCCTGTGCAGTCTCCTTTCTCCAGCACATAGGACTATTTCCTCTTTGGGGGTGAGGAGTCCCTTTGTTCCCCTCCTGGGGGGCTGCCCCTTTCTGATCCTGAGGAGATTCCCCACTCTGACTCCAGAGGTCTCTTCTTTCCAGCCCGGAGGAGGATCTGTCCTCAGCAGTGTCTGTGGTTCTACTTTCTCCTGGTCCAGGCCAGAGCCCAGCCCCTTAGGGGGATCTTGGGGTACTGTAAGGCCTTGAGAGGCCAGGCCATGGAGCGCTGGGGCTCTCTGGGTGTCCATTCCTTCCTGTGGGCTCCTGGATGTTCACCTCTGAGGCGCGTGGATCATAGACTCTGCTTGGCTCCTCTCTTCCCTCAGGGAAAAGCACTTTAGGCCCAGGGGTGAGGGAGTCCTGGTGCCATGGCCCTCCCGCTAGGGGAATCCTGCACACCCCAAGCTGGTCCCCACCTGATTCATGAATGTGTTAGGCCCTGCCTCCCCCCTTTTTGTGCCAGTCCTGGGGCTTGACCTCAGGTGCTTGGGCTCTCACGAGTTCTTCACTCAAGGCTGGCACTCCACCACTTGAACCATAGCTCACTTCCAGCTTCTTGCTGCTTAGTTGGAGATAGGAATCTCATTGATTTGTCTGCTTGGGCTGGTTTCAAACTGCACCCTCATCCTTAGCCCCTTCAGTAGCTAGTGTTACAGGTGTGAGCCACCAGTGTGGTGTTTAAACCCACTTTATGTGGCCTCAAAGGTGCTACAGTAGTGTTCCTTCTTCCACCTGGCCACAGATGGCAGCCTTGTCTCCTGCCATCCCCAGCCTGAGAAACACCCCTCCCCCATCCTTTCACCTTAAACTCTGAATCTCCTGGCTCCTCAGAGTTAGCACTGGTAGTGGGGTTCTGTCCTAAGCAACCTGAGAGAGAAAGATTGATGTTGAGAGCTGCTGCTCAGGTTCCAGCACTCCTTCCTCCCCCCCCCCTCCATTCCACCTGAACTGGATCTAAGAGCTGCGGGAGTCCCTTGTGCATGGAGCGGTGTGGAGCCCTGTGTGACTGTCATGGCACTTTCTCCACCTTTATTCCCACAGCCTGTCATGTGTGCAGGCTTGCCATGTGCGTGTGCCTGCCACAACACACCCTATCTTCCTCATTATCCTTCCTAAGGAAACCAGCAGCCTTTCTTCCCAAGACCATCACAAGATGCCTGGCCATGGGCTTGTTTGCTGGGGTCCCTCTGCACAAGGACTCCCCACTTTGTTCTAGCATGCTGGTTTAGTCCCACTCTATGTGCTCTACTTTTTGCTATTCTTAAGGCAAGTCCTCCTTAGCGCTTTGTTCCTGATAGCAAAATCAAAGAAAATTCAAGACAGGAAATTTTAAGCCAGAGCCCAGCCTAAAAACTGCAAGTCTTCAGAACTAACAAAAGAAATCTAAAAAGGGAGGATGCGATGTCACTGCTTCCCTGCAGCTGTGAAGGAGAGATGCTCGGAATCCAGAACTACTTAGAGGAACCTGATTTCGTAAGGTCTTAAATTGGGATCTTGCATAAGAATGGCACATCTTTCTCTCAAAACAATACAGACTCCTGTGAATATTCATAACGAAAGGGGTATTTTCTGCGGAAATAGATCTGTCTTTCAGCAAGTTTTTTTGAACATAAGAGTCTCATAAGACTCCCAACCCAGAGAAATGATGGCCAGGAATTAGAAGAACAACCTCCTACCCCTTGCTTCTGGATGCTGATCTGTTGACTTAGCAGAGAGTTTATTTCCCAGGCAATAGTATAATTGATGCCTGTTTTTCCAAGAGATAAAATACCTAAGCACTTGTAAAAAGATTCTTTCCCGGGCTGGGAAGGTGGCTCAGTGGTAGAGCACTTGCCTTGCATGCTCAAGGCCCTGGGTTCGATTCCTCAGCCCACATAAGAAAAAAGCTGGAAGTGGTGCTGTGGCTCAAGTGGTAGAGTGCTAGCCTTGAGCTAAAGAGCTGAGGGACAGCGCCCAGGCCCAGAGTTCAGGCCCCATGACTGGACCCCCCCCCAAAAAAAAAGATTCTTTCCCAATTAAAAAAAGAAAAAAAAGCACCTTCCTTATTATGCATATGTGTTATAGAGCAGTTAAAAGCTAAGTCTTTAGTTGGGGTGCCAGCGGCTCACATCTCTAATCCTGGCTACTCAGCACACTGAGATCTGAGGATCAAGTTTCAAAGCCAGAAATGGAGCTGTGGCTTAAGTGGTAGAGTACCAGCCTTGAGAAAAATGAAGCAAAACAAAATTTAGGAATAGTAATCAGGCCCCGAGAACTGGCACACACACAAAAAAAGCTATAGCTAAATTTGTTAACAAATACATTGAGAATCTGATGAATTGGATATAGAAGTCTCTTGGACTTTTCAGCCCAGGCTGGCATTGAACTGTGACCTTCAGATATTACTTCTTAAGAAGCTGGATGATAGGTATAAGCCACCTCGCCCACCTTCCAATTACCTATTTAATATCATACTCTCATTGACCTGTGATCTCCAAGATGGGACCAAGTCTCCTGTTCTGTGTATATATTTATATACTCAGTGCCTGGCATAAGGGTGGCAAAAGGGTGACCTGGGATTGCTACCCCATTCCCTCCCCTATATCTGGGCAGCCAGTTACAGTTACTCCTGGTGCTCCTCCCTGAGCTCCATGTCAGCTTCAGAATCCCTCTGGAGAAGGTATTGTTAATCCTCTTTCACTTGCCATCCCTAGGTGGCCCAGCCCCAGAGGAAAGGGTGTGAGATGATGGATGAGTGCGTAATGAAAGTCCGTGGATGTGAGATGAGGTCATCCCTGCCTCTGACCCAGTCTGGCTTTCCCGGCTCCAGGGGCTCCCTGATCTTTCAGCTTCCTGGTCCCTTCATGTTGACATACATACCAGGTGTGGCTTCTGCAGCTATGCCAGGACCCTCACCAGTCTGGGGCTGCTGATGGTCAAGGCCTGCCCCCTGCAGGAGTTTAGGGCTGCCTCAGATACACTCCCCATGGCATGCAGGCTGATAAATTTCCCCCATCTCAATACCCAACTCTGAGTGTAGGTGGGTGCATTCACTAGATTCTAGAAGCTGGAATTTGAGCGTTGCCCTTCTATGGAAAAACCATGAATGCAACTGAATGAGAGTCTGGAGGAGTCAGAGCCAAGAGCAGAGGGCATCGGGATGGACTGCGGGGAAGGAGACAGGAAGGGTTAGATTTCTGACCATTGTGTGTGGCAACACAGAGGAAATGCCCAATTCCCTGAAAGGTAAACTCACTCCTCCAGGAGCTGATGGTTTTGCTTCAAGGAGTCCTCAGCCTGGGGTGGCGGGTGCAGCCTGGAACTCTGGAAGAGTTGGGGGAGTCTGGCTTCGCAGGGCAGCCTCTAAGCTAGTCCCCCGTGCTCCCTGTTTGCTGATATTCAGGCCCATGTGTGACTCTGTTCCCTTCCTCTCCATGGTGAGTTTAGAAATTAGTCTCTTGGACCCACTTAAGCCTTCAGATGAGAACGCAGCCTTGACCTTGATGTTAATGGAGCCTCCTCCTACAGCTGAGGATTCTGTAGCTCAGAGAGGCTCCTAAAGTGACTCAAAATGACTTAGGCAGCTGGTGGATGAGCCAGGACTATGACGATTCGCAATCCCCAATTCTCAGCTCTGTTCTGGGGCCGGGTAGCAGTGCTCTAGCTCTGGAGGGAGGGGTCCACTACAAGGAATGACTCAGTGTCTCTCTCAGGGCCTCCTGTGTACCAGTGCGTCTTTCTTCTGGGACCTGCCAGGTGGCTTCACTCTGCCTTGGCGCCCACATTGAAAGGCTCCGAGTATCGTGACACAGTTGATTTGATCCAGCCAGTGGTTAATTGTGGAATGATAATGATCATGATAACGAGCGCCTGGTACATGCCAGGCAGACACTGTGCAAACCCCTTTGCTCCCATGAGTTGCCTGGTCCTTCCAACTGCTTTAGGGACAGGTCTGTCACTGTCTACATTTTATATAATAGCTGAGGAAACTGAGGCTCACATTCTCCAAGAAATGACAAGCAGAGAGATCAAATGCTGGGCTGTCAGTCTCCAACACACACACACACACACACACCTTTCACTTCCCCTCACCAGCATGACTGCCCCAACATCACACAGTGCCCTGCTTGGCCCACTCACCAGCGGCTCAGTGTCCCCATCCATCCATCCTATCACAGAGCTGGCTGTGCTGGCTTGATGCATGCCGGACCGGGCCCTCTGACCACCAAACTGGACCCAGCATGGCCAGAAGAGGCTCAACCCTGCCCCTGTCAACAGTTCCAAGTCCCAGAGGAGCTGCAGGAAGGTGGAGAACCAGAGCCATGGCTTAAGGGGTATACCTGTCCTTCCCTCTGCCACCCCATTTCCCCATACACACTGGCCAGTCCCAACCTGTTCCTGGGCCCGCTGGCTCCGCTCCATTTTTAGCAGCATGGTGCAAAGTTCTAGTCCTGGGGGATTGATTGCCCTGGCACTTTTGCACCTGAAGGGGGTGGGGCAAAGTATAATCAGGTCCCTGCTTGCACCCTCCCCAGGGCAGTGCCTGACCTCCTCACCTGAGAAAGTACGGCCAGAGCTGTCTCAGGCCTGCAGGACACCGGAAGAGGAGTTGGTACAGGGTCAAAACCTGCTTGGGGCCACAGGGAAGCCCTAGGCCCCAAGGAGTGGCTACCTGTGCCATGGAGAAAGGGTTAGGCCAGACTTCCCTTCCTCCTCAGACACTGCCACTAGAGGCTGGAGAGAGGTGGATAGGATGCTGAGAGCCAGGAGCAAGAAACATGGATCTGATCTCAATAATACAGGACCCTGACGCCCGAGCTGAGCCAAGCCAGCGGCTGGCTATACCTGAGCTTGAGCCTCAGAGACAGTATTCTCCTGGAGGTGGTGGCGTGCAATGTGTGCATGAGTCTGACAGAAGGGGCGTGCGCTCCGCTGCAGCACCCACGCTGCCTTCCATATACACTACCCAGCTCCATGGGACTGCTGTAACTGTGCTCACTTCTCTGACAGTACTAGGATTTCAACTCAGGACCTCTGGCTTGCTAGGAAAGTGCTCTACCACTTGATGTGCTCTCCCATCCCTTTTTGCTTTATTCTTTTGGATAGGGTCTCATGTTTCTGCCTAAGAACTGGCCTCAGACCACAGCTCTCCTACATATGCTCCTGTGTGGCTGGGACCAGAAATACAGACCACCAAACCTGGCTTGTTGGTTGAGGTGAGGTCTCCACAATTTCTTTTTTGGTGGGGGGTCAGTTCTGGGTCTTGAACTCTGGGCCTGGGCGCTGTCCCTCAGCTCTTCAGCTCAAGGCTAGTGTTCTACCACTTGAGCCATAGAGCCACTTCTGGTTTCCTGGTGCTTAACTGGAGATGAGTCTCACAGACCTTCCTGCCTAGGCTGGCTTTGAACCACAATCCTGAAATCTCAGCCTCCTGAGTAGCTAGGATTATAGACATGAGCTACCAACACCTGGCTCCACATCTTTTTTTAATCCAAGCTGGACCCAAACTGCGATTCTCCTGATCTCCATTTCCCGAGTAGCTGAATTACATGTCCTTTGCAACGACGTTCTACGAGCATGTGACCAATGTGTCTGTAGGGGCAAGCAAGCAGCTTCCAGCAGATTCTTAGGTGTGGGGTCCCATATGCTTCAACATGCACTCCTTCCTCACAGCCCTATGAAGCCAGAGCTCCAGGAAGAGGCCATGATTGTCCCTGTGTTCTGACATGACAATCCTGACACGTGGCAGCCTTCATCTTGTCTGGGGATGGACAACTGTGACACACACTCTTGTCTGGGGATGGACAGCTGTCACACACACTCTGGGAGGTGAAGCTCTTCGCCATCAAGAGCTCTGTGTGAGGCTGACATGCTGGGCACAGCCAGCCTGCCTGCAGAGGCTGGCCACCGTCATCCCATTGCTCCTCCCAGCACGCAAGGTGCGTCCGCTGCGCTTTTCACCCCAGAGGAGGAAAGCGCATGTGTGAGCTATAGTAAGGACAGGAACGGAACACACAAGGTGCAGAGCTACAGTGTGATGCTGAATGTCCCCCAAAAGCCCATTGCAAAAGGCTTGCAGCCCTATTAGGAGGTGCTATGAACTTTTAGGAAATCTTGCAGGCGGTCCATAGCTCTCAGATCCTCTGGAACGGGATTCCGGGACCCCTTCACCTTCCTGTCTCTTGTTTCCTGGCTCCAACATAAGCTTTCCACCCTTGTCATCAGTGCCTTCACCAGAGGCCCAAAGCAGTGGAGGCTGCCTGGTGTTGGAATGGGAACCTCCGGAACCAAGAGCCAAAATAAACCCTTCCTCTGTGTAGGTGAACTGCCTCTGGGATTACATTATAGTCATGGAAATCTGACTAAGGTGGTCTGGAACATTGGCAGCCTGTGCTGCCACAGGCTGTACTTTTTTTATTTTGTTGGTTTGTGGTGGCTGAACTCTGGGCCTGGGCACTGTCCCTCAGCTCTTCAGCTCAAGGCTAGCGCCCTACCACTTAAGCCACAATGCCACTTCTGGCTTTTTTCTGCTTATGTGGTGCTGAGGAATCGAACCCAGGGCCTCATGCATGCAAGGCAAACACTCTACCACTGAGCCAACTTCCCAGCCCTGCCTGCCTGTACTTTTGTTACCTTGCCATGAGAGGATGGGGCAATCTCCTGTTTCTCTTTCAAACAAGAATAGTGTTGAATGCTGGTGGCTCATTCCTGTGATCCTAGCTACTTAGGAGACTGGGCTCTGAGGACAGTGGTTCAAAGCCAGCCCAGCCAAGAACAGCCATGAGACTCTTACCTTGAATTAACCACCTAAAAACTAGAAATGGAGCTGTAATTCAAAGTGGTAGAATGCTAGCCTTAAGCAAAAGCTTAATATAGCATCCAGGCCCTGAGTTCAAGCCCTGTGACTGGCAAAAAAAAAAAAAAAAGCCTCTTGGAAAGAGGGCTGAGCTGGCAGCGCAGGTGACCTCCCCCAAGTGTGTCCTTGCTCCATTAAACGATAAAGCATTTGTGTGCCTCCTCTCCTAGAGCTCTGAGCCCTCATTCCCTCATTAGGGATCCACAATGGAGTCCGCCAGGATAACAACCTTGGCCTTTCAAACTCCAAGGTTATACAGCAGCTACACAGCAAAGAGGACTTACATCCTGGGATTTTTCCAAACACATTCTCTCTCCTACTGGATCTTGGCAAGCTGCACACATGTCTTATTGTCATTGTCCACTGTGCTCCCAGGTGGCCATGGCTGTGGATGCAGGCAGGCATGCGTGCACATGATACCTGTGTCTCTGAAGGCTACGTTTACACATGCATGCACACATGCATGTGTCTGTGTGTTGTCTCCCAAGGCATGAGGTCCTATGTCACCAGGTCTAAGAGTGGCCAAGAAGGCACCTGAGCTCTTAGTACCACCAAGCCCAGGGAAAAGGGACTGTGTGTGGACTGAGTCCCTTGTGTGGCTCCTCAGCTCCACAGAGCCTGCCACTGAGCAGAGAGTGGCAAACAGGACAGGTGGGTCCCACCTTCCAGTACCAAGGTGCCTGGCTAGGGACACAGACATAGGATGGAGCAAAGTCCTTTGGCTCCAGGGACTCTGATCGTTTCCAGTAGCCCGCTACCGCCCAGGCCAGGAGGACACACACACACAGAAGCCATGCAGGCTTGGGGTTTACTGCCTGTGTTTCAGTGCTACGGGGGTCTTCACAGGCCCACCCAGGCTGCCAGGGTCCAAGCAGGGAGCGGGGCTCTGTCTTCACAGCTCTGCACAAGTGGTGGCTGTTCTCCATAGGGAGGCTTCTGGCATGCTGGGTCCTGGTCAGGGCTCCTGCGTGGGGGGTGGCTGACCTCGTGTGAGCAGCACAGGGGGGCATGCGGCAGGTGGGATGCAGTGCGCCTCGTGCTCCACCAGGCCCGCGGGACACTGGCAGCGCGGAACGCAGGGTCTCACGCAGTGGGCTGCCAGCTCCCCCAGGGGGACATGCTGGTTGAAGCAGGTACGGGGGCAGGGTGGCCCGCACTCGTCGAACACAAAGCCACGGTCCAGGGGACAGCCCATCGCTGTAGGTAGAGTGGAAGATGAGGTCATGGGGGCCCCAGACAGCTCCTCACTCTGCTCACCCCTCTGCCCCTCCCCCAGCCTGGACTGGGCATCGCCCCTCACCACAGAGTGTAGGGCCCCTCCAGTTAGGCGTCACCCCCGCCTGGCGACAGTGGCTGGCATAGGCTTCCAGAGCGTCACAGAGACAGGTGTCGGCTGAGGAGCCAGGGCCACAAGCACACAGGTCATACACACACGCGGCAAAGAACGGCTCTGGGGGCACCACAGCATGGCAGCGACTGAACGGGGAGGACTTCAGCAGTCCGCACCGGGCATTGGCCTCTCGCCTGGCCCGGTAACCTGCAGTCCGACACGGATCTACCTCACGGCCTGCAGAGCAGGGACGGCCGGGCCCTGGGCCTTCTGGGACCTAGATAGGAAAACAATCCGGATATGCCACCATTACTGGAAGATGACATGCATGCCATGTCTCCCCCAACCACTTGCGTTAGCCTAAAGAATCTCTCTGTAAGAGATTCTGATTCAAAGGCCTGGCGCCAATGGCTCACACCTGTAATCCTAGCTACTCAGGGGGCTGAGATCGGAGGACTGTGGTTCGAAGCCAGCCCAGGCAGAAAAGTCCCTGTGAGATTCATATCCCATTAACCACTCAAAAACTGGAAGTGGCTCTGTGGCTCAAAGGGGTTGAGCTCCAGCCTTGAGCACAAAGAGGCATAGGGACAGTGCCGAGGCCCTGAGTTCAAGTCCCACAACAGACAAATAAATAAATAACAAAGACTCTGATTCAAGAACCATGCTGGGGGGGGAGGATTAAGTGGAGGATGGGGGGAGAATGGGAAGGGATGGGAAGGGGAAACAAAGGAGGAGGCTACAATGCTTGATAAGAAATGTACTCATCATCTTGCCCATGTAATTGTAACCCCTCTGTACAGTATTTTCACAATAAAAATAAAAAAATAAACTTGTTCAACCACAAAATAAAGAACCATGCTGGGAGTGTGGCTCAAATGGTAAAGCACCTAGAGTACAAGTGCTAGTATTACCTCCATGTCCCTCCCACAAAAAAGTTCTCTCGGGCTGGGAAGGTGGCTCAGTGGTAGAGTGCTTGCCTTGCATGCATGAGGCCCTGGGTTCGATTCCTCAGCACCACATAAGCAGAAAAAGCTGGAAGTGGTGCTGTGGCTCAAGTGGTAGCAGGCACCATGACTGGCAAAAAGAAAAAAAAAATCAAGGCTGGTATTTTGGGGCTGGGAAGGTGGCTCAGTGGTAGAGCGCTTGCCTTGCATGCCTGAGGCCCTGGGTTCGATTCCTCAGCACCACATAAGCAAAAAGAAAAAAGCCGGAAGTGGTGCTGTGGCTCAAGTGGTAGGGCACTAGCCTTGAGCTGAAGAGCTGAGGGACAGTGCTCAGGCCCAGAGTTCAGGCCCCACAACCGGACCAAAAAACAAAAACAAAAAAAAGTTCTCTCAAGGGAATGAGCTCTGCCAGAGGCTGGTACTGGGGGGTGGGATTTTTTTTTTTGTTTTTTGGGTTTTTCCAAGAATGAAAGAAGTCAAATACAATCAAATAGAATCCCCCTCATATAACTAATATAAGCTAATTAAAAAACAAAAAGAGGGATTGGGAATATGGCTTAGTGGTAGAGTGCTTGCCTAGCATATATGAAGCCCTGGGTTCCATTTCTCAGTACCACATACACAGAAAAAGCCAGAAATGATGCTGTGGTTCAAGTGGTAGAATGCTAGCCTTGAGTGAAAGAAGCTAGGGACAGTGCCCAGGCTCTCAAGAAAAGTAGAAGAATCATCTACCTTCTCCTTGTCCTCATTTTGCAGATGAGGAAACCAAAGCCCAGGGTAGGTAAGTGCCTTCTCCAAGGTCACACAGCCAGGGAGCAGCAATGCAGGATTTAGGGTTCAGCTGCCAGGCTTATTCAACAGGCCATCCCAGCTCCCCTAGAACCCCAACAGTCAATCTTCCCCCACTCCTCCCCAAGACCCTCAACTCCCTCTCAAGTCTCCCCTTGCAGAGGCAATGGCTGTGCTGGGACTCAGGACCGGAGCATGCCCAGCTGCCTCCCCCAGCTTCCACCCCAGGCCACTCACCTGCCAGCTATTCCCAAACGCCGCCTCCGTGGGCAGGAGCAGCCCATCCGGGCCTGCGAGATCATCCTGGGCGAAGCCATTGAAGTTCCCACACAACCCGCAGGTCTGGCTGCGGTAGGAGCCTGGCACACGCACCTCCACCTGCGAGCGCCCATCCCACAGCACCTGTACAGAGAGGCCTGACGCTGGGGAAGGGGAAGGAACCCCAAGAAGCTGAGTCCCTCACGGCCCCATGTACGGGGCTGTCATTCTCCACGCTAGCGGAGAGGACTTCCAGGGGAGCGTTGGGCCTGTCACTTGCTGTGCAGCCAGGGCCAACTCAGACTGCCTCCCCCACACTGGTGAGACACCCCTCACCTGGGCCCCAGGTGCAGTGAAACCCCGTGTCTCACAGCACTGGGGCCTTGTGAAGGACAGAGCACAGCTTGAGTGGGGAGAGGGCGCACGCTCCCTTCATTGTATGCACCTGTGAGTTGTGCTTCTAGCCTAGAGGAACCATGGCAGCCATGAGGCAGACACTAACTAGATGACGTAGTCTGGCTCCTACTAACCTTTTCTCCACCTCGCCGCTGAGCAAACAGAGGCTCAGAGAAGATTACCAGTGGCCTAAGAGCCCAGAGGACCCGTGGCCTAGCCAAGATTAAAACTCAGCTCCCAACTCCTCCAGCTGCCCCTCCAGGCCTCTGCCCCAGGCTCCTCCCCTGGAATCTCACTGGTACCCTCTCCCCTCGCTCCACCCATGAGCTAGCTGGCACCCTGCTTCTCCAGGACACACAGACGCCTGAGCAGATGTGAGAGGGTCCAGGCCCTGTTTGGGGAGCCCACCTCCACCCAGATCTCTCCCTCTGGCCACACCTGGAGCCCAGGCTGGGCGTGCAGGATGACAGTGTGTCCTCGAAGCTCCACGTACAGCAGCGGCTCCCGCAGGAAGGGCAAAGCCACGGGGCGCCCGTCTACCTGCAGCAGGGAGGCGGTGGAAGGGGTGTTGTTGGGCCGGACAGGTGGAGAGCCCAGGACCCACGATCCCTCCGGTCCTCTGCTCACTGTGACTGTCCCGCCCTGCTGCAGCTGCACGGCCACGTCTCCCAACAGTACAGTCGCTTCCTGGGTCCAGGCCACGCCGCTGCGGCCCCGGCCGTCATTAGTTACCTGCACACTAGGGACAGGAGAGGCCCAGGTGCCAGTGATCAGAGGGGCCAGGGGGGAGAGTCAGGGAGAAGGGGGAGGGGTGCACACCTGAAGTCCCTGCCACGGCAGTCCTTGGCCAGCACGTAGCTGCAGCTGCCTTGGAAGTGCAGAAGGCGGCCGTCGAAGGTGCGGTAGTGCGGGTCTCCGAAGGCCATGCAGGAAGCAGGCCGGGGCAGGCAGCGGGGGCAGCAGCTGCCAGGACTCAGGGCAGGTGCCTCGTCCTGGTCTCAGCCCCAGACATGGTCAGGCACACCACATGCCCCCACGGGGCCCCAATCCCAGCCAAGCCCCAGCTGACCCTCCTGGAAGCCCACTCCCAGGCTCACCAGGAGAGGGTCAGAGCACCACCTGGTGGCTATAATGGTAACTACATGTCCCCACCTCTTCTCCCAACGATGTCCCTCCCCATCTTGTATCTCTTGCACCACACCTGGTGATCCTGGCATGGCGGTGCCCCTGTGCCCCACCCCTACCGCCACTCACCTGGTTACAAGAGAGTGGTGGGCAGCGCTGGCTCTGGCAGCGCACAGTGCCCTCCACACAGGAGCAGCTGGTACAGGTGTCTACTGCCCAGTGCTCCCCAGAGGCCACCTGGCGTCCCTGGTGCAGGCAAGCCTGGGTGGGGGCTGAGGGAACAGGAGGTATGGAGGCTGAGCGCTCCACCTACACACCAGGCCTCACCCACCCCGCCTCTATTGGCCCGACTCTGCACCTTGGCATCGCTCACAGCAGCTGCCAGCCTGGTGCACTTTCACCCAGCCATGGGGACAGGAGAGCGCCTGGCACTTCTCGAGGTGACACTCCATGTGGCCCCGCTGAAGACAGATACCATGGCTGTAGGGGTTTCCTGAAGGGCCTGGGTCCTTTAACCTCACATATCCTGAGGCATTCTGGGTGGGGTCTTGAGCACCACTGGCCTACATCTCAAAACATCCACACCAGAGCTGAAATCCAGCACAGGGAGGCCTCTGTCCCTCAAAGACCCCAGGTGTGCTGGTGAATGTGGGACCCTCCACCCTTATCCATCTGCAAGGTCTTCCATGCTCGTCTCCTCCCTCGGATTACGTGGCAGGTGCAGGATCGGCAGGGGTTGTCGGGGTCCCTCCAGCTCTCTCCATCTGCCATTCTCCGTCCACCAGCTTCCACCACACATTCTAAAGAGAAGGAATGGGATGGGCAGGTCGTGTCCTTCCAGCCTGATCCTCCCTGGAGCTCACTCTGAGCTTCCCAGTGGGCAGAATCCCAGCCCCTTCCACCAGCCCCCTGATGGCTTTGTTTCTTCAGCCAAACAATGCCTAACAGCATTAGGCTTGCGCCCAGGTTTGGGATGGCTCAGGGAGCCTCCTGGAAGATGGTGGTTCAAGGTCCTCAAGTGAAGTGTGAAGCCAGCCAGCTCTGCAGTGTAGAGCCCTACTGGAGGAGTAGGAGTCCCTCAGTACCCTAAAAGCCTGAGACTCCAAAAAGCAGTCTTTTCTTTCTCTTTCTCCCTCTTCTTCATGGCTCTTCACTCCGTACCAGTGAGTACCCCTCCATTTCTACAAATAATGAAGCGGGCACTCTTTTTTCTTTTTGATTTGTGCCAGTCCTGGAGCTTGAACTCAGAGCCTAGATGCCCTTGTCTGTCCTGGGGATTGAACTCAGGGGCTGTGCATTGTCCTTGAGCTTTTTTGCTCAAGGCTAGCACTTTACCACTTAGAGCCGCAGCTGCACTTCCAGTTCTCCAGTGTCAGTTAGAGATGAGTCTCACAGACTTTCTCGCCCAGGCTGGCTCCCTGAGCTTCTTTTGCTCACGGCTATAGCACTCTGCCACTTGAGCCAGAGCTCCACTTCTAGGTTTTTTGGCAGTTAATTGGTGATTGTTTCTCCGAGCCTCCCCCCCCCCCCCGGTCTGGCTTCAAACCACAATCCTCATCTGAGCCTCCTGAGTAGCTAGGATCGCAGGCGTGAGCCACCAGCGTCCAGGGGAGCCTGAGTTCTGAGTGCAGACCCGAGAGTCCCTGAATGCCAGTCCTCCCTTCCCCTCGCTGACTGGGAGATCAAAGCTGGGCACATACCCTGGCACACAGGGCAACAACTCCCAGGGGGAGTGTGGCGCTCCACCAGGGGACAGCTGAGCTCAGGACAGGTGCGACGAATGCAGATCCATGTCAGGTCCTGCTCATGGTCAAGTGAACGCATTAGGAGAGAACCGCAGAGGCCAGGGAGTTTGGGGCCACAGTGGGGATGGGACATGAGCAGGATCAAACACTCGGGTCACACAAGATGGATGGGGAGCCCAGGAGCCACCACCGCGTCAGCCCCAGCCCCAGAGGAGAGGTTCGAGAAGAAGCACTCACCCGGCACTGGCAGGTGTAGCAGGGGTCTGGAGGGGCCAGCTCAGACCCCAGCAGGCCCTCTGTGCAGTTACGCAGGGCCTCTGTGAAGGAAGGACCAGGAGTGAGGGTAAGAGGGACAAGGAGAGCCCAGTGTTTGCTTACATGCCCATCTGACTACCTTTCACTCCAGGAGGGAGAAATCCTGTTTTTCTCTTTGCCTAGCAAAGAAGAGTTCTGATATTTAATAGGAACTTTGTGAGGGGGTGGGTAGCTCATTCCTGTAAGCTTAGCTGCTCAGGAGGAGGCTAAGATCTGAGGATCACCATTCAAAGCCAGCCTGGATAGATAATAAGAGACCATTTCCATTGACTAGAAAAAGCTGGAAGTGGAGATGGAGGTGTGACTCAAGTGGTAGAGTGCTAGCCTTGAACAAAAAAAGCTAAGGGACAGTGCCTAAGTCCTGAGTTCAAGCCCCTGTACCAGCACCAAAAAAAAAGGAAGAAAAGAAACGAAGAGGAAGAAAGGAAGGAAGGAAGGAAGGAAGGAAGGAAGGAGGGAGGGAGGGAGGGAGGGAGGGAGGGGTGGGAAGGAAGGGGAAGGAAAGGGAGGGAAGGAAGCAAGGAAGGAAGGAAGGGAGGAAGGGAGGGAGGGAAGGAAAGGAAAGGAAAGGAAAGGGCAGGGAAGGAAGGAAGGAAGGCAGGCAGGCAGGCTATAATCTGGCTAAACAGTACAGGGAAGCACAAAGGGCCAGGTACCCCAAGTCCCAATCCTAGCTCTAACCATCAATGCTTGAATGCTTGTGTCACTTTGAGCAGATAAATCAACTTCTGAGTCTGTTTTTTAATCAAAAAGGTAATAATACGAAGTATCTCATTAGATATTGTGAACCTTGATGTTTTGTTTAGTGTGATACTAGGGCTTGAAATCAAGGCCTTGCCCTTGCTAGCTAAGCATTCTACCATCAACTCATTTTGGACCCTGATCCTCAGATCTCAGCCTCCCAAGTAGCTAGGATTACAGGATTAAGCCACCACCAACATTATTTTTTAAACAGGATTTTCATTTGTTGTTGTTGTTTTTTGTTTTTGCTTGAGGGCCTTCCTTGAACTACCATGTTCTACCAACAGCCTCCCAAAGTAGCTGGGACCATAGGCATGTGACACCACACTTAGCTTAGTTCTTTAAGATTGGACTTCATTAACTTCTTTCCCCAGAGGCAGGCCCCAAACTGGAATTACAGGTGTATGCCGCCACACAGCCTTGGTGTTTAACAAATGAGTCTTCATGTTACCCCCTGAAGCTTACCCTAGCTTCCAGTGTTATAAGACCAGTTCTCCCTGATGAATGCAGAGGATGGTAGCCCTTAATAATCCAATATGGTGTAGATGGTAAGTTGTATGCTACTGTATAGTTGTCTGTTTATTACACTATGAACTTGGAAAAATGTCAGAGAGTAGTGCCATTCTCCTCCTGGAACACATGTCTTGTACATGTGGTCAATATGGTCTCCATGGTGGAAGACCAGCTGCTGAGCGGGGCTTCTATAACACAACAAAGGCAGAATGGCTGTGGCAGGTACACCGCCATTCCTCCCTCTGTGTGTGTGTGTGTGTGTGTGTGTGTGTGTGGCTACTGGGGCTGGTACTTTACCACTTGAGCCATACCTCCACTTCTAGCTTTTTGAGGCTTAATTGGAAATAGGAGACTCACAGACTTTCCTACTGCGTTTGAACCTCAATCCTCAGATCTCAGCCTCCTGAGTAGCTAGGATTACAGGCATACACCTCTAGTGCCCAATTCACTGCCATTCTTAAAGCTCAGGAAACCACTTAACTATCCTTTAGTATTTGTAATAAAAACTATAACTGCTTCTCTACCCCTCTACTCGCCACTTCTGCCTCTTTATTGATACTTTTTCCTTTCTTTTTTTTAAAGTGGTACTTAAGTTTGAACCCAGGGCCTTAAGTTTGGTAGGCAAGAGATCTACCACTTGACCATACCCCCAGCCCTAAATCCCTATTTCAAAGAAAAGGGAAGGAGGGAGAAAAGGGAATGGGAGGAAAGAAGAGAGAGAGAGAGAGAAATATATATATATACATATACATGGGACACTTTTCTCTTTCCTCTGGTGGTCAGCAGGAAGTGTGGGTACCAGAAAGGGGGTCTGCAGGGATGTGGTAAACCATTTAAGTTCTAGACTTTTAACACAATCTCCAAGAAGCCAGAAGTGGCACAATTGCAACCCTACAGCGCCACCTGCTGGGATTGTCCACAAACTGCACCCAGCTCCCCTTGGAGCCAAGATAAGGGCTTCTAGAACAGTCCACTAGAGTCAGGAAAAGTCTAGGGCTGGGGAGGAGAGCAGGATGGCTCTTCTAGCATCACTCTTGGGCAGTCCTGGAGTCTTATCTAGCCTGTAAGCTGAGACTCACGCGCACAGGTAGGGCAGCAGAGCTGGGGCCCGGGAGGCAGGATGTGGCTGAGCGGGCAGCCCACCAGGCTGGGACACTGCCGCCGGTGACAGCGAAGACTGGGTGGCCCCTCCGGCTGTGACTACAAGATGAAGAGCAGGGTGGGTCCCAAGGTCATGAAAGCTGAGAGCCATCCCTTTCCCTGGACCCCAGGCAGGCCCTCTAGCTACCTGCCACCTCTTCTCTGGGGTGTGTTGTAGGTATATTGGTTTCTGCTCTAAAGGGAAGCAGGGCGCTGGTGGCTCAGGCCTGTAATAATCCTAGCTACTCAGGAGGCTGAGATCTAAGGATCAGTCTGAAGCCAATTTGGGCAGAAAAGCAAATAAGACTCTTATCTCCAATGAAACAGCCAAGAATCAGAAATGGCGTTGTATCTCACATAGCAGTCAGCTTTGAGTGAAAAAGCTAAGGAAGCTGGGCGCTGGTGGCTCACGCCTGTAATCCTACCTACTCAGGAGGCTGAGATCTGAGGATCGCAATTCAAAGCCAGCCCAGGCAGGAAAGTCTGTGAGACTCTTATCTCCAATAAACCACCAGAAAACCGGAAGTGGCCCTGTGGCTCAAGTGGTAGAGCGCTCACTTTGAACTGAAGAGCATAGGGACAGCACCTAGGCCCAGAGTTCAAGCCCCACAACCGACCAAAAACAAAAAATTAAAGGACAGGATCCAAGCCCTGAGTTCAAGCCCCAGGCCCAGCACAAATGTGTGACACACACACACACACACATTTAAAGGGAGACTCATACCCCCTAGACTTACTCCCTGAGCCTGACACCTCAAGGGATTTTTGTTTTGTTTTGATTTTTTTTTTTTTTGGTCAATCATGGGGCTTGAACTCGGCCTGGGCGCTGTCCCTCAGCTCTTCAGCTCAAGGCTAGCACTCTACCACTTGAGCCACAGCACCACTTCTGGTTTTCTGGTGGTTAGTTGGAGCTAAGAGTCTCACAGACTGTCCTGCCTGGGCCGGCTCTGAACAGCAATCCTCAGATCTCAGCCTCCTGAGTAGCTAGAATTACAGGTGTGAGCCACTAGCGCCCGGCAAAGGATTTTTTTTTTTAACCATCTAAGAGCTTCCTGCCATCCTCCCATCTCCACCCCCACCTCCTGACCTATGACATCATTCTTCTGCTGGGGCCTTTGCATACTCACCATTTCACGTGGCCCCTCACGATCCCACCCCACAGGCCAGCCAAGAGAGCCTGCCCACTGCTTCCCCGCGCTCAGACCCAGAGTCTAAACCTTGCTCTAGGCTCCTGGCTCAGGTATGAACAAAGTCCCTGACTCCTGTGCTGGCTCCACGCTGGCTGCCTGGCTGCCCAGGGTGCCCCAGTCCCCAGCTGAGCCCGCTCCTACCTCACAGACACACACGTCACAGGGGTCTGCCCCAGGCTGGAAGCTGTCTCCAGGCTCGTACTTCCGCCCCTCATGCTCGCAGTCTTAGAGCAGGGTAAAATGAGAGCAGGACCAGGGAACCTTCTTGGCAGCCATGCCAGGGAGGGAGTCCCCTGCCCCAGTCCTCCCCCAGGGACTAGGGTGCATACAAGAAGCAAGGCCGCTCCTCCTGGAGCCTCCATTGCTGCCCAGCCCAGCATAAAGGCAGAGAGGTCCCGATGGAGCTCAGAGCCCCCTCCCACCTCAGGCTCCCAGTACCAGAGCATCGGGGACAGCAGTCACTGGGCCCTTGGTGGGGTCGGATGCAGGCGCTGACACACTGGACGCGGGCACAGGTGACAACGCCCTCGTGACACAGGCAGGACGAGCAGGGGCTATCCTGGGGTACCCAGCTGCTGCCCTCAGGGTGCTCCTTCCCATTAGCCAGGCAGCCTGAGGTCCCAGAAGGACAAGGGGAAGTCCCTGCTGGTCAGCAATGACTTATGGGTACTGAGGGGAGGGGGTCTGCAGGGATGTGGTAGGGAGATAGGGGGAGGGGTCGGAAATCCTGTCTACAGTGGAGGAGAAAGCCACCAAGTGGCACGCAGCACTAACATGCGGGAGGTGTAATAAACGCAAGTGGAATGAATGAATGTCTCTATCAGTAAACATGGAAACTCAATCCGCCCAAGCTTCAGTCTCCTCCTGTTAACTGGGGGTCGTACCTGTCTTGTTTTGTCCACAGGGCCAGCATGATGCTGTGCCCACTCAGTGGGCATACAGTAGGGGATGGTCCACTGAAAAAGGCTCGTGCTCTGGAGCTAGCAGGCCCTGAGGCACATCCAGACCTGTCTACCTGCCAGCAGAGGGACCCCAGCAACTTATGTTCCCTTCATGTTTGTTTGAGACAGGCTCTTGCTATGTAACCCAGGCTGGCTTTCAGTTCTCCTCCTGCCTGTACTTCCCCAGTGCTGGGATTACAGGGATGCACCACCACACCCAGCTACGTTACTTTTTTGTACCTCCAGTCTCTCATCTGTAAAACAGGAACAAGGACAGCACTTATCTAACAAAAGGATTGTGCTGCTTAAACATGATAATACATGTAGAGTGATCGGCTCAGGGCACAGCACGTCGTATATCCTCCATAAATGTTCATTATGACCCAGCCTGGTGGTACACATCTATAATCCCAGCTAGTTGGGATGCAAAAATAGGAGGATTAAAGTCTGAGGCCAGGCTGGGCAAAAAGTTTAATACTGAATTTGAAAAATAAAAAGAAGAGTTTGAAAAAAAGATACTAACAGCACATGGGCTAGGGTGTGGCTCACACAGTAGAGTGAGTGTCTCGCAAGCAAGAGGCCCTGAGTTCTAATTCAAGTACTGGGTAGAGGGGGTATTGCTAATTCCATGGTGGTTATGACTGAGGTATGTGTGGTTAGGAAGAGGAACAACATGGAGAAGCATCTTAATGGGGACCTGGAGTGGGAGGGAGGGGGAGGAGGAGCTGTGAAGATGTACTAAGGGGACAATGAAGGGCAGAGATGAGGGAGGGTCTAAGGGTCGGCAGGGAGCTGGCGCAGGCTGCGGGGTGCAGGCCAGGCACTAAAGCACAGGGGAAGTCCATGGGCTAGGCGCACCTCGGCAGCGAGGACAGCAGCTCCCTGGTTCTGTGATCTGGAGCAGGCAGGGAAGTGGAGGGCACTGTAGTGGTACACAGCTGACCTGGCCAGCCTACAGGAGATGCAGGGCCAGGGACTCACCATCCAGGCCTGAACCACCCCCCCCACAGTGGCCCAGCCCTTGTCCCCGCCCCAGCCCTGTGTACCTGACAGCGACACAGCTCACAGCTGCCTGCAGGGCCCTCAAACTCCTCCCCATCCTGGTGCTCCTGGCCCTGAGAGAGGCAGCCTGTGGAGACACAAGTCATGGGCAGGGGCCGTGCGCTATAGTACCCTGCACTGCCCAACCTTAGACCTGGAAGGATGGGAGAAAGGGGAGGAGGGAGAGAAGGGGGAGGGGAGGAGGGGGAGGGGAGCCAGGTCCCCTGGAGGCAGCTCACTGTGACAGACAGGACAGAAGCAGGGGCCAGGAGAGGGGTGCGTGCAGAGCGCTGGGGGACACGGCTTCTTCTGGCAGTGCATGGAGCCTTCCTGGGGGGAGATCACCTGTCACTCTGGTACAGCCTCACGCCAGGCTGGCTGACCCTTGGGGAGCACCCGCCTCCCAGGCCCAAGCCCCTCCCATGGCCAGGGAGTCACGCTCCCACCCTGTCCCAACAGATATGACAGGAGTGTACTCCTGGGTGGGGACAGCCGCTTTCAGCTTGGGGGGAACAATAGGATGAAGGGTTATCAAGATCCTAAAGGTGGGGGCTGGGAAGGTGGCTTAGTGGTAGAGTGCTTGCGTAGCATGCATAAGCCCTGGGTTCATATTCCTCAATACCACATAAACAGACAAGGCTGGAAGTGACCATGTGGCTCAAGTGGTAAAGTACTGGCCTTGAGCAAAGAAGCGATCTGAGTATCCCACTACACAGCCAGTCCAGGCAAGAAAATGTGTGAGACCTACCAAGAAAAGCTCCCAAGCATTCCACCTCACCTGGCAGGTACAGAGGGAGCAGCTAGGGTCAAGCGGGTCAGGAAGAGTCTCTCCAGGGGCAGCGGTGACCCCATGGTACAGGCATCCTGGCAGAGTGGAGAACACAATGGGAGGAGCCTATACTGGAACACCACCCCCCCCCACACACACACACATAGGCATGCCAGCACAGCCATGCCTGGGACCTCGCAAAGCTCAGTGGACACAGGATCAGGTGGGTGATCCTGGGAAGCTACTTCCTGGAAGGTAGGAACTACTGAATAACCATTCAGGTTTCAAGTAGAGACAGGGCATTTTAGAAGGGCAACAAGACAATTTAAGAAAGAGTATGGAAGCCAGAGGATCAGTTCTTTGGTGAGTGTGGCAATCTGGTGTAGAGTGGCAGTGGGTATGGAAGAAGGGCAGAGATATGGTGTGAGAGAAGTCTAGTGGGGGAGACAGACAGAGAGGGAGGGGGAGAGATGGAGGGAAGCAGGAGGAGAAGAGAGAAGAAGAGACAAGGAGAGAAAAAGAGGAAGAGAGGAGGAAGAAGAGAGGGGGAAGAAGAGAGGAAAAAAGAGGGGGGAAAGGAAGAGAGAGAGAGAATTCTGAGTGTCTGGGGTGAGGGCCCATGTGTCTCAGCTGGGTCTGTCTCCCGCCTGCTGCAGGTCAGGGCCCCTGGGACCCCCAGCAATGGGAGGGGCAGGGCAGGTGGAGCCGTACCTTGGCAGGTTGGGCAGCAGTGTCCTGGCTTGGTGACAGGGTGGCTGCAGCCTGGAGGCTCACAGGGCCGGTGGCGGCAGGTCACAAAGCCTTTGAGGCAGGTACACACATTGCAGGCATCTCGGGGATCTGGGAACTCCTGGCTGCTCAGGTAAGATGCACCCAGGTACTCACAGCCTTGGGGGTAGGGGGGAGGAGAGCAGAAAGGAGTGAGGGGAAAGCAGTCACTTGCTCTGAGTGCCTTAGCAGAAGGCCGGGCCTTGAAGATCCTGGCACCTGGGCTAAGAGGAAGCCCATGCCAGGGACAAAGAAAACTTGAGAGGTTGGACAAGCCAAGGGCAAACTTTCCCCCTTGGAGTGGCAAGAAATCTCCCTGTCTGTCTAGGGTAGAAAAACCCCATAGAGATGTGCACGTCACAACAGTCAGATGCTCACAAGGCCACTGCTGAAGGGGCAAGTTTTCCAGCCCAAGCAAAGCTGGGAGAAGCCAGATGGCTCAGATCTAAAGTATCTCCTTCCAGTCCGCCGCTGGTGGCTCACGCCTGTAATCCTAGCTACTCAGGAGGCTGAGATCTGAGGATCGTGGTTGAAAGCCAGCCTGCGCAGGAAAGTCTGTGAAACTCTTATCTCCAATAAGCCACCAGAAAACCAGAAGTGGCTCTGTAGCTCAAGTGGTAGAGCGCTCGCCTTGAGCTGAAGAGCTGAGGGACAGCGCTCAGGCCCAGAGTTCAAGCCCTGTGACCAACAAAAATAAATCTCCTTCCAACACTCTTCTAAGCCCTGTGACTGACCAGGGAGGTGTAGCAACCTGAGCTCCTCTCTGACCCTTCTTCGTCACCCTTTTCAATTAAGAGAGGATGAGTTACATGCCAGTGGCTCCTGCTTGTGATCCTATCTATTCAAGAGGCTGAGATCTGAGGATCAAGGTTCCAAGCCAGCCCAGGCAAGAAAGCCCATGAGACTCTTACCTCCAATTAACTATCAAAAGAACCTAAGGTAGTGCTGTGGCTCAAGTGCTAGAGCATGAACCTTGAGCAAAAAAGCTCAAGGACTGCACCCAGGCTCTAAATTCAAGCCCCAGGACACGTTTAAAAAAAAAAAAAGCTGACTCTTAGATTCAAAGCCTTGACAGGCAGAAGTGCCTAAAAAGAATTCCACAACATCATATTTCAGCTGTTGTCAATTTAATGGTAATCTTCTATTCCTGGCAAAACAAAGTTTCTATTTATAGTACAATACAAAACTCCACTTAAATAAGTTTTAACTAATGAGTTCAATAGAAGAAAAGTTTTAAACGTTTCTTAAATTTCACTTCAATACATTTAAGTGAAATTAAACTAAAGAGTTCATGTGGTAGAGTGTACAGCAAAATTTGCTAAGATATTACAAAGAATGACTGAAGACTGGGCAACTGGGTCTGGCCCAATTCCCCACTTCTTTACAAGTCAAAAATTAGGCCCAGAGAAGCTATGTAATTTTCCCAAGGCTAAGCAAATAGTCAAATGGCACCAAGGGCAGGAGAAAATCTAGGCTTCACCCACAGCCGGGGGGTCCCCTCAGCTCTTCAGTTCAAGGTAAGCGCTCTACCACTTGAGCCACAGCACCACTTCCGGTTTTCTGGTGATTAACTGGAGATAAGAGTCTCGTGGACTTCCTGCTCTGGCTTGCTTTGATCAGATCTGGCTTTGATCAAATCTCCTGGGTAGCTAGCATTACAGGCGTGAGCCACTGGCTCCTAGCTGATTTTTTATTTTTATTTTTTATTTTTTGCCAGTCTTGGGGGACTTGAACTCTGGTCCTGGGTGCTGTCCCTGAGCTTCTTGTGCTCAAGGCTAGTGTTCTACCAACTAAGCCACAGCTCCATTTCTAGCTTTTTGGTAGTTTATTGGAGATAAGAGTCTCACAAACTTTCCTTCCTGGGCTGGCTTTGAACAGTGATTCTCAGATTTCAGCTTCCTTTGTAGCTAGGATTGAGACACTGGTGCCTCAAGATCCACTTCAGGGCAGGGAAGAGGGCTCTGACTGATTTCTTGCCCACCTTCTACCCTCCACCCCTGCAGGCCCCTCTCCATCTACTCACCATCACAGGCAGGGCAGCATTGGCCGCTGGTGGGGAAGGGACACTGTGCAGGGCCACAAGGCCTTGGCTCACAGCTCACACTGCCTTCCCAGCAAAGGCACACGTGGCATGGGCTGGTGGGCGATGAGAAGCGCTCCCCGCTGCCAACCTCCTTCCCTTGGTACAAACAGCCTAGAGAGAAGGGCAGGATGGGGGGGCTGTGGTGGTGGCTCCCAAGCCCAGACACTGGGGCACTTTCTGCTTTCTTTTTGTGTGTGTCAGTACTAGGGCTTGAACTTACAGCCTCATACTCTTGCTTAGCTTTTTCTGTTCAAGATGGGTGCTATGCCACTTAAGCCATACCTCTACTCCAGTGGGGTTTTTTTTGGGTCCAGTCGTGGGGCCTGAACTCTGGGCCTGGGCGCTGTCCCTCAGCTCTTCAGCTCAAGGCTAGCGCTCTACCACTTGAGCCACAGCGCCACTTCCCGCTTTTTTCTTTTTGCTTACTGGGCCACCTTCCCAGCCCTCCAGTGGGTTTTTTTATAGTGGGATTTGAGCTCAGCACCTGGGCACTGTCCCTGAGCCCTTCTGCACAAGGGTAGCACTCTACCCCTTGAGCCACAACACCACTTCTGGGTTTCTGGTGGTTAATTGGAGTTAGAGTCTCAAGGACTTTCCTGCCTGGGCTGGCTTTGAATCACAATCCTCAGTTCTCAGCTTCCTGAGTAGCTAGGATTACAGGTGTGAGCCACTAGTGCCCAGCTACTGCATTTTTTCTAACCACTTAATTGGAGAGTTAATTGGAGACTGCTGGGGCTGGCTTCTCCGTCTCCTGAGTAGGTAGGATTATAGGATGAGCCGCCAACGCTGGGTTGGTAATAAGACCCCAGAGGAGTAGGGCTGGGGGGGGGGAGGGGGAAGGGAGTTGGATTCGCGTCAGAGGCAGGGTGGGAGCGGATGGCGCAGACAGAGAGTGTTGGGAACCACGGCCGAGGTGGTACCATTGCAGGAGGGGCAGCAGGGCCCCTGGCGAGGGTGGGTGCAGGGCGCGGGCGGGCAGGGCAGGCGCTGGCAGGACACGGAGCCGTCCAGGCAGAGGCAGCGGCTGCAGGGGTCGCCAGGTGGAGTGAAGTGCTCCTGGTGGCGGGCTGGGACATTGTCCCCAGGCCGTGCACAGCTAGCACGGGCGTCTGCACCGAGAAAGAGAGCGGATGGCATCATCATGGCCCAGCGCGGGCGGAGAGGCGCCGGCCGGCAGGGGCGGCTCCTACCCGGGCACCGCGGGCAGCATTCTCCCGGCCGCAGCTCCGGCTCGGCGCAGGACAGGGGTGCGCAGCGGCGCGCCAGGCACTGCACGTTCCCGCTCTGCAGATGGACAGATGGACGGTGCAGGCTGGGTTAGAGCGGGGAGACTCCCCACCCCTTGCCAGTCCATCTCGTTGGACTTTTCCTGACCCTAAGTCCCATCTCCACTTCCCTGGGCCCCTGTCACCCCGTGGCCCACTCACCAGACAGCGACACAGCCGGCAGGAGTCGGTGGGGTGCGGGAAGTCCGCCCCGTCCGGGTATTCTTTCCCTCCGAAGGCGCAGCCTAGGGGAAGGGGCAGCTGTAGGGCAGGCGGGGACTAAAGGACCTTGCAGCCGCGCCCCTCCTCCAGCCCAGGCGCCTCACCGCTGCAGTCGCTCCGGCAGCAGGCTCCAGGCAAAGGGTGGGCACAGGACGCGCTGGGGCAGGCACGAGGCTGGCAGCTGGCACGGCCCTCGAGACACCGGCACTCCTGGCAAGGGTCTCCGGGGTGGGAGAAGCGCTGGCCGTCTACAAACACCTGTGTCTCCAAGACGCAATCTGAGCATCAGAGAGCGGGGGCAAAGGCTGAGCACACGAGGTGTCACCCCCCTGCCCCTGTCCCTCTGCCCCTGGAGAAGGGAACCACGCGGCAAGTGCCAGCTTGGAAGCCCTCGGTGCCCGGGGAGAGGCAAGGGACTGCGTGCGCATGTGCGCAGGTGTGCGCAGCTCAGCATTCACCCACGGGTGTGCGGGCAGATGACTGTCTCAGGTGAAGAGGTGCACTGCACAGACGTGTTGTCTGTGACACACGCCCTAGCACAGAACTCTCCATGCAGGCAGGCCGGGATCACCGCCCATGGCAGGCCAGCACCCAGTCTCCTGAACCTGTGCTCTACCCGCGGCTATTCATGGGGTCTGGGAGAGGAAATAGAAGACAACAGGATGGAAGGGTGGTATCCTAACACCACACCCACACCCTGTGAGTTCCAGAGAGTTCTTAGCTATGTGGTGGGAGAGCCAAAACAACCGAGAAAGACAGTTGCTTGGGAAGATATCCGGCACAGTAAACACCTACCTGGGCACCTAGGGCAGCACTGACCAGGTCCACGCTGGGGCCGGGCACAGGTGGTGGGAGGGCAGACAACTGAGGAACACCTCACAGTGCCATCCTGGGGGCAGAGGAAAGGGCCATGGGGGAGGTGAGCCTCTGGGAGCTCAAGGGGGGGGGCAGCAGCAAGCCCCAGGGAGGTACCTTGCAGTGGCAGGTGTGGCACGGGCTGTCCGGGTCTGTGAAGTTCTGCCCATTGGCATACACTTGACCATGGTAGCTGCAGTTCTCGCAGCTGGGACAGCAGGCCCCTGGGGGGGCGAGCCGGTCAGGGTGGGCTGGGCATAGCAGGGGAAGAACGCCAAGATCCTTGGGCACTCACCAGAGAGGTGGGTGGGGTGCTGGCAGGGGGCAGGGGAGCAGAGCACAACCCCACACACTGGCACCCCATCTCGGCAGGAGCAGGTGGTACAAGGCTGACCATCGGGTTCCCACTGGGCCCCCTCAGCAAACTCCTCTTCATTTAGCACACAGACTACAACAAGGGATACTGTCACCATGGCAACCCAAACTCCCTCCCTGTCCATTCCTATCCTTCTAGCCCACCAAGACTCTGACTTGCATCCCCACCACAGCCTCTGAAGGAATTATGGAATAATTAATAAAGCCTCCCTACTGAAGAGTGACCGCTTTCTCCAATCCCATGGAAGCAGTGTCCTTGGCATTTTCCCCTCCCATACACACATACACTCCACATGCATGTACCTGAGCAGAGCCGGGGGCCAGAGGCAGACAGGGCACAGGGGGCCACTGGGCACTCCTGCTCCTCACAGGACACCTCACCAGCCTGAGAGGGAAACCAGATGAGAGGTCCTTAAAGAATCAGACAAAACTGAGTGGAATCTAGGCTCACACTTGTAATCCTAGCAACTCAGGAGGCTGAGATTTGAGGATCACCATTTGAAGCCAGCACAGACAGTCTGTGAGACTTTTATTTCCAATTTATCTGCAAATAGCAGGAAATGGAGCTGTGGCTTAAGGAACAAAGCCCAAGCCCTGAATCCAAGCCCTAGTGTTAGTGCGTGCGCACGCATGCACGCACACACACACACGCACACAATTGGATGGGAGAAGGTGAAGCCACCACCTGGCAGGAGCAGCGGACACAGCGTCTCCCCTCGTGGAGCATGAAGGTCTCCTGGCTCCTATACTGGTGTCCCTGGTACTCACAGCCTGGATAAGAGGACAGGGAACAGGGAAGGAAGCCTCATGACACACCAAGGTACCCAAGAATGCCCAGTCATGGACGTCCTCCCATATCTGCCTACACAGGTGTGGTCCCGCCATGTCCCCCGGGGAAGGTGAGATGAGAACTCACCTGTGCAATAAGAGCATAGCAAAGCCCGTCTCCAGCCAGCGCCTGCGCTTCTCCTGTCTACCCCAGCCAGCTCTACTCACCATCGCAGACTGGGCAACACTGTCCAGGAATCCTGCCTGGGTGTCTGCAGGGCACAGGTGGGCAGGGCAGAGACTCACACTGGACACTCCCATTCTGCCAACAGGGCCCAGTCAGCAGGTGGCAGGCAGGCCCAGAAGCCAGGCCCTTCCTGCCAGGCAGCCACACTCACAGTACAACGGCAATGAGAGCAAGGGTCCCCAGAGCTCACAGGCTCCCCGCTGCGGTGCTCCCTTCCATTTAGAAAACAGCCTGTTGGGAAGAAATGCTCAGGCCCTCCTCAGGAGCCCCTCCCTGCTCCATCCCTGGACAAACATCACCATTCCCTGTACTGGAGACCCTTTGAAATCCACTGACTCACCATCACACACTGGGCAGCAGGTGCCTGGGAGGGGCCGGGCCGGATAGGGGCACAGGCTGGCACATTCTTTCTGGCGGCACTGGATGTGCCCCTCCTGGTAGGTAGACAGAGGCAGGGCCATGAGAACTCAGCCAAATGGCAGGAATGGCATTGGAGTCCCAGCCATTCACTCATTGGATGTAATAGGTTGAAACGCATTCTTCCTGCATTTGTTGAAGTCCTCCAAATGTAACCTCATTTGTTAATAGGATTGTTGCACATGTAACTAGTCACACGGGAGTAGTTGGTGTCCTTATACAAAGGGGGATTTAAGCCTTGTGCAGGTGGCTCATACCTGGAATCCTAACTACTCAGGAGATGAGATCTGAGAATCACAGTTCAAAGACAGTGTGGGCAGGAAAGACTGTGAGACACTTATCTCCAATTAGCTACTTAAAAACCGGAAGTGGAGCTGTGGCTCAAGAAGTAGAGCACCAGCCTTGAGCAAAATAGCTAATCAACAGCATCGACGCCCTGGGTTCAAGCAATAGTCCTAGCATGGAAGGAAAGAAAGGGAAGGGAAGGGAAGGGATAAAAAGAGAGAGGCATAAAAAAAGCCTTCTTCACAGCACTCAGAAGGAAGCAACCCCACCAACACTTTGATCTTGAACTTCTGGCTTCTAGAAGTGTGGACAAATACATTTCTGTTTTATTTTGCTATTGTCGTTGTTTGTGCCAGTCCTGAGGCTTGAACTCAGGCTCTCACATTCTCTCTTAGCTCTTTCACTCAAGGCTAATATTCCACCACTTAAGCCACAACTCTACTTCTGGCTTTTTGCTGGTTAGTTGAAGGTGAGGGTTTCTTGGATTTGTCGACCCTGGTTGTCATCTTTTCTTTTCTTTCTTTTAGATCTGAGACTGGTACCCAAACTCAGTACCTGAATTTTCATTCACTCGCTAGTGCTCTAACCAAGCCTCCAACCCCCACCCTGATTATCTCTGCACCAGAATCCTCAGATCTCAGCCTCCTGAGTAGAGAGGATTACAGGCATGTGCCACTGGAACCTGGCAGAATTTCTTTTCTTTTTCTTTTTGTCCATTGTGGGACTTGAACTCTGGGCCTGGGCACTGTCCTTCAGCTCTTCAGCTCAAGGCTAATGCTCTACCACTTGAGCCACTGCGTCACTTCTGGTTTTTTCTGCTTATGTGGTGCTGAGGAATCGAACCCAGGGCTTCATACATGCAAGGCAAGCACTCTTCCACAGAACCACCTTCCCAGCCCTGTCTCCCCTGCCCCCTCCCCCACCCCCCCAACCCTGCAGAATTTCTGTTGTTTTAAGCCACTCAGTTGGTGGTTCTTGTGTAGCATGGTACTTAAGTTCTCCCTGTTTTTACTTATATGAAAAAAAAAGGTCATAATAATTATGTTCTCACAGCCTGAGGGGAAGATATAAGAGGCATCAGTGTGGCAACCACTTCTAGAAGCTGGGATTTAGCAAGGGGCTGTTGCTAACCAGTTGCCTGACCCCAGCAGATCCCACCCCTTTGTATTCACACTACACCAACCCTCCACTCACTACCTTCCTAGGGTGTGGGCAGCCAGTGGTTCTTCGCATAGATTGCCCAGGCAAAGTTAGTGAAATCCTATTTCAAAAACAAAATATAAACAAAAGGGCAAGGGATGTGCTCAAGTAATATAATACTTGCTTTCCTACCCCAAGGTAATGAAAGTCACCTAAGTCATGTTAAATTCAAAGTCAAGGGTTTGTTGTTATTTTGTGGTTGGTTTGTTTTGTGCAGTCCTGGAGCTTGAACCCAAGGACTGGGTGCTGTCCCTGAACTACTTCCTTTTGCTCAAGTTTAGGGATCTACCATTGGATCCACAACCACCCTGCTTCGTGTGTGTGTGTGTGTGTGTGTGTGTGTGTGTGTGTGGTTAATTGGAGATAAGAGTTTCATGAACTTTCCTGGCTAGGCTGGCTTTGAACTGAGATTCTCAGATCTCAGCCTCCTGAGTAGCTACCATTACAGGCATGAGCCACTTGTGCCTGGTTGAAATTGAATTTTAATAATATATTCTGTTTGCCTGGGTAACTAAGACAGCCTCTTCCTTCCTTCCTTCTTTCCTCCCTTCTTTCCTTCCTTTCTTCCTTCCTTTCCTCCCTCCCTCCCTTCTTTCTTTCTCTCCCTTTCTTTCTCTCTCCCTTCCTTCCTTCCTTTCTTTCTCTCCCTCTCTCTCTCTCTTTCTTTCTTTCTTCTTTTCTTTTCCAAGACCAGGACTCAAACTCACTATGCTTGATGCTCATTGGCTGGTGCTCTACCACCTGAGCCATGCCTCTGACCCCCAACACAGCATATTAGTGAGATATTTTACCTTCTTTTTCACCTTACTAAGTCATGGAAGTCAGTGGGTATAGCTTACTTACACCTCAGTTCTGACCAGAAACATGTCAACAGCTCTGTGGCCACATGTAGCAGTGGCTTTCAATCAAAGTTAATGCCCAGGTCCCTCACCCCCCCCCACCCCTGTGCCCATTCCTTTGGCCTGTGTGCTCCTTTTCAGATCACAAACCATGAAGAACACCAAATGCACTGAGCAGGGCCCAGGCCTGTGCTCACAGCACCTAGAACGTGGTCTGTACTATCTCTGACCCCAGAGATGTGTCCCACGGAAAGAAGTTAAAAACCCAGCTAGCCTGAGGGCAGGGCAGGGTAAGAGACAGCACAGGGACGGCCTCAGGACTCACCAGACACCGGCAGATCTGGCAGGGGTCCCCAGATGAAGTCCACTCTTGGCCATGGTCCCTGTGAGAATTACCCTCTATGCAGCCTTGGGCTGGGGACAGAGAGCAGGCCTGGTCAGGGCCACCTGGACCATTCCTCTTCCAAAAGGACAGCAAATCTTCCACGTTATCTATTATGCCCCCTCACCCTTAAGTCCTGACCATTCACGCCTATTGTACGATCCCCCATTTTTATACCGTGCTGACTAGAATGTGATACTCTTTATCTGGAGTGTCCTCTGATTTCATCAACCCTTCCTAGTACCTCTTTATCCTGCTGGTCACCTCAACATTGATTGTCCCTCTGTGTCCAGCAGTGGGACCTAGGTCTCCTTCCTGAGTTCCCACTGCACCAGGGCCCTGCTTCTACTCCTGTCTTGGCAACAATATTATACAGTGTTGATCATTATATGCACCTTAAAAATGGGGAAACTAAGGTACAAAGTGACTTAAACCAGCCCTGCGCCCGTGGCTCACACCTGTAATCTTGGCTACTCAAGAGGCTGAAATCTGAGGATCATGGTTCAAAGCCAGCCCAGGCAGGAAAGTCTATGAGACTCTTATCTCCAATAAGCCACTAGAAAACCAGTGGTGCTGTGGCTCAAGTGGTAGAGCACTGGCCTTGAGCTGAAGAGCTGAAGGACGGTGCCCAGGCTTAGAGTTCAAGCCCCATGACCAAAAACAAAACAAAACAAAAAAAAGTTACTCAACCACTAAGTTACAATGACAGATTTTTTTGCCAGTCCTGGGCACTGTCCCTGAGTTTGTTTTGCTCAAGGCTAGCACTCTACTGCTTGAGCCGTAGTGTCACTTCCAGCTTTTTCTGTTTATGTGGTACTGAGGAATCATGGTAGGGAAGCACTCTACCACTAAGCCACATTCTCAGACAACAAAGATTCTTTTAGTACTCCTACTGGGTCTTGAACTCAGGGGCAGAACACTCTCCCTTAGCTTTTTTGCTTTTTTGCTCAAAGCTGGTGCTCATACTACTAGAGCTATACATCTGCTGCTGGTTTTGGGGTGATTAATTGGATATTAGGGTACCATAGACTTTTCTGCCCAGCTGTCTTTGAACTGAAATCCTCAAATGTCAGCCTCCTGAGTAGCTATGACTACAGGCATGAATCACTGTGCAGTGATGCACAATTTGACATCAAGCTTGTACTTCCAAAGGAGGGTAGGGCTGGCATTGCTCCTCCACTTGGCCAAACAAAGTCAGGGGCTGGCAAGATGGAGTTTAGAGTTGGAGAAATGGCATGATAGTCCAGCCCTGCCAGAGACTCCATGGGAAGAGGCTGGAGGCTCTCACCTTGGCAGGCTGGGCAGCAGTGCCCAGGCCTCAGGATTGGCTCAGGGCAGGAGTTTGGTGGGCACTTGATGGGCACACAGCGAACCAGGCTTCTCTGCAATGGAACAGTGGCTATAAAAAGAGCTTCCAGATTGGTTTCCCAGGAGGCACAGGGTGGGCAGGTGGAGTAAAGGGAGTCCTTTACTGGCACAGAAGGCATGTGAGAGATGGCAAGGGTGGCCAGCCCCGTCTAGGGTAGGGCAAGACGTGTCGAAGGAGATGCAGGCCTGGGCAGAAATAGCACAGACTCACCAGGCAAGAGCATTGGAGGCAAGGGTTGGAGCTGGACAGGAAGCTGGCCCCCTCCTCATAAAGCTTCCCCTCATACTCACAGCCTGGGGAGGGTCACCAAGAAGACAGGTGGGTCACCAGAGAACAGTGGGGATGGGCATCCCCCAGGGAAACACATGACCCCAAGTAGATACTGGACCCAGTGGGGCTGGGGGGAGAAAGGGACAGGCAGGGTGGGAAGTCACCTGGCCGGCAGATGGGGCAGCATTCTCCAGGTGGGGTATAGCTCTCCAGGCAGTTGAGCTGGGAGCATGAGGGCCCCTGGCACCGCACGGTTCCTGCCTGCAGGACAGACGCCCGGCCTTCCCTTGTTCCTCACCACTGCCCACGCTGGGACACACTGGGGGTCTCACAGGTCTAACAGGCTCCAGGCTGTGATGTTTGGGTGGAGGCAGCAGCCCTTTCTGGTCCCTAGGCTGGGCTGGGCATGGCCCCACTACTCCAAGCAGCAGGGGCATGGGTGGTAATTGGGGTCCGACCTCAGTTCTCTTACCTGGCAGGTGCAGATGACACAGGGCTCTGGATTCCACGTTTCCCCAGGCCTGCGACCCCCGGGACAGCCTGGAAAATCAGGCCAGAGTCCCAAATAAGAGACCCAGATCACTGGGTGCCATATACAAAGGGCACCAATTCAGGATGGAACAGAGATGTTTACATTTACTATACTTCTCCAGCAGATGGCAGTCAACTGTCTAAGCACAACACCATCGGTAGTTTCATTTATTTTACTAAATGGGGCAAAGGGTCTTGACAGGGGTGTCTTGTTTTTGTTTTTCATCAAGATATCACATAGGCTGGTAGTGGCCCTGAGATACTATGTGCCCTTTTCTAGAAATTGGGAGTGGGGGCAGGCTGGTGCTAGACAAGCACTCTGCCTACATTGCTAGAGACGCAGTCAGCCACATTCCCAACCTCAGCACCCTTCTTCTCTTTAAAAAAAATTCAACAGTTCCCAAGACATCAGTTGTGGTCTCTGGCCAAGACTCTGGGCCAAGACCACACTGGCCTAAGCCTCGTTCTTCTGAACACTGCCAGCATACTTTTCTTGGAAGGGCTTCCAGATAAAACTTAAGACACTCAGTTACACTTGAATTTCAGATAACCAATGCATAAAATTATACTGTAAGAATAATTCTGGCCAGGCGTTGGTAATTTACACCTATAATCCTAGCTACTCAAGAGATTGAGATCTGAGGATCATAGTTCAAAGCCAGCTTGGGCAGGAAAGTCCATGGAAAAAGTCAGAAATAGTGCTGTGGCTCAAGTGGTCAAGCACTAGCCTTAAGCAAAAGAAGGTCAGGGATAATACTCGGGTCCTGAGTTCAAGCCCCAGGACTGGCATTTAAAAAAAAAGTATCAGTGGCTCACACTTGCAAAATTAGCTACTTAGGAGGCTGAGACCTGGGGGGATCACAGTTGGAGGCCAACCCAAGCAGAAAAGCTTCACAAGACTCTCTTCTATTAGCCAGCAAAAAAGTGGGCTGCAGTAAGGTTGGTCTCTCCTTGTGCAGCCCCTGCCTGATGAATATTCAAAACATCGTTTTGAACGTGCTACAAACTGGCTCTTTAGCCTTTGGTGGTTCCTTTACCCACAGAAAGAAGTCCAAACTGCAAGGCTGAGCAGCACAACACACCTCTTCCCACCCTGCTCCTGCTCAAAGAGGGCTCTCGGCATTCCTCTTCCTTCTGTGCAATTTAACTTTTCTTTGGAGATCAGTTCAGACACCCAGGCTCTGTGAAGCTACCCTGACTCACTAGTCTGGATGGACTCTGTCTGCCCTCCTGCCCGTTCCTCTGGCAAAGCCTTCTCTTAATCTGTTCACTAGACCTTAAATTTTGTGTGAGATAAGCTATAAATGTATCTTCCCAACTAGATCAAGCGCTCCCTGAGGGAGGACAATCGGGTGAGTCAGCCAGGGTGTAGGTGTAATCCTAGCCACTCTGGAGGCTGAGATCTGAAGCCTGCATTCAAAACCAGCCCAGGCAAGAAAGTCAGTGAGACTCTTATCTCCAATTAAGCACCCCCAAAAAGCCAGAAGTGGAGCTATGGTTCAAGTGGTAGAGAGCTAGCCTTGAGCAAAAAGAAAGCTCAGGGACAGAGCCCACGCCCTGAGTTCAAGCCCTAAGACTGGCATCCTTATCCCAGGAAAAGGATGAGTGTTTGCTGACTTGGTATTCAAACTGGGCTCCCCAGAACTCTCGGTGGGGGCATGTGTCCACACTTAGATGATAGATCATGGCTCTGGGGTGAGGGGCAGGTCCCACAGATATAGGGGCTGGCAGCAGGCTGACCTGGTTCACAGTGTGGGCAGCATGTTCCTGGCTCCAGGCAGGGTCCTCTCGGACAAGGCTTCGAGGTACAGGTGATAGTCCCTTCCTGCAGGAAGCAGACTAGAATGCTGAAACTTTGCCCTAGGCTGGGACTCATTGAGGAGCAAAAGGATGAGTTAGCAAGACATGGCATACCCTCAGCTCAAGGGTAGAAGAGACGTCCTACAGCCCCTCCCATCAGCTCCCCTGGCAACCCTCCCTTCAAAGTGCAATTCTCCAGTGGGGAAATCCTAGGAAGAGAACCTGGGGCTTTCTCAGAAGAAGCTTGAGGAGGGAAAGGCCAGAAAGAGGCTGTGGGTTGGTGGGAGAGAACAGCACGAGGGTGGGAAGAGTCTGAAGTAGAAGATGAGGTTGTAAACCGGGCACAGGTGGCTCACGCCTGTAATCCTAGCTACTCAGGAGGCTGAGATCTGAGGATCTTGGTTCAAAGCCAGCCCAGGCAGGAGAGTCCCTGAGACTTTTATCTCCAATAAACCACCAGAAAATCAGAAGTGACGCTGTGGCTCAAGAGGTACAGTGCTAGCCTTGAGCTGAAGAGCTGAGGGTCAGTGCCCAGACCCAGAGTTCAAACCCCACAACCAACCAAAACAAAAAGAGATGAGGGTGTGGAAGGTGTGGGGGTGGTGAGAATGGGAGCTGAGCAAAGCAGATGACAACCACATCCTCTGTCCTCCACTCCAGGGCCTCCTTGAGGGGCTGAGCAGAGTGTATGAGCACGTGTATGAGCAGAGTTGCAGGCAGAGCCAGTCAGAATCCACTCAAGGCCATCCCGGCAAGGTTGGAGGCAGACAGGCAGAAGCAATCACACATCAGCTGGCCTAGAACTTCAATGACAGGTGGCTAGACTAAGGTGGAGAGGTGACAGGGACAAATGTCCCAGAAACTCACCAGGCAGCGGCAGGTGGTACAGGCATCTGGGGAGAAGGTCTCCCCATGGCTGTAGGTCTGACCATTGTGGCTGCAGCCTGGAGAAGACACTGTTGTCAGTCTCCAGCACCATCTCTAGGCCCCAGGGGGCTCCAGCGTGCAGATGGGTGGCACTAACCACGGCAATGGGGCAAGTTGGGCTGGGGACTACAGCTGACAGCCCCGTCCTGGCAGACACAGGCTGTGCAGGCGTCTGGCTCCCAGTGAGCCCCCTCAGGCCAGGCGCGTCCTACCCCCCAGCACTGGGGAGCAGCAGGGCGACACTCACAGGACTCCAACCGCCTCACTCTCGCCTGCAGATCCTTGTTCTGGGGGAAAGGGAGGAGGTAAGAGGCACTGGTCCGCCTTCCCCCCACCATTTCTCATGATTTGTGGGGGACAAAAGCTGATGCAGAATGAGAAGGAATTTGATGAGTCCAGAGCAGAGGTGTGCCCCTCCTTCAGCATCTCCCATGCACAGAGGACCCCTGGTCTCTTGGAGAGAATCAGAACCCATCCCCTCTCTAATAGTTAAGAATTCTTGCCGGGCGCTGGTGGCTCACGCCTGTAATCCTAGCTACTCAGGAGGCTGAGATCTGAGGATCGCGGTTCAAAGCCAGCCCAGGCAGGAAAGACTGTGAGACTCCTATCTCCAATAAACCACCAGAAAACCAGAAGTGGCGCTGTAGCTCAAGTG